ACCATTCGATGCTGTCATGATGGAATCGCAAAAAACCAACCAGGAACCGGTTTAGCCGTGCTAGCGGACGGGGGCCATTCAACATATCGGTTCAAATTTGCAGACAGGGTTGCCACGTTGAAAAATAGACATACCTACGCATACTCGACATTTTTCATATTTTTCATTATAGACATATATTTACATGTAAATAACATTATAAAACCATTCAAATCTTAATAGAATTATAAACGTGAGAATATATTTGTTTATTATTTCATAGCATTTCAACGGCTCATCCAATTATCATATAATTTGGCACACACGTGGACTGGTTACGGGTTACTATGTATTCCGGTCGATTAACGTATCTCAGCCATGTAACGAAATCGCAGGTAAAAGCTAGTTAAATATAAAGTATTGATCCCTTCAGTCTATTTGAAGGCCTGGAGCAATTTAAATCGCAGGTCTCGCTTTCTTTTGGAATAGTCTAGGCAATCTAAACTGTTTTAATACCATAGTGGTTAATTGTTGATCAATTGGCCACTATGGGCCAACTGATCTGCCTTCATCCTCACCTGTCACCGTTTACGTTTACCCCGCCAGCGTATACCGATAGCGCAGGCAAGGGTACCATTCCATCTTCACCCGTTAAAAAAACAGTTTTAATATGAGACAAAATACGGAAGTACACCGATTCAACTAACAAAGATAATCACGAAAATCTCTTCAGAATTGGCCAAGATATAAAAAAATACACTGTAACTAGAATAGTACTGTTCGCTGAAAACAATAATTCGTCGTCAGATAAAGAATTGATTAATTTCTGAAAGAAGTTTTTAGATAGCTATAAATAATTAATAGTACGTTTTTGTGAATGTTTATCGGATCTGTCACGAACTACGAACTATCTAACATCTCTCGATCTGAACAAACGGTGCTATCTTATCGGTTCGTGGAAATCCAAATGGGCGCGGCAGTAGATATACCCAATCTGTCAAGTTTATACACAAACATACAAATAAACGCTAAATATTTGGATATGTCACTTTTTTAAATTTAGTTCTATTATCCGTGTTTGCTTTTTACGTTCCTCTGTTTACATTTTAATGTAGCAATAAAAAGTAATGATTAAAGTTGTTATACATATCAAATTATTAAATTAAAAAAGGAATAAAAACAAAACTAAAAGTAAGAAACACTAAATCTTTAAATTACATTTCAAACTGAATTTATTATGAAAAATATTTTAGAATGTAATAAAAAAAACAATATTATAAAAATAATATTGTATGCATAAACAAAGGTATATCTTTTTTCTCGTTTAATATATACCGTAGAACGGGGCTATTTGGTTTATTTTTTTGCAAAATCATGTATTTAATAAAAGAGCAATGCATTAATTTACTCGACAGGGGGTTTTTTGACCAGTTCCTATAATACCTTTTTAATGACTACCACTACAATAAGTCTATCATGCGTAGTTTTGAAGATATATGTTTTTAAGTATGCTATTCCAAATATTGCTACTTTGGGGCTATTTGGTATCCTATGTAGAAGCTAACCAATTTTTGACATTTTATAAAACTGTGCTTAATAAAACCGTTAGAGAGACATTTGAAACTATTCTAGAATAGACTGCCTTGAAGTTTATCGCAATTTATTCTATATATATATAAAATATAATTATATATATATATATATAACAAAATTATTATATTATATATATAAACGGGGTTATTTGGAATTAGAAGTAAATGTAATAAGATGTGCCTATTATAAGTAAAGCAATATTTGGAATTCTTAAGGGGAGGCTGTTTTCAATTTTTACGTGATAGTTAATAGATATAATTAATTCTGTAATAGGTATAGGTATAAATAAAAATACTTAATATATTTTTAATCAAATTATTTTATAATCTTCATTATGAAAAGAAACATAAAAGTAACTACTAGGTACATACCTAGTTAAAGCTACATAAATGCTATAAAATGTAACAAAAGATTATAAATTTTGCTTAACATAAAAACAAATTCTGGAAAAATAAAGTGGCTTAAAGTATCTCAAAAATACACCATATCGCTTTCTTCAGCGAGAAGAAACTCGTTTTTCTTCATAGGATTATTATTCATAATAATTTTTTTCACAATCCATATGTCATCAACTTCATCGCGATCAATTTTCTTGCTAATCCAAAACGCAAGCTGTGGCTTTTTAATAGTTTTGTAAAAATTAACACTGTAATTATATTTTTGTCCATCAAATTTAATATTTTCGATAAATCCAATGTAATATTTACTGTTTTTATCATCACAGTAGAGTACCAAAACTCGTAAGTCAGTTGTATCCAAAGGAAATCCCCAATGGCTCAGTAATTGTATATATTCTACAAAAGTCTTCTCTTCCTCTATTGAAAATAGAGTTGGGTGCCCAGCTTTTTTCTTGCGTGCAATTTTTGTTTCTAGATTTCCTACTCAAAGTACTCATTGGAATATTGTAATTTTTGGAAGCCTCTTTTAATTTCATTAAACCATTTTAAATGGCTTTCATTGCGTTTTCTAGACTTTCTTTAGAATAACTTAGATATGGTGGATGTGTTTTACCGCAACGTGAGTTGGTATATTTCCTTTGATATGTTCACACCATGATTTTTTCTTGATTTTCCCTGTGTGGAAAGAATAAAATTATTTTATATAATATAAATTATTTTAAATAATAAATTATATTAAAAAATATTTTATATACTATTTTATAAATTTTTTAATATATTTTTAATAGGTAATTTGATTTTATTTTTTCATTTTATTATTATATTTTATTTTTTAATATTTTTTTTATTATTTATTTTTTATATAAAGTCGTGAAAATAACGGCGCAACTTTAAATTATTCAATGTCGGCACTGACTTATATGCTAGCCTGCTCACACCTAAAGACATATAAATTCGCCTGGGAATATTAGTCCCATTTTTTAGATTAGGTATTTTGCCGAATTTAATTTGATGACTGGGATCTGACTTACCCTTAAATATCTTTTTTTTTTGCACTTTTGGGGCTATTTGAAACCATCACTCAAACTCGTACTAATGCATAAAGAATCGTTAGATGGGGCTATTTGAAATAATATTCCAAATAACCCCAAAATCAATCTCAAAAAGCCCCAATTACAAAAAGTAGAAACAGTAGCTAGCTCGACAGAGATATAAAATAGCAACATACACCCCTGAAATCTACGGAAAATACACGTATACATAGTTTAACTTGCATGGTACATACCTTTCTACGTTTCATGCGTCAGACGAAAGTTAAATACTTACGAAAAAGAGCGAAAATTCTTTTTTTTTTTAAACACTTGCTGCCTCGTGTAATGCTTAACTATAACCTCAAAAATTAAAAAAAAATTTACAATAGTCGTTGTGTTACCAGGTGACAACAAATATTCTACTCATTGCCTAATTAAAAAATATACGTAGATAATCAAATCTTTTATTTAAGAAATTCCATTTAACCCCACGACTTGCAAATAGCCCCTTTCTACGGTACCTTAATAGAGTGATGTTTAAAAAAAGTATCTAATTTTTTTAAACATCACTCTATTAAGGTATATATTAAACGAGAAAAAAGATATAACTTTGTTTAAACTGTATGATTATATTTATATTATTTTTATCCTTGTTTAATTTTTATGTATATTTAATCCTTGTTCTTAGAAAAACATATTTTAATAGCGCACGCCCACAAGACCCATAACGATTGTAATTTTTATGAACAGACAGACTCATATAGCATCAATAAATCATTGATAATCCATTATCTGGCTTTCTCTTGAAAAAGAAACTCGGCACCTAATTGAGTCAGATCAAACTCATCCACCTAGTAATTCGAAAATTACTTGGAAAATTCAATATTGGGGATATCATCTCCCGCTCCAGTGGTCCCAAACACGTACCTTACGTAGGTAATGTAATATCAGTTCGCTGATTTATATTCCACCTATAGTCTTTATATATATATATATATATATATATATATATATATATATATATATATATATATATATATATACTGTGTTTATGTTTTTATATTATTAACTAGCGATTTACCCCGGCTTCGTACGAATAGTAGAGTACATATGGTTACATTTTTCCCCAACAGCTTGTTTTGCGTCGGTTATGAATTAGATGGGTATAATAAGCTATTATTAAGATTATTATTAATTAAGCTATTGATGAAAACTCTCAGTCCACTTGAACAATTATCAACATATTTCAACAAATTATCACAAAACATTATTGGCCTTCCTCTTGAATCACTATCTAATAATGAAATCTGCATCAAAATCCGTTGCGTTGTTTAAAAGATCAACTTACAGACGGCGAGAAGCAGTTTTGTTTTACGAGTATATTATGTAGAAATAATATTATATATACTTATGTTTAAAAATATACTAATTTTGTAGACGACTTTGTGTAGAATGCTATTTTAAACGATCTTACTCTCGTGTTGCAAACCTTACATGCTTTATTTAGCATACTTAAATAAATTTTAATGACATTCTAACGATAATTCAATTTTACGAACCTATTGGTTTAAAACGACAAAAAATAGAACATCTTGCTTATCCGATTAATCTACAAGTTTTCGGTAGTTTCTAAAATTAATAAAACCAATATTTCCCATAATAATGAAATAAGGAAAGTCATTGAAGAAAAAATAAATCTTGAAGAAGGTTAATATAAGGAAATTAGGAAGAACAATAAAATATTAACTGATAAAATCTACAGGAATAGAATGGCTAATGGCTACTCACGTCGGGTCAAAGTGGTCGATAGCAAAAAATAAAAATATATATGCAGGCGAAGCCAGAATTCACGATTGCCATTTAAAAAAAAATATATAATTATTCTCCATCTCTATGTAATTGTATATATATTATACATATACACAAATATAAACAAAGGAAAATACCTATGGAAAATACACAAGTACGAGTAACTCTAATCTAAAGAAAAGACATGGAGTGGGGGTCGGGCGCTCGAGGTCACCTCGTGGCCTCATTTCGGTAGACTCGCGGTCTCCAAGATTCAAGATCAAGGTCAAGGACTTTGTAAGGCTTTATAAGTATAACATTTTATGTTTGATCTATTTTTTTTTTTATTTTAATTCTTTTTTTATATTCTCGAAACCAGTTGTTTGTTCTGAATTTTAGATATATACTAATAACACACTAAAGCCAACAATTTAGCATTTATTTGAAGTTAGTAAAGATTGAAAATGGAATGAAGTCTAATATTTAATCGTCGGTAAACTGAATCGAGAATCTTCATAATTTTTGCTAATGTCGAAATATAACTAATTAAAGGATATTCATTAATTACATAAAATTGAAATTTGGGGGAAGTTTGGTGAAATCTCACCAAATACCATTTATCAAGAAGGAATCAATAAAAATCTTACTTCAACTTTTTTTTTATTTCACAGAAAAAAATTCGTGCATTGATTAGACATTACTATTGAAGTCATTTAGTGGAATGAAGCAAAATATTGATATATCAAATTAGATCTCAATAGTAAATCTCATGTAAGAGCCCGCCACATTTTATCAAGGGAGGAGGCGGGGCAAAATAAATATGTTTCACGTAATTAAATAACCGTGCCATTGGGTCTATTTACTTCAATCCATGATTACGTTGCAAACAATAAATAAGGAAGTACAAGAAAAAATAACTGTAACAGGCGGCTTTACAAAAAGATATCAGAGGGGTTAAAAAACGAGTACATAAATTCTTCGTACACCCAACCAAGTTTGGTTGACATTTCACTAAAGGTGTAATATTAATACGAGTATACTTATACAATTCCATTGACGGATTATACGAAATTTATGATAAAATCTAATAGACATTTATTCGTGTAAAACATATTTTTAGCCCCCTAATTATGTATATCATAACGATAAATACAGGTGAAATTTTTCTTCTTCCTTCTAAATCAAAATAATTAACATTTTTTAAGGTATTGTTCTGCCGATAAAATTGAATATTCATTAAAAAAAAATAAGAATCTAGAAACGACAAATTAATTTAAACACTCTCGTTATAAACTTAATAGCAGACGATCCCGCCAAGTTAATAATTAATATAGTATCGTCCGTGTAATATAGGAGTTTCAAAATTTGTTAACATTTAACAATCCATGTTTCTTGGGGTGAATATTGAGTAGCAGTGATGAAACGCTGTATTAAAATGATGCTAATCAACGATTTCACCTGCATACATTACAGTCAGGGGGGGCGATCCTAATGTACCGTTTCCTAAATATATTTCTAAAATTACAATTTAAAATTGATAGTTTGGCGTAACTATTATGGTATGGACCATCGAAAATTAAATGTAAAACAGTTCTTGAGTGCTTCTATTAAAAACTTTGGTCCTTATAATAACCGTTTCGCTATCATATCAATTTGAAATTTTAATTTCAGAGATAGACAATGGTGCTTTCGAATCAATTTCATCATTCTGTAACTCCAGATAAGCCATGACTATATTTGAATATTAAGGACATTATATATTATTGTATCCATGAAGATTCCTCAAAAAACGCAATGTCATAATATATGACGGGATAACGAGAATTTAATGAACTTCATCCCTATTTATCGTTTCCATTAAAAAAAGGTAAACGACGAATAAATACACTTCCATGTAAAGTCGAAGCAATTGTCGGAAAGATAAATTTAGTAAGTTCATTAAATTCTTCTTATAAATTTATGTTTAAAATAAACATAAGTTTTAAAAATAACGTAGTATCAGTAGGTATTCTGACGTGTCATCTCGTAACATTGATTAATATATTACAAGTATGTGAGTAAACAATGCTACGCCCACATGCAATGACCTTTAAAGTACCTAACTACTTATACAGTTTATATAATCAAACAAAAACCAGTAAATTTACAATCTCCAATATATTTTCGCACAATATTATGTAGGCAGCAAATAAGCAAGTGGGACGACACGGATAATGCCGAATCTATGAAATATTCATATTGACGTTAAATATATTCCAGGAATAAAAATATTTGTACATACATGAATATTGAATACAATAAATCATAATTTAACCCATAAAATGTAATATTTTCTAAGAAACCCCATTTCTGTATTGGATATAATATAAAAACGAAAATACAAGCAGTTACATTATTAGAGAATGTTTACTTATATTAAATACATACCAAGAAATGAACCGAAACAATAGGAATTTTTTGACGATTGTTTCTGAATTATCTAAGCTGCTATTGTTACTAGGCGTATCTCTTTTTATGTAGCCAGCTACAAATTATTTAGGTACTACGTGAATACTGGTATATACTGGGTGAAATCGGCAATACAAAGGTAGATATAAATAATATTTTTTTTCCTAGAAAAACGTGGCTCAAAATAACAAAAAATTTAAAGCATTCCATGCTTGATAAAATCTTGATAGCTGGACGTACTGTTTATACAGGACTAGGCTGTTTTTATCATTTTTCGATCCGTCTTGGTTCTTTACGAAAAAAGTTACACTTTCTACTACAATCGAATATAATCTAAAATGGATGTTTAGAATTAACCCTTCTTTGCATGATTTTTTTTATTGATGAAATAAATCAAGGTGCTATAATTCATGTTCAAAATTAAAGGAAAAATGGTTAAAATAATAAATTTAACAGCTACGTTTTTTTTTTGCAGTGGACATTAAAAAGTTATCCAAACACGATCAACTTTAAGTGAACTTGTTCTTTTATATAATTTTTGAGCATTCAATGTTATGATGGAAATTTCCACTAATATGCAAAGAAGAGTTAAGATTTTACCTTGATTCTCTATCTAGTCTATTTACTTACAAACTTCTGTTATTGCAGTGGTAATTAACAGATAGACTTGTACTATTTAAAATAAATCCATTTGTGTTCTACTAATTGTACGTGAGAAAATGTTTATTACAATACCTACTCACAGTAACCTTTTATCGTCGTACCGCTTGATATCGACAGAAAATTCAAACTTACTATAAAACCTGTCGCAGGATCAGTTCGTATCATCAGGCAAATTCGATTCCTACTTAATGCTTGTTATAAATGTGAAAGCTTGTAAAGGTATTCGAACGTTTAAATATTTGGATATTGAGTAACACGATCACGTTTAACAGCTGATCGGATTTAAATGAAATTTGGAACACGGATGCACCGTGTCCTGGATTAATATACATACTTTACTATTTATGGGGACAAAGACACGGGATATAGTTAATAAAACCTAATATATAAAATAAAATACACACAAATACCACTATTTAGCAACAAACCCGATACCACCGTGATACAAACAATTTCATTTCGAAATAGATGCAACGATCGTCGAGATAGACGCATAATTATTATTGTATCCGAGCCAAAAAAGAATAATTTTATTCACCTATAGTTTTATGGAAAAAACTATAGTATAAATGTCTATAAACAAATAAAATGTCCGCATGTGATAAATTTAAACATTAGTACTTGCTATTCTACCTATTTACAAATGTGGAAATTTTGAAATATTTGGAAATATTTGTTTGTTACTCAATTCACACAATCACACACAAACGGATATTAATGAAATTTAATTCAAAGATGGACTACATACTAAAACGTGATTTTTGTACATTTTAAAGTAAAGAAATGCACGTATACAATTTTCATAGAAATGTACTTAAAGAAAATTAGGGAAATAACAGTTTACAAGCAAATTTATTTCGTAACGTGTTATTCTAATATGTAATGCAGCAATATTGTTTATGGTATGACCTCCTTAATATACAAAATTTTGCGACCGCCTATCCCTCCGCAACTCATAACCTGTAGATATATATTTTATTATATTACAAATATCAAATTCGCACATTAATATTTTTATAGTTAAATATCGGTTAAATACAAAGAAATAAATAGTTACGTAATGGAATACCTAAAACATGATTACGATGCCTTTTTCTACGAATTCGCGATCTTCCGCGAATTCTTGACAGAGACTTGGGGACTCCACAGGGAGTCGCGTCTACTTTGTAAAACACTGCATTAGAAGAAGCAATACATTATTTCAGTGGATTTAATAGTACCTTTAGCACGTAATTGTTCTTTTTTCTATTGGTAATACAATAAATATTTTTACCTATGTTGTACTTTTGGCCAATCCTATTTCTTATGTTCATGACACTAGTTAATCTCACCCGTGCTTACTTGTAGTATAAAAATGTGAAATGCGTATTATTAAATTTAATAAGTGTATCATTTCATTACGAAATACCTACCTACATTAAATACGTAGGTAAATTTTAGGTTACTTTTTACGTTATTAATTTACACTATTTTCGTTACCTTTTCACAACCGTATCGTACAATAGAATTTTAATAACTTTACCTTGTACTTATCCATGCCCAGCATTGGGCATTATTGAAGTACTATGGTAAACTTCTTAATTATAAATTCGAAATTCGCACAATCGCAAAAAAAGCAATCAAAGACTTTTTATAACGATAATCCATCGTAAAATATCTGAATGCAGATTCGAAATTTTAATACTAAATCGTTTCAACAATTGCTTAATAAATGTGTGTTTAAAATTGTATACGATAATGGTGTGTTCGTTTATTATCTTTGGCTGATTCAGCGGAGCGCCGCCTTGCCGCCGCGTACACAGCTAATTTCGATGGTGATGGAAGACTTGAGTCGCGAGGACGGACGAGAGACTCCCGGGATTCGGCCGCTGGTAACGAGGCGGAAGTCGGCACTGACGGTAACTTCCGGACGGTGTCGTACGGTAGAGGTGAGCTGCGAGACGCGCTCGATGCTATGGAACCGGACCCATCAGAGTCCTGGAGGAAAAAATTTATTTAAATCTCATTATAAATGTAATCAGACAATTAGGTACAATAGTTCTAATAGCTTCATAGCTAGCAATATACCCTATCAGGTTAACCTCCACGCGGTTCCCCTTGTCGAATTCTTCACAATGGATTGACTGACCTGCCTTCATTCTCACTTATCATTCCTCACTGGTGCCCCGCCAGTGTATACCAATAGCGCAGGCGGGGTTTTCATTCCATTTTCATCCATAAAAAAGGGAAAAAGACGACGAGGTTAGCAGAGAATACTGAATACCATCGTCCATTATCTTTATGTAAAATATTTTACTTCGTTTACTTTATAATAGTGCGGTTCGTGTATCACATTTACACTTTAAGAAGCCACACGAGCAACAAAGTCAGTCAGAGAACTTTGTAGTCTCCTCTAATTTGAATTACAATAAACTACTTCCTTTAACGTTCTGAATATTCCCACAGTAAAGATCCTTCTTCTCTTCCTTTTTTTGTAACACAGGGGAAAAAAGTATGCAGCTCTCCTGATGGTAACAACCGTTGCCGGGGAGAGAAGGCATTGTTAGTAATGCTAACTACTAGTCCCTTTGCTAGTAATAAACTTAAAGAATCTGAATCAGATCGCCCTCCACGTGATCCACTCTGGAAACCATTGTGGTTTACTTTTTACTCGCCTATCATCACTCACTTGTTCCCCTCCAGCGTAAACCATTCGCGTAGGCAAGGTTACCTTTCTTACATCATTAATTAAAAAAATAAAAAATACCGGAGGAGTTGCAAAAGGAATTTCAGATTTGCTACCGGCTTTTTAAAAAGGAATGTTATATGTACCTATATGGTTTTGTGAAAAACGTAAATTACCTTCCGAGCATCCCTATGGTCCAGTCTGTCATATCTGGTGTTTCTAGCAGACGGCTTCCTCGGTGGTCGCGGTAGAGCTGACGGCGGTGGCGGGAGACTGGATGACCTGGTCTGCTGGGACGCCCGGCCCTGTCGCTCAAGAAGTAACGCCTCTTCCCCGCGACCACCACCACGGGCACTCACCGTACTCAGTCCGGGGAAACAACAGAAACCTCGCTACGAAAAAATATTTATCAATTGATCATGTGATTTTAAAAAATTCCTTATTTGTGGACATGACTAGAAACCCGAGTACGAAATTCAAAAACTGTACAAATATTTAGCAACTTGTTTACCTCTTTAAGGTAGAAATCTTTTTTTATTAGTAGTCTCTTATGTACAAAGAATCAAGATACTTACTGTGTGAAATTTTATTTTTTTAATTTCTCTATAATAAATAAGTAGATATATATAAATTACACCTAAAATAGGTATATATATAATTATTAATTAAATTTATACATATAGATAAATTTATGGATAAATTAATCTACTTCTTAATTCAAATATAGTTAAAAGTATTACACGCATATCGTATTTAATTAGGTCCTACAGTGAATAACCTAAGCGCATAACAACTCGTGTTTACTTTGCAAGCGGTAATAAAAGTAATGTAGGTCCATGTAAAACAGGTGTTGAGCAACACGACACTTTGTTATCGAGTTAATGAACTGACACAAAAGAACAATCAAACGTGAATAATTCTTACCTCATTACGCGAACGAAAACAATTCGGTGACATCAAAAAAGGTTTTTACATAAACAACTTAGCATTTTAATAACTGACTAGGTATAATAAAACATGTATGACTGTAACTAACAATAAACTGTCAGTTTATCTCGTATTGGATTTGCAGGAAGAAATCTCTTTTAGAGATAAGCTTGCCTTTGTGCACTATTATATTTGTTTTTCTGATACAATTACTTTTTGTGTACAATAAAGAATAAAGAGTGAAAATGCAAGTCTATATTCAAGCCAGTTCCCTGACAGAGTAGGTACAAAGCATCGAACGCCAAAGGACTCTACACATTCCTAGCTTTAACTACTTTTAACTTATATCATACAGTCATCATTTGTCTATTGCTGAACATAGGCCTCTACTATAGACTAACTCAAAGAATTGGGGGGAAAGGAATTGTTAGTAATGGAGACTGAGAATCCCATTGCTAGCAATATACCTAACCAGGTCGACCTCTTCGCGGTTCCCCCTGGAAACTATCATGGTTAATTCCTGATGAATTCATCATGATGGGCTATGTTGAGGTTTTATTTATGTTACTTTAAAAAATAGAACTTATATATTTTCTTTTTCTGTCAATGAATATTTTGTTTTTAAAAAACGTCACTTTTAAATATCACTATTATTGTACTAGGGACAAATATAATATATCTTTATTCAGTATTTTCTATTTTATTATTCTATCCAACGAACCCTTCATAGGCTAACTGGCCTGTTTTCATTCTCATCTATCACCCTTCACCATACCATTCTAACGTACCATTTTCACCCATCAAAAAGGGGGGAAAGGGATTGTTAGTAATGGAGTTTGACAGCCCCATTGCTAGCAATATGCCCTATCAGGTCGACCTCCACGTGGTTCCCCCTGGAAACCATCGTGAACAATTCTTGTTGAATTCGTCACGATGGGCTAACTGGCCTGCTTCATTTCCTCACCTATCACTTTTCACTGGTGCCCCGTCGGTGTACACCGATAGCGCGGGTGGGGTTACCATTCCATTATCATCAATTAAAAAAAAAACCCATCAAAAAAAAAACTCAAAGAATTGTTCCTTTTTAGGCAATCAATTGCTTGTACAGAGTAGCTACTCAAGCACCTTTATCCGTTGTTAGTTTTTCGAACGACATGACCAGCCTGTTGTCACTTTCATTGCCTTATTCTTATTTATTTATTTATTATAATACTAATAATAGTTATTATTTCAGCCGTCAACTGTCCACTGCTGAACATAAGCCTTCCCCATAAGGGGAGTTTTGCCAGTAGTTGCCACGCTTGACAGGCGAGTGGGCAACTGCAGCTAGACTTTTTAGAGATGTTTTAAAAGGGACGCTGCAGCTCATCCTTCGCCCTCCCTTAGTCGCCTCTTACGACACCCATGGGAATGGATGGGACGGTCCATTCTATCAGGCGCCATCTATAGGTAAACGCGCATTTATTTATTCTCATAAAATTATGTATGATTAGGCATACTGAAGAAAAAGGGATTGTTAGTAGTGAGGTGTAACAGTTCCATTGCTAGTAATAAACCTTATCAGTTGGACTTCCATTTCTCTTGGGAGACCATCATGATTGACTCTTGTGGTATTCATCACAAGGAGCTAACATGGTTTCATCCTCACCTACCACCTCACAACGGCACCCTGCCGGGGGGAAAGGATAGTTAGTAAGGCGCACTACCAGTTCCATTGATAGCAATATACCCTGTTAGGTCCACCTCCTCATAGTCTCCTGTGAAAACCATTATGCTAAATTCCAGGTGTATTCATCACGATGGGTTAACTGACCTGCTTTTTATTCTCATTTATCATCCTTCACTGATGCCTCGCTAGTGTATATTGTTAGCGCAAGCGGGGTTACCATTCTATTAAAAAAAATGGTGCCCTGCCAGCGTATACCGAGTGTAGACGAGGTTACCTTTTAATCCCATAAAAAAGTTACCTACCTTGGCAGAAATGATAATTGTATAAATAATTGAGATTAAGGTATAGAATATAAGGCTAGTAATCAAAAATAATGTCCTATTATATATTAAGAAAAAGCCAATACAGTTCACATGTTCCGTGACCTTATTACCTAAAATTATGTTTTAGAAAGACTGTAGGCTGTGTTCAATATTGTTTCACATAATCTCATAAAGATACAACTTTTTGTCCTCTAAATTGAACGTTTTGTGACGTGTACACTACACTAGAGGACGTTACATAGACAGTAATTTAAAATGTAAGTTTTGTAAAAGCCTGTTCAGTTCAATATATTAATGAATTTAAATAATCAATAATGAACTTTGTGGTAGCTCTAGTCCACCTATGCTCTAGGCATTGTTGACATTCTATTAAAGACGTTAAAGTCTTCGATTGAAGTGATAGAACATAATTCTAATTTATGTTTTTATTACGTTAACACACTCCAAACAAAAGCAGATAAATGGTTATTTTCTAAATGGGGTAAATTCTAAAATGGCCTTTTTTTCTCTCTACATTTAGGTATATCGCCTAAAAACTTGGGGTAATATTAATCTCTCTATTGGTATCTTTTGTCAATCAAGCGGTACAGTTAGGATAAGCATTAAAACCACATCAAACAAAACATTTCTTTTATTCTAAACATGCCTCTAAAAATATGTCAGAAATACATCGAAATACATCATAAGAAAAATAGCTGGTCTGTATACAACTTCTTAAAATAATTATAGTAGTTCTTAAATATCATTATTCGTTACACATCGAGCCTCAAATGTGAATTAGTTTCTTTTTGTGGTTTATTGTATTTGCATCTCATTGTTTAGATACCGTAATTGGGACTTTACTGCTATAAAGTTGAAATAGGTATTTGATATTAATCAACAATAGATTTTAACAATAAACCTCAAGGCTTCATTCTCACAGCAACGAGTTGTGATTTAATACGAGTCTTTATTACTTTTGTAGCGGCCTATTTATGTAATACGGCCGTAAGTGAATACCTATGGCCGTATTACATGTTCAGGAATAATGAAAAATAAAGAGTACCTCCAAAGAGAATCCGTCAGAACGAATCGTCACGACGTCACGTACGATCCGATGTGTAAATGTGGACGTCTGATCGTCTCTTCATAATATCCTCCTTATCGGTAATGACCGTTTCGATTAATCGTATTAAATCACGATTCGATTTTTTGTGTGAACATCTACACATCGCTGACGATTTGTTATTGCACGAATTGAATCGTCAATAACAAAAGATAGTGTAAACAAGCCGAACGAACATGATAGTAATATTTTTACAGTACTTTAGCTGCACACGTACAAGGACAGCAAGAGTAAAGCATTAATATTTTTCCTTAGACAAACCAATAAAGTTGTTAACCATTACATCTATATTTATATAGTACAGTACTATGAAATAAAAATAAATACAAAAATATAATTCAAATTGTTATAACTGTGTGTGTGTACTCGAAAAACGCTATGCTACAAAACTTAGCCATAAATTTAAATAAAACGAATTTATATGAAGATTAGAACCCAATAATAATTTTAACACTAACTTTGGCATACTTTTGTGACCAATGCCTCAACTTGTGGGTGTATAATTTATAATAAATTAATTTTAAATACCAAACTCGTTTAGCATTAATAATAATGTTTATAACATATTATTGTATATGCAAATATCAATTTAATGAGAAATATAAAAATATTTATTCTTTGTGTAATTAAATAACGACTATCTCTTGTTATTTTTTAATCACTGTTTGCTTGTACCTATATAAATGTATATAGCATCAAAGTTTTTACCTAACCATGATTATATTTTTACGCTAGAATCTGGAGCTAAGTTATTCTTACAACGACTAGGACGATATTAGTGGAGCGTATAAACAAACTATTGGAGATTCTTACTGAACTCTACTTACATGACTACGATTGGCACCAAAACACTCACCGTTAAGTAGATATATAAAAAGACACAGTTAAGGCACTGTTTTTCTTTGTAAATACAGAATGTAACAGGAAGATTGATAACAAGCAGAAATCTAGAAATAGTATTCATGAAATAGAACAACTTTACTCGAGAAACATCAACATCTTTCTTTCTGCCTTTGTCCCATATTTATTTGGAATTGGCATAATAGTATAATATCATAATCATAATACTGATTATTTTGTCATGATGAACCAACTGACTTCATTCTCAACTATCATACCACCAGTGTATACCAATAAGCGCAGGCAGATTTATCACTCCAATTTTAACAAATGTTTCAAATAAAATTTTCTTTGAGAATTTCTTCCGTTTCATGTATACTGTCACTGAATATCCGATTGCAATTACTTTCTGATACATTCTGTATTTTTTATAATCATTTTCAATATATTATCATTCACCACAAGGTCACACAGCCTGAACATCTGTGTATATTTATGTACATCATTTAGTTTCGAGTGTACAATTATAATAATGCACACACCTATTCATTTTTGTAACAGCATAGTGTTACTAATTAGACAATTATTTTTACACAGCTTTATTTATACGTGTATTAGATATCAACTACTGTGGTTAGAAAGCTTAAGGTTAGGCAAAAAAAATCACTTCAAAACAATCTAAAATCACACAGAACACATTAAAAGCGTTGTTGTGATAATTTGTACATTGCCGAAGGAATGTTATATTTATGGGAAATGGACTGTTGTTCTGGAATGTTTTATACATCTCAAACCGCATTTACTTCACAATTAAAAAATTCCGAAACACATTTTTTTGAAACTGGTCATAATAATATATGCATAATTAAGTAATAAAAACTTGATATTAATATTCGCGCGAGATATCGGAATAAAGAATTGAATTTTAAAGTAACATATAGAAGAATCGCATTTTATTAAAATTTTACGACATATCAAAGTAGATGAAATGATAATATTTTGATATAAAATAGATTCGTTCTCTTTTCTTTCGAGAGTAACTTTGCTTTTCGATTATATAGCAATGTACTGAATGTATGTTCAATATCGACCAACTCTTTCTATTTATACTTGCTTTAACTAAGCAATTGTATTGTCTAATCAATATGCATTACATAACAATATCAACCTGAAGAGAATTTTTGATATCTTTGTAATTTATTTTTTATTTTTTATTTTTTTCGATTCTATTTCGATGTTAAACTAATTTAATGTAACAAATTACTGTAAGCTATCTAGGAACGACAGATTGAAACACTATAAGTAGCTACGATTTTTGCTCCATTTAACTGGTATATCAATTAGTAGGAAACCTACTAGTACTATGTGAAAGCAAAGTCATACGCCTGTCACTATAGGAAAAGATGAAAGTGAAATTCGTGAAGTTTTATTAATCAAAAAATCCCTCTGTATTCATTCGTTTCACTAAAATGAACATATGCCTACAAATATATACCCACGACTCCACTAAGCTGATTTTGTAATTTACCGTAACACAACAAAACACGATTTTATCGTAACGATATAATTGAGAATTGTCAATCAAAATCATCAATACTTTAAATTTTTGTACAGAGTTGCACATTATAACAACGGCCACCGTATGCCAAATCATATCGTTCATAGATAGCTTAATACTTTCTTTCTCTTTCTGACCAATAAAAAAAGCTATATGACTGAAAACCGTAAAATCAGTTGATATGAAGTATAGTGGCGTCCCTGTGTGACCAATAGAGAATGAGACGCTAGTGATTGCCCGTACTGTCACTGGGCGAAGTCACGAGTCGAGTCAGTAGTAGGAGGCATGCGGGCGTTGGTCAGCGGGCAGGTAACAACTCACAGCTGGCACCGAGGGCCGCTCCAGCGCCGCCAGCTGCTCGTCCAGCCGCAGCGACGTGCTGTCGAATCCGCATCCTGCTATGTCCATATTAGTTATTAAATACAGCCATACCAATGGGCGACCTTGCAAGCGAATGGGAATCAAATCGGAATTGCATCAAATATTCAATATCTAATTAATTCAATTTGATACCAATATGATTTCGTATTTAACAATATTGGATGGGGATTCATTATTTGATTTTACATACCACTGACATGAAGAGTCAGAAGCTTAAAAAAATACTATTTGATGATTAATTAATAAATAAATCAAATTGACATTATTTCTGAAGACTGATCACTTGAGAATAGATAAAACAGATCGGCCCAAAAAGGAGAAATTATTATCGCTATTAAAAAAGAGTTTTGGATCATTGAAATAAGGATTAATTTTATATTTCACTTGTTATATATTCACTTGAGAGCCGACCTGACACGTGTGGCTCTAATAACGCTTACTCATAGTGGCTTCTGATGTGAACATCCCCTAATGCGGTGTTTCCCAACGTGGGACCGACACCCTACAGGAGGGATAATTTGATAGTTAAGGGGGAGCCATTAAAAAATTGACTCGAAGCGATTTTAACCCTCTTGCTCCAGGCCATTTAAATGATATCGGTGCCAAATTTAACAAAAAAAAAAGTAAATTAAAAAAATGCTGTAAATATTTATTAGATATAATTTCGTTTGACGTTACCAAAATATCATTAGGCAATTAGAGTCATCAAGTAAACTTTGTCGGGAAAAATTATGTATGGGGGCATAAAAATTTTAAAAATGTTCAAGTAGGGCATGGCACAGAAGTTTGGGAAACACTGCCCTAATGTGTTGGCTAGTGGCACTGACCGCTGGAGTTGTCGTTGTGCGGCGAGTAGTTGCGGCGCGCGAGGTGGCGGTAGCGGCCGGCCACGCTGCCGCCGCTCACGCCGCTCACGCCGCTCACCGCGCTCACGCCGCTCACGCCCTCCGCGCTCGAGAACGACGCGCCCGACGACAGGCCCACTACAAACATATACAATAACAAATATAACATACCACACAACAAACATATAGAGTCATTTTGACCACATTTTTTTTTCGATGGGTGAAAATCGAATGGTAACCCCATACATGTAACCTGCGCTAAGGGTACACCAGAGAATGGTGAATGAAAAAAATTAAAACAGGCCGGTTAGTCCATAATTATGAATTCACCAAGAATAACCATTATAGTTTCCAGGGAGAACGAGTGGAGATCGATCTGGTTGGGTATATATATATATATATATATATATATATATATATATATATATATATATATATATATATATATATATATATATAAAACACTAACGATTACAACATATCAGACAATAAAAATAGTTTTAATTAAACAACATATTTAAATAAAAGTAGTTTAAGACACATTAAATCAAAAATCCAAACAAACGTCTAATAAAATAAGAAACTCACCCAGTTCTTCCCGACTCGAGTTGTTCCGCAGCGAGGCGCCGCTGTCGTACGCCGCGCTCGTATGTTTCTGCAGCACTTTTATCATCGCGTCGCGCTCAGCCACCTTCGATTCTAGCTCCTTCACTCTAATCACAAAATCAAACCAGACCAATAATTGCAAATGTACGTAACAAAATATACTTATTAACATACTCTTTGTTCTCACCAGGTTGCTCACTAGATGGTCAGAGAAAAATAGCTGCTAAATGTACGTCTAAGAAATGGGAATGCTACGATGGGCGAATGGAGTCACACTTAAAGACAAAATGTGAAATAAGTATACTTTAGAAGATTCAAAGTTGTCCCAAAAACTAACAAGACTATGTAGTGTGAGCTGATATAATATGTGCATATCCCGCGAAGTGATGGCCATGTTGTCAAAAAAGTTATTTTCCATGGATACAAAGAAAAGGGGAACACCTTAAACGACATGGCTAGCAATAGTTCATAGAAATATGAAAGGGTCGAATCTTTTGGAGGAAGATGCATGTGACAGGAATAAATAACTGCAGATGATTAGGAAATCTGACTCAGAGTAATGGGAAAAGCAAGACAGATGAAAATTATATAATGAAATAATAAATCATACCTGCTCTCCAAATCTGCGACCTTCTTTTGTGCGGAGTGTAACTCGTCCATATGTCGTATTTTCTCGTTGCGGGCTTCCGCCATCAATCGTTCAGATTCGGCCGATGTCTTCTCCAATGCCGCAATTTTTGCGTCCCTATAATAAGTTAAATTTGATATTTTAATGATTATTTTAAATACAAAATTTGAGTTTATTTGTTGCTCTTTGATATCTTACACGGCCCGATTAATCGGCACTAGCGTATTTAAGATTCAGGGACCCATTTCTCTAAAAAATATCCTTTTTGTTTTTTTCAGCCCACCTGATGGAAAGTGGTAACCGTCGCTTATAGACATGAACAATACCATGGACATAACAGACATTTTTATATAGCGAAAATCCGGCCTCAGTCAATCATTATAAAATTTGGCCTGAAGAAGGACTAATCAATATGTCTTCTTTATGTAAATAAAGTTGTGGGCACAAATCGTAAGCATATAAGAGCTGTATAATTTCTGCTGATTTAGTGAACTATTTATTATAAAGAGTGTGAAAATATCATATCAGCCATTAACAGAACACAGGCCTCCCCTATGGGGGGTCTACGCTTGGCAGACAGGTTGGAAATCACACTTACACTTTGGTGATGTTTTAAGAGGGGTATTGCTGCCTATTCTTCGACCATTAAGTGCCCTTAGTCGTCACTTAGGACAGCTACGGGAATGAAATGCCCGTTGTAAGGCAGGACTAAACAGCACAAATAATATCATCATCATCATATCAGCCCTTAACTGTTCACTGCTGAACATGAGTCTCCCCCTCGGGAGCTTTGCCAGAAGTTGCCACGCTTGGTAGGTAGATTAGAAACCGTAGTCAGGCTTTAGAGGAGTTTTAAGAGGGACTGTGCTGTCAATCCTGCGCCGTCCCTTAGTCGTCTTTTACGACACCCACGAGAAAGAGTTGAGTTCTATATCGGGACCACACAGCACAAATAATATACTCATTTTTTTTTGTTTGATGATAATGGATTGGTAACCTCGCCTGCGCTAATGGGATACGCTGGCGGAGCACCAGTAAAGGGTGATGGATGAGAATGAAAACAGGCCAGCTAGCCTATCATGATGAGTTCATCATGAAGAATTAATCATGACAGTTTCCAGGCGGAACCGCGTGGAGGTTGACCTGTTTAGGTATACTACTAGCAATGGGATTTTAGTCTCCATTACTAACAATCCCTTTCCCCCAATATACTCTTTTTTTTTACAACACAGAGGGCAAACGAGCATGCGACTCACCTGATGGTAAGTGACTACCGCCGCCCATGATCACCCACAACACGTACGGCATTGCAGGTGTGCTGCCGGCCTTTTAAAAAGGATAATGCTCTTTTCTTGAAGGTTATGTTGTCGTATCGGTTCGGAAATACTACTGCTGGATGTTGATTCCAAAGAGTGGTTGTGCGTGGGAGAAAGCGAACTCATATTGAGATCGGGTTTCTGGGCGTAGGGGCGTAGTGCATAGTTAGCAGCGCGCGGCGGCGGGTGGGTACGTACTTGGGGATGGAGGCGGCGGAGACGGCGGCCTGGCGCAGCGCGGCCTCCTCCAGGTAGCGCTGCTCCCACTTGGCGCACTCGCCCTCCAGCGCCAGCAGCCGCTCGTCGCGCTCGCGCACCAGCCGCCGCAGCTCCGCCTCGCCGCCGCCCGCCGCGCCCACGCCCACGCCGCCAGCGCCGCCGCACGTGCACTCGCGCTTCCTGCGACAACACGTTCACCACCTCGTCAGCCACGGGTGACTGACACTGGAATACTCCAACGGGGCTACGCGACGCGTATTTTTTTTCTGTTGGCGCTTTGTTTGTGGCACATAAAAATCCTCATAGTTTCCCACAAAAATGCATAAAAGTAAATTAAATAATCATATCTTTTTTCTTTTTATATTATACAACTTAGAATGACAAACAAGCTGACGGCCCACCTAATGGAAAGTGGTAATCATCGCCTATAGACATGAGCAGTACCATGGACATAACAGAGTATACTGTTTCACCCATGATAATCCCCATGCGTTGCCATTCCTGAGGACTCAGGTGTCATTCCTCTATACCCAGTAAATTCACGCCATATCCCACCCTTCAAACCGAAACACAGCCATGCAAACACAATTGCTTTACGGTTGAAACACGAATAGGACAAAAGTACCCAAGCAATCGACTTTTGTACAAAGTCTCCCTCTCTACATAATTTATTAAATAAAACTTAAAAGCAAAGAATTGTTATGAAAAAACTTGTTAGCGGAGAATGTGTCAAAAAGTTTGGTGTCGCATTCGATAGCCAATCATCAACAATAGATCGCCAGTACATTAAATTGCATACAATTTTTTATCAGTTAACCTACGCAGAACGTTGGAACGCGAAAAGCTCGCGTCTGGCACTTATTAGGTCATCATCGTGCCGATCTTTAGTCGGCGAAAAATTAATGCAACCAAAGACAGTGTATACGACGCTAGCTTTAAATTAGCAGTGCATTGAGATACTAGTGTATCTCAGACCTTCTTAGAAAACAATATACATCACAAAAGTGAACTACTCATTACAATACAAAAATGAACTAACACAGTTCTAATTCTTACAACCCAAGACAAATAATTTCAATGATAAATTTATATCAAAATTATAAACAACTAAAATTATATTATAAATTTATAAAATTTATCACCTTAAAGTCTGCAACTCTTTCTCTAATTGTGCACGAAGTTTCCTCTCAGTATGTTCCCGCCTATCAGAAGCTTGTTGCAGTGACGCTAGCGCTCTCTGCAGGCCCATAACACGCTCTACGTAACCACTCGCATGGCGACACTGAAAGTATATAAAACAATTCCATAAAAAAAAAGTACCTTGAAAACTTACTATACAGTGCTGAAAGATTTTCCCTTATGGAAGATTTTGGAACAACTAGAAGTACCATACAAGACTTGATCATACACAAATTAGTATGTAGTACATATGTTTAATAAATCATAACTTTCTGTTGAGTTTGTCAACATTTTTTTTAATATAATATAATATAATAATAATAAATATTAATACTTGATATAATTTTCATCTTCTTAACCGTTCTTTACACCATTGACATCAATTGGACAATCAAATAATAAAGGTACATATAAACTTCTAGCAGGCGCGTTATAAAAACTTATTTTTTAATTACAAATTATGTATTAGTAAAAGAAATTATAGAAACCTCTTCCTCGAGCCTGACGACGTTCGCTTGTGCGTTGGTGAGTGCCGTGTCCAAAATATCGATATGGGTGCGCTGCTCTTGCAGTGTGGCGCGTTGGGCCGCCATTTCGATTTCTTGTCGTTCTTTAGCGCATGCCAGCTCTTTATCTGTCACATACAAATATGAATATAATATGTAACTATCAATAATATCATGAATAGTAATATTTTTTTATAGAATTCATTTTAAGCTGACACTGTGAGGTTCAGCAGTTAACTGAAAATCCACGACAATATTTGAAAATGAGATATTACAAGTGTCGTCGCCGATCTTTCGTGGCGGAAGATCGGTAAAGGTAAATCCGCTGAATGCTACATTAGTCTAAGTTTCAAAGAACCCTAACCTGTGATACCTTAGGGCAGACTATAGACCCAAAAAAAAACGTATATGCACGTTTTATAGTTTATTGTTGTACACTGTCATTTTATTAAAAAGAAACAAGACTATTTAGTAAATATGCTCATTTATAAGAAATAAATATTTGTGTATATTAACATTATAATATATAATACATACATAACATTTTGAATAACATTATTTACATTTCCGATATGGAGATCTACTCCTCTCTCTTTTGCATGTATTATTAAATTTAAAAAGATATTATAAAAATAATAACATACTCTGTGTAATGAGCTGAGCAATTAGCATTTCCCTGTTCTGCAGTTCCTTGCGCAGTGCCTCAGCGCTGCTGTCAGACTCGGTGCGTACTCCTTGCGACAAAAACTCCACCTTTGTGAAATATAAGACTCAATATCATTAAACCATACAAAAGCCAATGCAAAAGGATTCTGAACCACAGTACAGTTTATGGGGATTTTTTTTTGATGGGTGAAAATGATATGGTAACTCCGCCTGCGCTAACGGGATACGCTGGCAGAGCACCATTGAAGGGTGCTAGATGAGAATAAAAACAGACCAGTTAGCCCACCATGATGAATTTATCAGAAATGAACCATGATAGTTTCCAGGTGGTATCGCGAGGAGGTCGACCTGGTTGGGTATATTGCTAGCAATGGGATTCTCAGTCTCTATTACTAACAATCCATTTGCCCCCAGTTTATGGGGATTGCATGACCGTGGATTCAGTCAGACGGCGAAGCCTGTTATATTGTGATATAACTAACAGCCGAAATAAAAACGTATAAATCTCGCTTTATGTGAATCACAAACAAAAATCACAACAAGTTACACACAGTAAGTAACACATTATTAATCATTTTGTACAACCCATCGGTTTGCATCTGTTGCGTGATTTAGAAGTGTGGAACCAGAAAGACGCTGACATTGTTTCAGACTACTTAAGATTTAAAAGTTTGTATTTCATTCAAAAGATTAGTAGAGAAATACTTATGACATACATTAGTATTTCTCTCCTATTATTAGACACATGTTACTGTCACCCATTTCATGAATGCTTCATTCACACATGTATTGAAGCTTTTAATTCTCATTTATTTATTTATTTGAAAATTACTCACCGCACTTACAGTTTCCCAAAACGTGTAGTGAGCCATAGTTTTATTTTACAAACTTACAAATTTTGTACAACCTTTTAAAAATATATTTATTTTGTCATTAAATATGTCAATATCTGGCTGCTGAGCAATCAGAGAATTGAGCAGAGAATTAGCTTGATAGGTGGGAGCAAACTGAGCAGTACAGGTGCGAACCGGCGGTGCCGATAGTAGCATATGTCTGTGTACCGTGTAGTGGGATGAAGACAGATGATATGTACCTGTTGTTTGAGCGCCCGGTTGAGTTCCTGCAGGCGGCGGCAGTCTGCCTGCAGCCGCACGCGGGCCGTCCGCTCGAGCCGCTCGCGCCGCTCGCATGATCCCACCAGCTCCTCGTGAGCTGTGCGGACCTTTTCCACTTCTTCTTCGAGCTGTAAGTGAAAAGGTTATTTCAATGTGAACGCAAATCTATACGCGCGAATAATGCAAAAAAAAAAATATGAATTATTGAAATATTTGGTTAGATCCTCTTAAAAAATATATATAAAATTATATAAAAAAAACAAGAAAAAAAACAACATTACAAGAGACAACAATAAACAGCTTTATTTCTATATCCTCCATATTTTGTCACAACTGTCTCTTATTTTGTTCTTGAAGTTTCCATTTACTTATATCGTCGTAGTCGTAGAATACTGACGGATCTTTATATGTAATATTCGTCAGATCCGTCAGTATTCTACGACTATGACGATATTATCTAAATCCAAAATTTCAATGATAGTTTAATAAAAATAAAGTTTGAATTTATTTAATGAGTGTTTTGTATTAACTATTAAGTTTTAAAAACTTCACTTTTAAAAACAATCTAATATTATATTTTTCTATATTAGTAAATTAAAAATAATAATTTTGTTCTTTAGTTCGGATTTTCGAATCTGTCGTGGCATAACGTTCAAAAGTTAATCTAAAATTTATCGATATTAAAAATCTACAGATCACACAGATATTGCCCGAGCTTACTAAGATGCTCAAATGCTTCCTACATACTTACCTGGGAGGCGGACTCTCATCATCGTTTCCTAGGGGCCCCTAAATACCGCACCCCAGAAAGGAGCTTAAGAAGCGCGCGTTCACCTTGGTGGTCTTGGCGACGCGCTCGCAGGCGTCGACGAGCTGGCGCTTGAGCTGGTGGTTCTCGGCGGCGAGCGCGTCCAGCACGGCGGCGAAGGCGTCCTCCGGCTCGTCCAGCTCGGCCTCGCCGCCGCTGCACCAGCCGCTCGACTCCGAGCCGCCCGGCACGGCGCGCACGCCCGGGCCCGCGCCCGCGCCCGCCGCCACGCCCACGCCCACGCTGCGCACGCGCACTTCATCATACTCACACGCTACACACGGCTGGAGACACTCCTTCCCTCCCCCATGGGAGTGAACCCATAAAAAGTTCGTAAACATTCAAACTTCGAAACAATTACGTATATATTACTGCTTGTGGAATAGAGAGTTATTCCATTTTATTTTTTCTTACAAGTGGTATAAATACATAGAGTTCTCGTGCCACTTGACTGTGTATGCCATTAACTCTTCATACATTCTCATACTCATTTCATCACTGCGTTTCTATGAAACATACATTATGTATGTTTATATGTACATTACATGTAAATATACATATACTTTGTAAATTATAAATATACAAACTGTTTAGCTTTTGGTGATGTTTTTAGAGAGACACTGCTGCCCATCCCTCTACCATAAGCCTCCTTAGTCGCCTCTTACGATACCCACGAGAAAAAAAAGTGTGGCCTATTCTAAGCCGGGACCTACATGGCTAAAAAAAAGCTAGTATTGTATAAAAAATTTTAAAATCTAACCTTGTCAAATCTGGTTGTGATCTTGACAAATTCAGCTTCTCCTTGCTAAGTTTAGCCTTGGAAGCCTTGCCTTTTGGTTTCCTGGAGTCGTCCCTAGGAACGGGCGCGCGAGGGGACGGCGGTGGGGTACGGCCGCGAGGGCTTGGAGATTGGGTCACCTCTTTAGCGAGATGCTTCAACACAGACGATTGATTGAGAAAGTCATCAGGGATCTCTGTTATTTCCTGTTTAAATAGAAACAAGTTCTTGATCATCAGAAGCAACAACACCATCCTGATTAGATATGATGATCAGAAATCATAATCAGTTGTATTACTAGGTATATATATTTTATAGGATATGTCTTCTAGAAACCAGTTGATATTTTATAGCAGCTATGTTTACTTTTTTTATAATTATATTTGAATGACGGAGAGAATATAACCTCGAGACTTGAATAAGAACCTTGGACAAATATGAATTACAAAATTAACTTGAATATTGAATATTCTATATTGAATATAATATCTCAACTATATCTTTTTTACAAATGTAATAAAGAATATATGAATAAATAAAAAATACACAACAATTTTACAATACTGTCAAATACTATTGTAATAATATATATATATATATATATATATATATATATATATATATATATATATATATATATATATATATATATATATAAACAGAAGTGCCAAAATAGAATACTCTTTAAAAAAATCTAAAGTATATGACAGTTACATGATAAACAATATGAACATTACCTGAACTCCATGGTCCGGAGGGCTTGTATAGATCCTCTGACCCCCTATATCAATATAATTCGCTGAAGTGATGACTGTCTGCTCTTTGTGCACTTTGGGTAAAGGTATTCCACTTGGCTTTTTGCCAACTTCATTTTTCTTCAATGTGTGGTATGGAGACGATTGTGTGGTTGGGTGCTTTACTTCACTGCCAGATCGTTCGTGTTCTCTGTGAATTTTTAATCTGATAGTTAGTAATGTCACTTCGTAAGTATCGTAAAGATGACACCAAATAGACATATGATTAATCAGATCCCCTACAGGGATGATGTAAAATTGTACCATGTGATGAATGATGACCGATTATTCGTAATTTATTCGAGCCAAAAAGGGAACGACGACACATTCAAGGCAACATCACAACCATTTTACTTATCGAATTACTGATTGCAATTAATCTAACACAATGTCAATAATTGGATTATTAAAGGGCACCTTAATTTGTAACCAGCACTTGGACTTCTGGACCTAATAACATGTAGTATTGTATAAGAATTCCTTGTATAGTAAGTGATTACTTAAATGGAATTTTCCGAAATACCCAGATGAGCAGTCATGAGAAACAGAATTTTCTGGATTCAGCTAAAGTAGCTACAGTCAACTACAGAGTTGCTATACTAATTTTCAGGCCTCCTTTATAAGTATAATCATAAGTCTAAAAATATACGTTTTTTTTTATACTACTGAGGTAGCAAACAAGCACACAGCCCATCTGAAGATAAGCAGTCACTTTAGCCTTTGAACACCTGTAATACCAAGGGCATTACGCGCGTGATAGCATGGATATCTAATAGTGGATATACTCATATTGTGACTCAGTGAAGTCAATATACAGCCTTATTTATAAGTTCAATTAAGATGTTATTTATTCACATAAATAATTGAAAAAAAAAATCACGTATTTGGTAATAAATTTCATATAACATTATGTTGATATTGTGATTTAGTGAAAATATTGTAAACGTGATTTGAATGTTGTTTACAACAGGATTAGTAACTTGTAATTATTGAAAGTTAGACTAAATATAATATTTAAGACATGTGAGTGAGTGCCTTCATTACGAAGTATTGGTAATAAGTATTGATTTGATTATCTTTGAATAATATATAAGAGCAAACATTCAATGTATTAAGAACAGTCTTATATAATCCATCGAACCGTAATGTGTATCTATATCATCATTTCAGCCATTATTCGTCCACTGCTGGACATAAACTCCCATAGACTGCCATAAAGAACGGTTCTGAGCAACCCGCAGTCACTGACTCCCTGCAATGCATTTCAGGTCGTCACTCCATCTAGTGAGGGGTCGACTTACACTGCGTTTGCCCGTACGGGGTCGCTACTCAAGGACCTTTCTTTCCCCATCGGTTGTCGGTTCTTCAAGCTATATGACCAGCCCATTGGAAAGGGAAAGGGATTGTTAGTAATGCGGATTACTACGTTCATTGTTAACAATATATCCTAACAGGTCGACCTCCGCGTGGTCTCCCCTGGAAACCATCGCGTTGAATTCCAAGTGTATTTATTAATCAAGATGGGCTAATTGACCTACCTTTTCATCCCCATCTATCATCCCTCACTGGTGCCCCGCCAGCATATACCGATAGCGTGGGTGGGGTTACCATTCCATTATCATTCATTAAAAAAAAAACTGCGCTATACGCGACCATCCAGGTTCAAAGGTATGAGGATAAACCTATAGGTGGCAAGTTGGACAATGTTAGGAAGTAGCTGTTAAAAAATTCCTCTGAGCATAGCCTACTGTACAAGCAGTAGAACACACAGAGGCAAAATCTCTCGTAAGACCGGGTTCAATACCGCTTTATAGACTTACAATAAATGAACATTAAAAATAAGTATAACCAAGCTTATTACATGATTATTATTATTTATATTCCATTCAGTTCTTATGAATTAGTCTTTAGTATTAGAAACTTTACCGAATAGGTGTTGGTCTGGGCGGCCACGAGTCATCTTGATTGTGGATGATGAGAGTGTTGTATGATGAAGAGGAAACATCTAGAGAGCTTCGGTTACTGTTCCCACCACCTACAGAATCTTTCAAGGAATTACGATTACTGCCTGGCACACTTTCCTGTAAAAGAAATTATAATATTTTATTTGCTCACATTCTCTTATCAAACCTGTCTTAATGAAAAAATATGTGATTTGGTAATATGGACTACTGTCGGTATCTGTACTGCAATGGTGGGTGCGACTCTTTGCATTAATGAGGATTGGGATTCGATTTCTAATCGGGTCAATACAGGACATAAAACTATTCTAAATTAACCCAGATCCGAGGTATTCAAATATTTACTGCTTCCTTATAATAAAAAAACCCATAACTTGAAGACTCTGCTATTGATGATGTGATTGAAATGACATAATAGAATAATGTCACAAAAAAATAAGGATCTAGAAATACCACTTCTTCAAACTAGTGTACTAGGAAGGAGGCAGGAGGGAGGGGAGTTGACAGTTTTTTCAGTGTTGGTACCATAATTATTTATTTATTTAACTCTTTATTGCACCATAAATAAAAATATACAATGACAAGTGAATAATTCAAGTGAAATACAATAACATAAATACAAATTGAAATATACACATAAAGGTACAAAAGGCGGTCTTATCGCTAGGGCAATCAATCGCTGCCAATCCCTTGACTATTCGGTTAAAATATAATTTTCTTAAATAATTAAAATAATATTTATGAAAGGCACAATATCTGAAGTTTTTATGGAGAGCCAAGCATTACAGTTTTCATTTTACAGCCTAACTACCAAAAATAACATGTCATTTACTTGTGATAGCCCTTATAAAAATGTATTACATATGACAACAGAATCAAAAGCAAACACTGAGATCAAAAATAATTATTTATATTTAAAACTATCTTTTAACTGCAACTTTGTATGATTTTGAAAGCAGGTCTTGAAAGTGACCACTTCTAGATGGCATATCAATATAAAAAATATACACCAAACTTGAGATTAGACCAGTGTTTCCCAACCTTTTTTGTGCCATGCCCCACTTGAACATTTCTAAAATTTTTATGTCCCCATACATAATTTTTCCCCACAAAGTTTACTTGAGGACTATAATCGCCTAGTTAATATTTTGTAACGTCAAATTAAATTATACCTAATAAATATTTACAGCATTTTTTTTATTTGCTTTTTTTTTGTTAAATTTGGCACTGATATCTACTCGTAGCATTGCATTTAAATGGCCAGAGCAAGAGGGTTAAAATCGCTTCGAGTCCATTTTTTAATTGTGCCCCCCCTAGCTATCAAATTGCTCCCCTGTGGGGCGTGGGCTCATTGTTGGGAAACACCAAGTTAGACCTTCTTCTTGGAACACAACTTATCATCTTGTTACAATTTTAATTAGTAAATTATACCCACCTTAAGTGAATTCCTGTTATTGTTATTATTTGTCTGGCTTTGGTTTTCCTGTCCTTGTGGTTCAACACGAGCTGTGTGGCGGACAACATATCGCTCCTCTCGGGAAAGGTTTTCATTTGATGTTGATACATCTGTTTCACTGCCTGATAAACTTTGTGGAAACCCACTTGGTACTAATTTTGAAACAATAAATATTGAGTTATAATTTTTTTTTTATTTTCTAAAATTTTCTTCTAAGAAGCAATCATGACAAAACACATATGGGAACAAAATGGGGGGTAAATTCTATTGATGACAAAAAGAATCATAAAAAATCAATTCTAAATTGAACATTACAAAAATAACATCATCAAATTGAGATATTGAGAACACCTCTTTATATTATATTATATGTAAGACCTACACACCATGAAATCATTAATTTAGGAAACACACTTTTCCAAATTAGCTCTGGTCTGGTTGTTATGGAATATGTTAAACTATCATCATCATCATCATATGATCTGTTAACTTCCACTGTTAAATATAGGGTTCCCTTGGGGGGGTTTGCCAGTAATTGCCATATTTGGCAAACAGGTTGCCAACGATAGTTCGAATTAGGTGGCGTTTTAAGAGGGATGCTGCTGCCAATCCCTTGACTATTAAGTTAAAATATAATTTTCTTAAATAACTAAGTCATGCTTTATCTAATTAATTCCACTTAACTTTTCTGATTGATTGAAAAAAACAACTGGAATGAATGACTTACATTGTTCCTGAACATTATATTTACTAGAATGTTGATAAAACTACAGAATGCATATTAAAATATTTTTATATAAAACATTGGACCACAATGTTACATTAAATAAAAAAAGTATTTTGTTAACACAATCATTTTTTATCAGCTATAAATATTGTATTTTTTTTTTATAATTTATTTTACTTTTCTTATAATATAAATAATTCTTAAGATAGTTACAATTAAAAATTACTTATATACAAAATAATACTAAATTACAGAGGATTTCCAATTACAAAACCTGTCACAATGATAAAATAAACAGTAGAAATATTATAAATTCCTTTGCATTGCACTACCTTGACTAACAGCAACGGCAAACAAGGGCAAATATTGCAAAACAATGAATCATAACAATGGAATTTTATTGCATCTGTCACAAATAAGCATACAATCAGAAGGGTTTAACTCACCAGTTTGTTTCTGTGTTCTCTGTATATTGTTGGTGAACGAGAGAAACCTCCCAGACGGTCGCATCGAACCCATGCTTTTAGTGGACTACAATGACAGATTTCAACGTGATATCATTTCACTTTTAATTCGATAGATCTTGTACTCCTATACGTTATGCATTCAACATCTGAAAGGAAAATACGTAATGCATGTTTATTTAGAATGTTATTGTATCTATATCCAGATAGAATAAAATCAAAATAAAAAAAAAATCATATGTTCGAGTCGAAGACATGACAAAAAGTCCAATTCAAATAGATTGATCATAAAGTTTTGCTCATATTTTGTTAAGAGAATTCTACGGTGCAAGTTACTAGATAGTTATACTTACAATGTATTAGGAGTCAGAGGATTGTAACAACATATATTGTAAATAAAAATAATTACAAATACATTTTATGAAAAAATATTCCTTCTTTTGAAGGATGGGATAATCAGTCATATCAAGCAGAAGACTCTGATGATCAGTCAGTTGTCAATCAAATTGTCAATGTCGTTTTCTTCATTCATATTTTTAAGTTCCTGCTAAGAACAAGGAATTACATAGGAGTAATAAAATTGTCAATTCATAGCAGGCTAGTGTATAGAAAATGTTATACGGCCGTACAACCCTACCAAATTTAGATACAACCTGCTTACGTACTTTCTACATAAACTGTGTCGAATATATAATCCAGTAAAGTAAAATTTGTTATTGACAAATAATTGACATATCAAATATTTTCTATACACTAGCCTGCTATGAATTGAGAAAAATAACAACTGATGGTATATATTTCGTCCTCTTTTTATTAATTAAATTTGCATAAGAAGAAAGGAGGCAACCATATGATTTACAGTTATTATTTTATCATTTCTTCTATGTAATTCCTTGTTCTTAGGTTCTGTGACAAAGACTCAGAATCTAGAATTCTAGATGCATATATAATCTAGACATGTATGTTTTATATACAGAATACTAAAAATGATCGTTTATGAAGTTTTTAAAGATATTACCTATACTTTTCTCTACTTCTCCGACTGTTTATATCTGTGGATTGTACTAAACCACAAATGCCTTAGTCTATGACAATTTTACTTAAATTTAAAACCTGAAAGTCAAATTATTAATATTTGTTTCGAAAAATTATATTACTTATTTTTTACAATTTATAAAATTGAAGAAATTAATACCTAATATAATTATTTAACAAATTTATTAAACATCTGCAAAGGCACTAAAGGAAAATAGTAGTTACTATTGCAAATTTTTGTTTTCCCTTTAAATAATGTTTTCAAGAATCTTCCTTAGCACCATTCCCTCGTCAATAAAAATAGTAAGCGCTGTGACTTTAAGAAATTCGAAAGAATGTTTCGGACTGCAGTCAATTTGTAAGTTCAAATATTTACGCTTTATTACTAGAATCATAATTTACTAACTTTTTGCCTGTACTCTGTAGACATTGATTTCAGAAGAAAATCGGTGAAATAGACCACTTATAGATGCCGTATTAGGATAAAAGATGAACTTAAGTTAAACTTTTAGGCACAGAACTGTGAAAATCACATCTAATTTGGTGCAATAGTTAATACTATACAAACACATCAGGGTGACCAACTATTTTTTGTTCAAAAAGAGTACACTTTGCAAGTATTTCATAGGTGAAGAAAAAAGTAGAAAAAACTATAAAAAAATTATTTTCTTTTAAAAACATATTTTTCTTCAGAGTGGATTTTTTTTGCTAAATAAGAATGTTCATCTTATTAGATGAACATTAAGCCACATCCAAACAACTTCTATTTTGCATATTAAATTTGACTATTAAGACGGCAATTAATGTTTTTACACAAAGTTGCGACTTTTCACTGCTCCAATAATCATTCCCTAGTGAAAATACCCTTTCAACAGCAGCATTAGTGCCTGGACAACATAAAGAAATTTCTATTAAATCTTTTAAGTTTTCATGTGGGATATATTCTACTCTAAAATGTCAATTTTATTAATTAAATTTTAAATATTTAATTAATAAAATGAAAAATAAAATAATCTAAAAAAATGTTTTAGCAATACAAATGAGTACTTTCAGAGTACAAGATTTGAAAAGAGTATGGTTTGCAAAAAAACAGTACAAAACTCAGTAAATGAGTATAGTTGGTCACCTTAAATACATAGACAGATAAAATATCTAAAAATTTTGCTCCAGCTTTTGTTAGCTTCATTAAAACCTTACTTATAATTTTTTTTAACTATCTCTCATGTATTGAGATTTTCTAGTTACAATTTTATTAGTAAGATTTGTAGTTTTATATTTTAATAATGTTAAAATTTTAAACTAAATGTTTAATCTATCCATGTTCACGTATATATATTTTTATCTTTTTTACTGATAAGTAGTGTCTAATCATAAATATCTACGCAACCAGGTTGTATACCCAGTACAAATTTAGTCACCAAGTATCGAACATATTCTGATCATATAAATCCTGAAGAGATGATTGTAGACTATGAACATGTGAAAAAAGCAACATCTGCTAATAACATACTCATAGTTGATGTTAGAGAACCTGATGAGATTAAAGAGCATGGCAAGATACCAAACAGTATCAATATTCCATGTAAGTACCTATATTATTTTGTTTCAAATACATTGAAAAGATAAAATTGTTATCAAATTGTAAACAACTAGAAAATTAATAAATAAATGATATCTCTGAAACAATATATGGTAGAACTATTGTTTTAGAAGTTAACATGAAGAAATTTACTTACTTCTTACCCTGATTACAAAGTTTCCACTTTTTATATAGGATGATATCCAACAAGTCATCTGCTTGGATACTTTTGTTCCATTTGTATTTCTGCCATGAAACAGTTGTGTTTACATGCCTGTGTTTCAGTTTGAAGGGTATATAGCAATGAAATTACAGGGTACAGAGACATGATACCTAAATCCTCACGAATGACATTGCACGCAGGGTGTCATAGGCAACACAGTGATGTGATAATCATGGTAGAATATATTATATTACACTGTTTATGTCTATAGGTGATAGTTATTATTGACCATTCTAAGTTGCACAAAAAATCTAAAAAATTGAAAAACCACCCTCCCTTTCTATTCTTGTATTTTAGTTTTGACAATTAAAATATATCATTTATTTTATAAATTCTTCAATATCAAAGTTTACATATAACTATGTAAACTTTACATAACATTTTAAAGTTTCTCAAAATGTACAAAATAAAGAGCAAATTGTCAAAATAATATAGTGGATTACAGCCTGTACATGTATGTGTAAATTAGCATTATTTTAATTGCAGTGGGCAATGTGTCAACAGTTTTAAGTACTATGTCTGAGAATGAGTTCAAACAGATATACAATAGATCTAAACCCTGTGAGGACACTGAAATAATCTTCTATTGTATGATTGGAAAGAGGTCTGGTATGGCACAACAGAATGCCTTAAACTTAGGATACAAAAAGTAAGTCATGGCTAATTTTCATAATACATGAAATAGTAGGTATGTGTTTATTTCCTCTAGAGTTAAATTATATTACAACAAAACATACATTAATATATATCTATAATTATGTCTTGTTGTTATTATGCTTGATATCTCCTGTATTTCTTATTAAATACAGGGAATATCAAGCTAAAAGTTTGCCTACTTGTTTGTAACTGCACCATATGAAAATACTGTTCTACCAATGAATATTTTCACCAAATATTATGATTAAATAAATATTTGGATAATAATAATTGTTAATATTTTCAGTGTCAAAAATTATCTTGGCAGCTGGACAGAATGGGCAACTAAAGGAAACTAGATTTTTTGCAGTGAGAAAATTTTATAAGAATGTATGTTGTTGGTGGTGCTGATAAATATATCTAGTCTCAATAATTGTAGCTTTCCAAAAAAATTGTGTTTTTTAAGCTATTCATAAACCTATTTAAATAGTGATTGATATTGATAAATAATAACAAAAAGAATAAACCATTATATTTTATTGCATTATCATGATAAAATTACAGCAAATGTATGTGTAAATATAATTTAGTGTCTTATTTTTGTTTACTAGACCAGTCATTCCAACTTCCAAGATAGGTCTTAGAACTGTAATAAGAAAATATTAGTTTCAATTTACATTTCTAACTTTCTAAATTCTATTGTTTTTGTAAATACTATTACATACTAGCTGTTTCCTGTAACTTTGTTTATGTGAATTATTATCCTATGTGTATGTAACCTATCTTTTTTTATTACTAGAGAGGTAAACAAGCAGACAATCCACCTGATGGAAAGTGACTATTAACACTTACAGCACAAGGTGAGTTACTTATACCAAATTTCAAATCTGTTCAGCTATTTACATTGATGTTTCTAAAGTTATTTTCCCTTAAAAAAAGACGCATATGTAGTCTCAAACATGACTTTGCGAAGCTTTGCTCGCATCTTAGAGTGAACACCTGATGATTCTGGTGCACCCTCTCCTTTTTTAAACCTAGTTACAACTGTTTAAGCAGAATTCAGTAACAAACATCTAACAAAAAAATCTTTACAAATTCTTATTTTTAATATTAGAAATAAGATTTGGTACATACTTTATATACTTTGATTATAATACATACTTGGAATATCCTAGTTTTAAAGCCTTATCCAGAGCTTCACTAGAACGTCTTCCAGATTGACAATAAAATATGAGTTCATCTGATGAGGATGGTTTGCCTCTCTGATACTGCCTTTTAAATTCTTCATCAGACATAGAAGTCAATACATCATGAACAGTACTCACTAAAAACAAGAAATACTTATCAAAACAGATGAGTGCAGTGACCATCATTCCTTGTATTAAAAAAGTATTGGCTAGTTTCATGTGCATAATTATATAATCTTATATTCATTGTTGTGGTTGTATGATAGTAATTTAGTTATATTTATAGAGTCTTTTTAACAGGAAAAATTGGTGACATGAAACATAGTTTATCAGAATAAACTATTATAGAATACATATGTTTTGCTGGATATTATTAATCATTAATTAAAGTTATTATTATTTTCTCTATGAGAAAATATTTTAATATGAAACCTTGCATATAAGACTTTTCTTACAGCAACTTTAAAAGTTGGCAATAGAGAATTATGTTACTTATATAAAATTACATGGTATATTGATGCTAGAAGGAATCTTGCCAGTGTTAGTGACTTCATCTGGATTTCTCACATCAATGATTACTTTCTCTGGCTGGTGAATCACCTTCAGCATGTCCTCATAGCTAACCACCCGTTTTGGATCCACCATTTTTTTATATTCCTTATTATTCGTAAGATATCTTGTGAAACTTAATGTTATATGCTTCGTCTTCACTTTTAACTGGAATTATTAGTCTTAACTTTTATTTAACTTAGTAGTCTTATTTACACCAATGAGAAGGAAAATGTTTAATGGCCCAACTACATGTAATATTCTACCTGTACTATCTTCATTTGCATAAAGATTATGCATTTCTAACTAAGCAAAATACAATTATACTACTTCTGTATCCCTCGTCCCCTCTAATCTACCTAAATAAATGTTGCAAATATATTGTTTATGATGTGTAAATCATATATTTGCAACATTTATTTTAGTAGAAGTGGTGGTTCACTATACAAACAAATATGTTATATATTTTTTACAATAAAATATTTAATAAACAGTATATTTTTAGTAAATTCAGTGTTAAAACAAATTTATTTACAGCAATTAGAATTAAAGCACAATGATGATTGAATTAAGAGGTAAGAAAATGTCAGGAAAGTAAGAATGGAAGAAAATAAAAATTTAAAATTAGGATTGAAGTAGGATTTAAAGTGAATAATAAAATTAAGTACAAACTAAAATATTTCTGTGAAGATATTGTGTTTCTGGTTGTAACAATTTTTGTAAAACTGCAACACGAGATAACATTGCTGAAGAAAATAGAAACATACAAAATTAATAATTTTTAGCTGCTCTTCACCAAAAAATTTTAAGAAATTAAATAAAATAAATTCTAACCCTTGATGAAAGTTTATGAAATTTAATTTTTGACTTTAACTAATACAAATTTGGGGTGTATTTCTTATATATTACAATGAAGTAAGTTTTTGACAATTAATGTAAAAATAACAAAGCACTGACACTATTAAATTGCTTTACTCAGATTTTAAATTTGGGAATGCCAAATTAGTTTTGATCTCAATAAGAAGCCTTATTTATATTATTCAAGGGTGTGTCGCAAGTGGCACTGCCCAACCAGCAAGCTATTTCTTGCTGTGTGTTATCATTTCATACCGCAGATGGGGTTACTAACAGGATATGCTGGCAGAGCACCAGTGAAGGGTGATTGATGAGAATGAAAACAGGCCAGTTAGCCCATCATGACGAATTCACAAGGAATTAACCATGATAATTTCTAGGAAAAACCGCGAGAAGGTTAATCTGGCTGGGTATATTGCTTCCCTTTCCCCCCCTAATGGGTAATGGGTTAATTCCCGGGTTGATCCATTGAGTGAAGTATACTGTTATACTTTTTCCGACTCATGTTCAGTGTGAGCATTAGAGGTAGATTCCAAGCAAGAGACAGTGTCCAATTGCTATCTTTATTGAAATTTGGTTGATGGCAGATCTCGATGGCTTTACGCACTTTTCGCAGTATGCAATATTTATTTATCGCAGTACTGACGCCTGGGGGAAGGGATTTTTTTTTTTACAACACAGGGGGCAAACGAGCATGCGGCTCACTTGATGGTAAGTGACTACCGCCGCCCATGATCACCCATAACACCAGCGGCATTGCAGGTGTGCTGCCGGCCTTTTAAAAAGGAATATACTCTTGAAGGTTATGTTGTATCGGTTCGGAAATACTGCTGCTGGAAGTTGATTCCAAAGAATGGTTGTGCGTGGAAGAAAGTGCCTTGAAAAACGCACGGTGGAAGACCGCCACTCGTTCAAATGATTGGGATGAAACTTTAGTTTGTGGCGGGTTGTACGGTGGTGAAAATCAGCAGCAGGTATTAGTCCGAACAATTCCTCAGAACACTCCCCATGATAAATTCGGTAGAAGATGCACAGAGATGCAACATCTCTGCGCAGTTTCAGTGGATCAAGTCGGACAGTAAGGCGTTGACTATCTATAATTCGAGCCGCCCGACTTTGAATGCGGTCTAACGGAAGGAGTTGGTACTGTGGCGCTCCTGCCCACAGGTGAGAACAGTATTCCATATGCGGCCTGACTTGGGTTTTATATAATTTCAGACGGTGTTCTGGCATGAAATATCGTCTCACCCTATTGAGCACTCCTAACTTTTTGGAAGCTATCTTAGCCTTCTCCTCCGCCTCCTCTAGATGACCGCAAAACTGGACATCGCAAGATATATCAACGCCCAGAATTCCTAGACTAGACTTTTTATCAAGGGAAGTGCCCTGAAAGTAAGGAGATACGACAAACGGCGTCTTTTTTGCGGTAAACGCGCAGATTTGTGTCTTTTTGGGGTTAAATTGGACAAGATTTTGTTCACCCCAGATCGAAACTTGCTGGAGTGAAGTTTCAATTTCAGACACAAGTCTATTGATTGTTATAAATGGGGACTAATAGACCCATTGCTAGCAAATCCTATCAGGTCGACCTCCCCATGGAAACTCCTGAAAACCATTGTGCTAATTTCAGTGTATTTATCACGATGAGCTAACTGACGTGCCTTTTCATTCTCACCTATCATCTCTCACTAGTGACCCGCCGTATACTTTTAGCGCAAGCGGGGTTATCATTCCATTATCATCCATAAAAAAAAAATACTAACGTCTTAGCAAGACGAATGTAATGGTCTGAATTTGTGTTGTAGATATGTTCTGCCATGGCTTTATTGTCTTGGCAATTCTTATGCCCTTTTCCGTAATATAACTTAAGCTGCACGGTATTGTGTACACTCCTATTGAATAAGGGTTCCTATTGAGTTCGAAACTAGTCGGGCATCTCCGAATTTTAAATATTAATAAAGACTATATAAATAATTACAATAAAGAATGACGCAAGATATATATTATTCAACAATACGAAATAAAAAATAATTGACGAAGTTAATTGAAAAATGTGTAACAATTGAAAGTTGACCTTGACAATTAGATTTTGACGTTGACGTAAGTCATAAAATGACACGTACTTGTATAATTATTTTCTGTATTCACCCCATTCATAGACATCTAAATAGAAGAAATTTATACGTTCCGTAAACATTTTATTCACAGATTTCTGTAACTTATTTATTTAATTATTAATAAGTTCGTGAGATAAAATGATATAGCAACGTCAAATGACTTATTCCAACTCTTAGATTCGCTTTACCATAGATAATGATTCTATCGATTAATTCAGTTGCCACCTATTTAAGCGGGCAGACTAAGAACAAAAATCTTTGGGGGTAGATGTCAACTCGACACAACCTTCGATCTAGGAATTAGATATATATCGATGTATAATTATAAGTTTTGTATATTGAAAAAAATAAAACAAAGATTTTCTTTGTCGACGTGAATGTTTTTCGTTTAGACTATATTTTCTATTTCTCTTCTTTTGAAGTTTGTTAAAAATACAATATAGTATTTTATCATTAGAATTCACCAGCATAAAGAAGAGTTCGTAGGAGTTCTTGGGGCTCGATAGCGGGAACGACAGGAGAGACTGCTCATTTAACTCGCCAGATTCAATATGCCGCGTTACAACACTATTATCTGTGTAATATCATATATTGTGTAGATTCGTATCATAAAGGTTTGATTTTTTAAATGATTTAAATAAATTTAAAGAAATTTTAAATAATTTTTTTACAATATCAAATTCATATCAACCTACAATTTATTACATGTGTTTTTAAGTGAAATAAATATCTTATTGTTAACTTTTAATATTATTAATTGTTAATTTTTTTTTTAAGTTTTGAGTTTGTATTTATTTATCAATATCGACACAGATAATATAATACTATACTAGGTATCGATAAATCATGTAATGATAGAATTTGCATAAGTGCTTTACACTGTTTTATGTCCACACTTATATTCCCGCACACAAGAGCAATCATATTTTAATCTCGTTCTTTATTTAATTTCTAGTCTGTTAGTATGTAACTTGTTCTTAGGTATGTAAGTGCGTTATACTAAGTACATCTAGATAGATATATTTAGATAATCTACCTATTTATTTAAATACCTAACTGTAGGCTAGTAACATATAGCCACTGAGCTAACTATATAAATAAACATTATGTAAATCTTAATAAATAAGTTTACGAGTTAAAATTTGTTTTCATACCACTGAGGTGGCTAACAAGTATACGGCCTAGCTGATGGTAAGCAGTTACCGTAGCCTACTTACTTGCAATATCAGGGGCATTACACGCGCTTTGCCGATTCTGAGGAAACCTGTTTTTTTTTTTTAAACTCATGCTGTAATCTCTTGAAGAAACCTCGACAGATAGAGCTCATTCCATAATCTGGACGTTCGTAGGAGAAAACTATTCAGGGTCTATGTTATGGGTGTGAACTCTCTGTCGATGACGAACTGTATTATAGTAGAAAATGACTGTGGGTATCATATTGAACAATTCCTTTGTGCTTAGTCCGTTGTAGAAGCGGTAGAATACGCAGAGTAAGGCAAAATCTCTCCTTGAACTAAAAGGTTCTATACCACTGGTAAGTCTGAGAGTCTACCATAAAATGAAATTCTGTATTTCCATAGTCAATTTCGTGTTTTAGTTCATTCCGAAATCGGCCCATTAAATGAAGCTTAACATTTCGTTCGTCATAAATCCTATCATACCAATTCAAAGAAATCATATTTTAACATTTTTAATGTTTTTAAACGATATGTATTATCACAGATAATATAATACTATACTAGTAGTATTATGTACTTTTAACATTAAATATTTGTGTAGTTCGGCCTCGAAATTTCGGAACAAATTTCATGGTAGGCCCTCTGGGATCATCGACAATTCTCACAGCGCGTCCGCGTCGTTGCACTGAGGTGGAAGTTCAAGCTGGTATTTAGGTACTCCCGCCTATATTCCATGCGGGGCCTAACCTGTTATGCCTGGGGGGAAGGGATTGTTAGCAATGGAGTTTGACAGCCCTATTGCTAGGAATATGCCCTATCAGGTCAACCTCCGCGTGGTTCCCCCTGGAAACCATCGTGAACAATTCTTGTTGAATTCGTCACGATGGGCTAACTGACCTGTTTCATCCTCATCTATCATCCTTCACTGGTGCCCTGCCGGTGTATACCGATAGCGCGGGTGGGGTTACTATTTCATTATCACCTATAAAAAAAAACCTGTTATGCCCATGGTACTGCTCATGACTATAGGCGACGGTTACCACTTTCCATTAGGTGGGCCATCAGCTTGTTTGACATTCTAAGTTGTATAAAAAAAACCTAATTTATAAATAAATAAATACTATATACCTATTTTAACAGTTATACTAATTTAACGGCAATGATATTTCTATCAAAAATATCTAACTAAAATATATACTAGAGCAAAAAATTTACAAAAATGTAAGATATAAATCATTAAAATAATACATTTTTTATTTAAGTTTAAGCAGACAAAAGAAAATAATAAAAACTTTTATACTTCGTGATAATTTCCACCAAACGGCTCGCATCGCATTGGATCGGAAAGGATACCAACCAAAATACCAACGGATGCGGGGACAACCGATCGTGTCCGGCAGGTTGTCGACGCATACGATCGGCTCCATACCATCGCTTTTGAATGAATCCATTTTTGCGCTTAGATAGTTTCATTCTTACAGTGTAGACGTGTTCTAATTTTAAAAAATTGTTGAAGTTGACGTAGTATTGTTAGCTATTGCATTAGAAGAAAATAATCATAAAACACAGAAGAGGAAAAGAAAAATGAATAATGCCGTCAGCCACGGTTTTGAGCGCACGCGACGTCAGCCGAAAGAATCCGATCGGATACGACGGCAGACAAATGGAGCCGATCGCGTGTCGCAGTATACTTTCACCTACTGTAGCGTGTCGCGGAAGACGCCTGTGGTCAAGCTGTGTGAACTATTTTTTTTATACAACTTAGAATGGTAAACAAGCTGACGGTCCATCTGATGGAAAGTGCCGTTGCCGTTGCCTATAGACATGAGCAGTTCCATGAACATAACAGAGTATACTGTTACGCCCATGATACCCCCCATGCGTTGCCATTCCCTTTACCCTGTAAATTCACGCCACATTCCACCCTTCAAACCGAAACACAACCATGCAAACACAACTGCTTTACGGCTGATATAAAGATTGTAAAATCCGATCCGACACAACCCGTTTGGTAAAAATCACCCTTACCTAGTAATAATTAGTAGCTTTCGGAACCTATAAGCCTTTCTTATGAATTTAAAATGGCACAGTCGGTATTCGAAATGAAGAATGACGTTTCCATTCAGAGCAATCAATCTATGAATATGAAATGAATAATAATATAGTAAAAATGTAAAACTGTACTCTTGCTATATCTCAAAGCATTTTCCATATGATATAGAATAATCTGTATCCCATCTATCAATCCAGGGCATGGTCCATCCATGCACGAAAGTCTATTTTTATACATTCTGCCATTGGGGTGTGTTTGAGCAACACACATCCACATTTATAATTTTAATATGATAGTAATAAGTACTAAATAGTATTTGTTATTACCTATATCATTTCCCATATTCCCTTAAATTATTTCCAGTATATTTTTTTAATGTTATAAATGTTTACTAATCTGGAAAAACCCTATTATATATTTACTACTTTTACAAATAAAAAACATACCTTACACAAAATAAAAAATATATTTTTAATCAAAATAATTACAGCATAATGTGTATAATGAAGTATATTTATCAGTCTTAAAAAATGTCTTTTAGGTTTATTAATTTTTTATGTGGTTATTAAAATGTATTACATCATTTAAATTGTAACCAATATTTATTACAATGTTAATATAATATGAAATACTGGCTTATATAATTTTTTAAATCATTCACCAAACTTCTATTACTTTCTATTTGCAATTGATAACACTCATTTTCCACTTAAATGCTAATTGAGTGATGTTATTTTGCTCTTATCACTTAGTTTACAAACATCTGTATTAACCATAAACAGCAAACAGGTATCATTTTGCTTACAATTTAATTATTTGATATTTTTTCAAAATATTTTTTCTTCTCATCCGGATTTGGTATTATCTGAAATAAAGTAATAACAAATTAATTAAATAAATTATAAATTAAATACTAATGTGGGGAAAAAAGTAATCATTATAAATCCCATAGATTAGAAACATCTGTCAACTGTTATCATTGTGATAAAAATTTATTAGTTTCCAAAAACCACTAAGTTGGAACTTTGATAGTTTAGTGTTACAAATGTTTTTATTCTTAAAAAGGGGTAACAAACCTTTACTTTTACCTATAGCTATTTAAATAAATACATAAATCCACATACAACAGAGTCAATTACTTGCAGGGAGTGTTTATTTTTAATATAAGCATTAGTTTTATGGTTATATATATTTTACATTTAGTTTTATGTAATTTTAAAACAGCATAACTATAGTATGTTTTTTACTTTGTGGTAATTTTAAGTCAGTGAAATATAAATAATTTATAAGTAGGAATAAAGTAATTTCTAAGTCTTAAAACATATTTTCAACTTACAGTATCTTGACCTGGCTTCCAACCAGCTGGACACACTTCTCCATGCTTATCAGTGTATTGAAATGCTTGGACTAATCTAAGAGTTTCATCAACGGATCTGCCAACTGGTAAATCATTCATAGTGATTTGCCTTAAAATACCCTTGTCATCAATAATAAATAATCCTCTTAAGGTGTGTCCCAGATCTTCTAAATACACCCCATAATCTTTTGCAATTGAATGAGTTAAATCACTTAGGAGTGGAATATTAATTTTTCCAAGACCTCCTTCTTTACGTGGAGTATTAATCCATGCTAAATGGGTAAAATGTGAGTCAACAGAACAAGCTACCACATGTGTATTAATCTTTTTGAACTCTTCAATCCTCTCAGAAAATGCTAATATTTCTGTTGGGCATACAAAGGTGCTGAAAAGTAACATTTTATATGTTTTAAATAACAAATATCTATGATTAAATATTTTGACAATAGGTATACAGTAATAATTTACCAAACTAGCTACACCCTGCAGATTTTTTCACATGAATTATGATAAAAAATATTATGTATTATGTCTGGAATATTGTTCATCTCTATATTAAACTTCTTTTAAATGTATTTAGCATTTTGAGGGTGATTGAGATATTTGATACACATCCAAATAGGTAATCAAAAATATGCAAACATTTTTACAAATTGGAATAATAAGAAAGAAATGACGTTATAATATGTATATAATTGATCACTTGTGAGTTCAAAACTCCAGTTTATACCGAGTACTAATTAAATATTATTATCTAATATATTTACATATTTGTTTTATAATAAAAAAAAATTGTACAGTATATACTTACAAATCTAAGGGGTAAAAGAAGAAAACCAAATATTTTCCTTTGAAACTTGACAAAGAAAGTTGTTTAATTTCACCATCTATGACAGCAGTTGCTGCCCACTCCGGTGCCGGTTTTGATACTGTAGATAATATAGAAAATAAAAATTTTTTACAAATAATAACATAAAAGGTGAATTATTTATTTTACTGATAAGTACTTACTCATCGCCTTTGTAAATTGTAATTTATGATCAATTTTTCTTGCGCCGCCGGGAAAAACATTGCCGCTCCCGAATGAATAACATGATTCGCTATCAAATAGAGAGGAGTTACAAATATTAGACGTACTCGTCACAAAAACTAATGCTATTAAAGTGTATCTCATGTTCTGCATGGTTTAGTAATCAGAAATAAGAATAAAATAATATTACTTTCTAAATAAATTTTCGTGTATATGTATTTATTTTATGACTGTTTTTTTTTTAACTAGTCTGAAGTTGTAATCAGTCAGTTTACTAAATAGCACACGTAAGCATTTTGTTTAGTCGTCCCGTTTCATGAAATATATTTAATTCCTGTGAATATATTATTTGAAATTATTTTTTGTCTAAAATATTTTGATTAATATTTTTTTAATAAATTAATTTACAAAAAAAATTCGACTATGTATTAAAATAAAAAACAGAAAAATACAAAAATCGTTTTCTCTGAGTTTGAATCGAGTGTGTTTTCGATTGTATTATAATATTGCTTATTCACATCACTAATTATTGTACGCTTCGTTTGCAGTGAAGTGCTGTATTATTTTCTTGTATTTCAGTTTCAATGTAAATTATTAAAAAATGAGTTTATATTCTGTTTCAAATTTAATTTCTTAATTTGGACACGGGTTAAGTCCATCGCAACCTTTTGCGGTAAGTTTTAAAGTTAACTTCAGAATCCACTTGTCGTTCACTATGGCGGTCTTCATTTACATTAGTCCTATCCTGTCGTAAATAATTTCGTCATAACCACTAAAATGCTTACTTGCTTGTTTATTTTAATTGAATAGAGTCTTTATTTACGTTTTTTAGATGGACGTACCGGATGAAGGTGTTTTGGATGTGGATTTATTAGGCGACGATGGTTCAGAGGATGAAGGTGAAGCACAGCCCTCTTCAGGTACGCAACTCCTAACATTGAAACTAATGGAATATTCCAACGGCAAAGTGTTCTGATTCTTTATTAACTTATTTGAATATAGTATGCTTTTCAAAACTCTGGTCAGGCTTCTATCAATTTCCATGTATCTGGTTAATTTACATTAATTAGTTTTTGAATTCCCAACTTAGTATATAATATACTTGTAATTTACGTATATAAAATCACATGGTCTCTACAGCAATTTAATATGAAAGGTTGTGAAGAAAAGCTCAGTTTCAATCAATATTGTTGCTGGATTTTGAATTCTTTTCATGCAATCCAATGTGATTTAAGATAATATTTATTTTATTATTGTTACTGTTATTATAGTGCAATTAAAGTCTGGCTCTGCACATAGTTTGTCATTCTTCTGGTGTATTTTATCAAGAATTACTTATAGTCTTTTATATATTTAATATATGTATAGGATGTTAAAATTTAGGTTGAAACATAATTTATATCTAAGCAATTATTGGAAATGGTTATGCATTATTATTGTTTTTATTGTTTTGTTTTACTTTTGAGTTGTTATTATTTTGTACTAATTAGGATTTTGTATTACTGCTAGTTTTTCTTTGATCTTATAATACAATGAGCCCTATAATTATATATTAGCTTTATTATATTATAGCTTGCAAATTAATACTCTTTGTATATTATATGAAAAGATTTATTTAATAGAAATATTCTATTACAAAACTTTAATAAACTGTTATGTAAATATAATTTTAATGTATCATGATATCTATATAAGATTAATGTGTGACAAATTTTTAGACTTCTATCCTGGGCCTGCATCGACACCAACATCATGTGCATCATCGCCACGTGGAGAAGAGCCTGCTTCTCCACATGCAGCAGTGTCACAACCACCATTTTTCCACCAGCAACCATACACTCGACCATTCTTTACTTCAGGCCGAAGAGGACCTGGCAGGCCTCGAAAAGAAGGCCCTAAGCTGACTAGAGATGGCAAAGTTGTTAGGAGGTGAGTTTGTGTTGTGATATGTGTAATCATCTAAAAAAAAAATATTTGCAAAATTTATTAATTAAATTAATGGTAAAGATCTAGTCTAGTGATTTACTGTGTAGACTCAAGGCTAATTATTTAACTTTACAATACAACAATTTATGCCAAGAACTACATTTTTGACCCTATTTTAATAATAACAAAAATGCAAATAATACTATTTTTAGAAATTATTTTTTCATTATATTATTTTTTATTCTTTTTTTTTAATATAGAAATTGGATTTAAACTTTTGTTAACAGATATAGAGGAAATCCTGGCTCTCTTAGAGGAGCTAAGAGGCACAGAGGTAGTCGAGACGATACACTTGATGATGTTATAGATGAGGATGATATTACCATGCCTGCTCCTGAAGAACCTCCTTACACTCCAGAAAAATGGTAAATTATGGCTTAAATTATTTTAATTAATTTTCACTAATTATTAGTATTTAAAATCTGATAGTATTTATATATACACATTACAAAGATCTTAGCACTATAATTTTCTCAATTTTAATATCATTAATTTTAGGCCTGGCAAAGTGTGTGCTCTCTGCAATCTCAGCGAACGTAGTCAACTTGGACAAGGAGAGATGAGACAGATCCTGTGTAACATTGAAGGGTCTGGCAGCAGTACCCCTGGGGCCGGGTCTGGCGGCGCTACGCCCACCAGTGCTCCTCCCAGCACGCCCGGCACCCCCGGGCCGCCCGCGGCCGCGCCCACCGCCGCTCCCGCGCCACCCCTGCTTCCTGCTCCGTCGCCCTTGTCACAACACCCTCCGACCCTCGGCTCACCACCTCCAGAATTGCTTGATGCCAACCAGCAGCAGTTGGCGTTGCCCCTGAGCAGACGTCAAAAGGCTTTTAATAAGTGCAAGTAAGTTGTCACATGTAATGGTATGCATTAATCTGACAAAAAAATTATATATTAATTATGGATAAAACCCAAAAAAAACATATTTTTCTCTAAAACTGTTGATTGATTATTCTAATAATTAGTAATTACTAATTTTATTATTCATCTGTTGAATTGCTGATAACTTAGTGCACGAAATGACAAAATTGTGTTCTAATTTCAATATGATAATTAAAATTAAAAAAAATTGAAATATTCATAAATGTACATCAAAATAAGTTTATATACTAACATCAAAATTATCTTCACAAGAGAAAACAATTGAATGATTCACCACTGCATTAGGATTTTACAAGTTGCAACCACTTTTTGTATTATAAGCTTTTTTCACACACTAATGAATAGTTTATCCACTTTCTTTAATGTAGTATTTGTGCACGCTGGCACAATACACTATTTGTTCATTTTCTTTCTTGGGAAATGATAAAAATTAACAGAAATACTGACCAAACTACTATTACATACTGATCATGTATAACATTAATTATTGTTTAGATAAATGCGACACCACTGATGCTATATTGTTTATAAGTTGCATTTCAGTGACCTTTTTAAATTGTACATCTTTATTTGATATTTTTTGACGCACTTTTTGGAAGATCTATAAACATTGATAAATTGTCCGAGGTGGTTTTCAGAAATCGGTCAAATAGCCTATATGGGGAGTAAAAATATACACCAACATAATTTTAGTTACATACACATACTTTATATGATTCTATAAGTAAAACATCCATGTTTATTTCTTGTTTTAGAACCCCACTATTCAATATGGAGCACACAGATGAGTTGTCTATAATAGGCCATCAAGATGTTCTGGAGTTACCAGCAGTAGTGACATCAGGAGCTTTCTATCTTCATCGCTGCTGCATCGAGTTCAGTCCACCTTTTCAGGACCAGGCAGCAGTAGCTGGTAATGTGACAGATGAAAAGGAAACATTGGAAGACACAAGAATTAAAGGGATTGTTATTAACGCATTGTCCAGGAAATGTGCCTTTTGTTCAAGACATGGTGCTAGCATTCCTTGTAAAGTAAGTTAATATTTTTAGCTGGAAATTTTATGAAATTAATCGTTTTGTTTTTAATACCTTCTAAAATTTTCTTTTCAACAGGGGAGTTGCAACAAATACTTTCACTTACCATGTGTACTGGCTTCTGGCGGCTTTATGGATTTTCAAAATAAGTTTTCTTTCTGCAAAGATCATTTGTATCAAGTACCACTTAATTGTAAGTTTCAACTGAAATATATATTTTTTAATAAGTCATAATAATTTATAATATTTTTTGACATTGAAAATATTTTTCTCATATCATTCATTTCATCATCTTTTTTTAGAATATCTTTTGAAAAAATAATTTAAAATGTAGACTAGATGTTAATTTTTTAAGTTAGTATTAATATTTATTTCTATCTTTTGAGTTTTCCTAATGTAAGAGAATGGTCTAAAATAAATATACTAATTATAAATAATAAGTAGGAGGTTCTAATTTTTATATTAAATCTTTTTGTAATATCTACGAAAATAAAGGTGATATATACTTGAAAATTTAATTGTATGATGTGGTGGTACAGGCTCGACGGACATCGAGTGCCGGACATGTGGCACGGTGGGCGACCTTGCCAACCTCATGACGTGTGTTGCGTGCGGCGCACACCACCATGGCACCTGCGTCGGTCTCTCGCAGCTGCCTGGTCAGTATACCTTAATCATATACTTAATTCCTGTTGCGCACGGGCCTTTCCTGTGACAACTGTTGTAACCGATTATCATTTTGCAAAATAATTTTGATAATTATAATAATAAAGAATCTTTCATAAAATAATTTTTTTTTTCTTCTTTTTATAAAGATATAAAGAAAAAAAAATTATATTTAGGATATTGTATTTAGAATTCTCAAAGAGGGTTGATGTCAGACAGGTGGCCGGTTGTAAAATTAAAAGCTAAATCTTTTATTAATATGGATAAAAACATATTACGCCGACCCTAAATAATAATTGAGATAAGGGTAAGAAGATGATGATTATGAATAATAATGAATAATGTTACATTAACTTGGATTTTTTCCCATTCTCCTCACCATTATGTGAGAGAGGATTTGTAATAAAGTGTGGTCGCGGTGCGATGTGAGCGGGAGGGTGGTAGTGGGTGAGCGTGTGCGCGTGTTGCAGGCGTGCGCGCGGGCTGGGCGTGCCGCGTGTGCCGCGCGTGCCAGGTGTGCCGCGCCGACGCGGCCGGCGCCGACTGGCGCGCCGTCACCTGCGAGCAGTGCGACAAGCTCTACCACGCCACCTGCCTGCGGCCCGTCATGGCCACCGTGCCCAAGTACGGCTGGAAATGCAAGGTCAGTCGCCCCCCCGACACATATCTCATCATCGTGAAACATTATAATGTATTTGCAATTTTGTATGCTTATAATAATTTCAGTCACTTAAAAGAGGAAATATAGACGAGCTAATTGATTCGCTCATGTGAAGGAAAGTAGTAAGAATATTAGTAAGTTTATTAGCATGCTGTTTACCTTGAAATGATTGTACACTATGTATAAATATACAGTAATCTTAATATGAAATTTTATCAGTGTAACAATTGCTGGGAGACCAAGTATTGACTCTTTGTATCCAATATTTCGTTGTCGTATCCAATTCTTAAATCGAAATGGCTAAGCTAGTTGACAGTAGAGAGTGAGATTAGTGTTTAAATGTAGAGGAGTGAGTGGTAGTTGCGTGTACGTGTGACGTAATACGGTGCGGTGTGTGTGTGCGGCAGTGCTGCCGCGTGTGCTCGGACTGCGGCGCGCGGTCGCCGGGCGCGGGCCCGTCGTCGCGCTGGCACGCGCACTACACGGTGTGCGACTCGTGCTACCAGCAGCGCAACAAGGGCTCGTGCTGCCCGCTGTGCCGCCGCGCCTACCGCGCCGCCGCCTACCGCGACATGATCCGCTGCACGCTCTGCAAGAGGTCACTACCAAATGCACTATTTTAAACTTTTAACACTATTTATCTTACACAGTTTCATATTTCGCATTATTGTTAATGTTATACCTAGATAACATTACATGCTACTTTAATTTATAATATATAGGGGGGGGGGGGGGTTAGGATTGTTAATAATGGGGAATAAGGATTGCTAATAACCCCCATTGCTGGTAATATACCCTGTCAAGTTGATTTCCACGCGATTCTCCCTGGAAACCATCGTCATTAATTATTGTCAAATTTGTCGCGATGGGACATAACACACCTGACTTCGTCCTCACCTATCATCCCTCACTGGTGCCTTAGTGAATACCGATAGCGCGGGCGGGGTTACAATTTCATTATCACACATTAAAAAAAAGTCCATAATATCTAACATGTTCTGAACTATTAACAGATATGTTCATGGAACATGTGATCCTGACGCGGAACCACAACAGTATAGACAGAGGAAGGAACAGAATCCGAGCTATGAATACAATTGTCCCTCATGCAAGAGCCACATGCAATTAGCCGGTACTAAAACTGGATGTAAGCTTTATTTAGTTTAGTCAATTTGTTAGTATAGTAAAGTAGTAGTAGGAGTATTAGTAGTAATTTATTAAAATTATAGTGTTTAAAAAAAGATAAGTAGCATGTTATATTTAAAGTATGCATATCCAAACTCACATTCAATGTCACATATTTAAATTAACCCTGTTTGTCGCACTATAACTGTTAAATTTCTAGGTTTGACTTCCACGAGACAGGCTTTGCCTAGTGTGGGGTCATAGTTATATTGTACTACAGGCTAATTTTGTTTAAGGAAATAAAGTTATTATTATTATTATTATTAAGTTCGATAAATTCACTTTTATTTTGACCTAATTTTAAAACTTAACTTTTGTGCAGCATTTGAAGATGAAAATACGGCTTCAACATCACAGGATTCTTCGTTTGGTGATGACAATTCTCAACAGGAGCAAGATCCACTTGCTATAGAATCCAAGGTAAAAATCACTGTTTCTAATGATTTCGATTTTCTGAAAGAGCTGTTTCAAATTTGTTTTATACTTCAATTTTTTTTTTTATATGAACGTCATTTACCTTTATTTGCTAATCATTGTAAATTAATGTAATTTTTGTTATCCCTTTCTAAAAAATGTATGTATTCTTGGTCATTGCACCAAATTATATCAAACTACTTAACAAATTGGTTTGATAACAAATCAACAAATCCCGTTCAGTATTCTCATTTTAGGTGACACTAAACTTTATTGCCATGTAATTCGTTATACTCGTAAATTGGTGATGGCATCGTATTTAGTTTGCTTGTTTACATACTTACCTTATGTGTTTTTATCTCAACAAGAAATACAATTTGGTCTATAATTGAAATTATTACATATATATTAACACGTTCGGTGCGAGTGTCGAGTATGCCTCGACGGAGCTTATCCCTTCCCCCGGCCTACCGCCGAGGGTGCCTCGACGCTGGGTTTTTCATTTCAAATCCCGCCAAGGAAATTCCTTTGCTGGCGCGTGTGCCGACTACGCCTCGACAAAGCTTTTTTTAATTGAAAAACGTAATTATAATTTTTTTAAATATTTTATATGTGTATTTGGGTGCAGAAGGAATATTTTAAGAAAAAAAAAAGTGCTCGCATTTCGGAAGACCCTGGCAAATACAGTGCCGCACCGAACGTGTTAAAAGAGGAACAGCACAAGTTATTCACGACTTTTTATTGTGAACATTGTATTACACGTAATGACAGACTATATCCTAGTACCCCACATAATAATAATATTTTTTCATAAAAAGTTATAAAAGTGAAGTTGGTTCTAGGAAAACACTGACACAGAATTTCGATATACAACAGAGTGCTTATCGTTCATTAATATTTAGTGAATTAATAAAAAAATGAAAAAAATAGACTTTATTATTGAATTACAGATCCTTTTTAAATTGTAAACAGGTATAAATAACAAATGTTGATATCGGCAACATCTTATTTTTTAGATTGTCCTTGAACATAGGCCTTCTTCATATTTCGCTATTAGTAATGATTTTTTGTAGTTTATTTACTTCTTGTATCCTCTTCTACTCTACTCTTCTTATAAATCCAACACCATACATTCCTTGTTTCCCTCCCATTTGTAGTCGAGTATGTAATTTTGATATGTTAATTTAAATATTGAGTGTATATATATATATATATATATATATATATATATATATATATATATATATATATATATATATATATATATATATATGCTTTACTTATTTTCTGTTCTTTTTCTGGAGGATGGTAGTTTAATGTCGCACGGTGACTAGCCGTGTTAAAACTTTTTTAAATGTTGTGATAGTATATTTGGTTAAAGTTTGGTTATTTTTCTTGTCACCGAAGTCTGTTAATTGTTATTGACTACTCCTTCCGTTTTTTTTTTTATTACGACTTTGTCCTCATATAGGAAAATGCATTTATTTTGTTGATTTTATTGGGATTAATTGAAATTAACTTTTCTTCCTTCTAAAAGTTTGACCTTAGTTCGTTCCTTTTGTTCAAAACATGTTTTGGGAAATTTTCGGTGACATAAATATCTTTAGGTATATTGCCACGATAAAGTTAATACTATTACAATGGTAAAGTTTTAGTACTGAAATATTCACAACAGATCAGTTTTTGTTCACTAAGAAAGTTTTTTAAGTTATCACACTGGTATTTCGTTTGTTATTTTAATTTTACAAGTGATGTTAAACAGAAGCTATACAAATACACTGTTGCTTTGATAACAACCGGAAATTAATGAGGTCTATGGTATATATTAAATTAATAAGGTCTTAAATGACAATATTTTTGGCAGCCGGATGTGGGTCTTGGCAAAGGCAAACCGTATACCGTGTCGTCGAAAATTGCTAAGAAAAAAATCGGCGGTTACAAACTGAAAGGTGGATTTCCTCCAGCTGGAAAATTGGGCTTCCAGAAACGTCAACGGTCCGTTTTGGATTTTGGTCGAAAGAGAGGCTCCAAACCAAAGATGAGAGGAGTATTTGGAGTACCAGGTTTAGGTCTGCAGAGACCGCAGGCTCCTGATAATAAAGCACCTGAAGATGATCCAGGTAAATAGATTACTGATCTTTTTTTTTAATGGATGATAATGGAATAATGACCCCGCCAGCGCTATCGGTATACACTGGCGGGGCACCAGTGAGGGATGATTGGTGAAGATAAAACGGTAGGTTAGTTAGCCCATCGTGACGAATTCAACGATAAATTAGTCACAATGGTTTCCAGGGGAACCGCGTGTAGGTCGACCTGGTAGAGTATATTAATAGCAATGGGGACTAACTTCCCCATTACTAACAATGCCTTCCCCCATTTACTAGATTATTTATGTTACTTTTAAAATTTAAAGAATTAAGTTATTTTAATTTTTTTATTTTATTAGGTGGAATTTATCTTAATACAAATATATCAGTATTATATTTTGTTTCAGGCTTGGAGAATAAATTAGTATTATGTTCAAGTAAAGACAAGTTTGTGTTGACTCAAGATTTATGCGTTATGTGCGGTGCTGTTGGAACTGACTCGGAAGGTTGTCTTATTGCGTGCGCGCAGTGTGGACAGACTTACCATCCCTATTGCGTTAATATAAAGGTAATATAACAATGGAATTCTATCATATGTTTTGTGTAATATGTTATAAAAATTATGTTTTCACTTATTTTTTTTTTTATACAACTTGGAATGGCAAACAAGCTGACGGCCCACCTGATGGAAAGTGGTAACCGTCGTCTATAGACATGAGCAGTAACATGGACATAACAGAGTATACTGTTACGCCCATAATACCCCCCATGCGTTCCATTCTTGAGGACTCAGATATTATTCCTCTGTACCCTGTAAATTCACGCCATATCCCACCCTTCAAACCGAAACACAGCCATGCAAACACAACTACTTCACGGTAGAAACACGAATGGGACAGAGGTACAAAAGCAATCGACTTTTGTACAAAGTCTCCCTCTGGTTTGTTATAAACTATATTTGTTGTAAACTTCACCAACTATAGTATGTTAATAGTAGTAATTGTTGACACTTGTAGGATTTTAAGAACATCAGTATGTTGTTACAATATTAATATATTGTTATAAAAAACACCAAACTATTTCACAATTTGACATCTTCAAAGGTTTTTTTTTAATGAATGGCAATGGTTTAGCTGGCCCCCTTATGCAAATATAAGATAAGGAATGATAATAATATAAATATAATAATGAGGTAGCTCAGGACCGTTTCTTATGGCAGTTTATGGGGGAGGCCTATGTCTAGCAGTGGACGAATAATGGCTGAAATGATGATGATAAATAATATGATAGGCTTGTTGGCGTTAACGGTATACGCTGACGGGGCACCAGTGAATGATGATAGGTCAGGTCAGTTAGCTCATTGTGATGAATTCACCTGGAATACTTTTTTTTTTGATGGGTGAAAATGGAATGGTAACCTCGCTTGCGCTAACGGGATACGCTGGCGGAACACCAGTGAAGGGTGATAGATGAGGATGAAAACAGGTCAGTTAACCCATCCTGACGAATTTAAATAGGATTAGCCACAATGGTTTCCAGGGGGAACCGCGTGGAGGTCGACCTGACAGGGTATATTGCTAGCAATGGAACTGATAGCTCGCATTACTAACAATCCCTTCCCCCCAACCTGGACAACATTACAATGGTTTCAAGGGGGAACCATGTGGAGATCGACTTGATAGGGTTTATTTACCAGTCCCATTGCTAGCAATGAGATTACTAAATAATTCTTCAAAGATTTATTTTTATTGTTTTCTTTTGTGTGATCAATTAAAAAAATTATTAATTTTTTTACTATAAAATTTGTGGAAGAAAACAAGTGTTTTTGCAATAATATCAATATCTGGCACACATAGCGTAATGATTGTAATGTCGTAAATGAAAACGGTGTGGCGGGCAGGTGTCACAAGTGATCGTGACGCTCGGGTGGCGGTGCCTGGACTGCACGGTGTGCGAGGGCTGCGGCAACCGCGGCGACGAGACGCTGCTGCTGCTGTGCGACGACTGCGACACCACGTGGCACACGTACTGCGCGCAGCCGCCGCTGGCCGAGGTGCCGCGCGGCGCCTGGCGCTGCGAGCGCTGCCGCCGCTGCCTCGTCTGCGGCACGCGCCGCACCGCCGCCTGGTGCGACAACTACACCGGTGCGTACACGCCTCTCTTTTTTTATACTACTTAGAATGGCAAACAAGCTGACGGCCCACCTGATGGAAAGTGGTAACCGTCGCCTATAGACATGAGCAGTACCATAGAAATAACAGTACGAGGTTTGTCCGGAAAGTACGTATAAAAGTTTTTTAAAAATTTTATTTTACAATTATTCAGGTAAATCAATTTTATCCCCTTCAAAGTACTCCCCCTGTGACATAATGCACTTGTGCCAACGCCGTTTCCACTGTGAGAAGGCTCCTTGAAAGTCCTCTGGTTGTAGGTTTCTCAGCTGCCCCGTCGTAGCTTTTTTTATCTCATTTATGTCCCCCAAATGCCGCCCCCGAAGTACCAATTTGGTTTTTGAGAACAAGAAGAAGTCACACGGGGCCAAATCCGGCGAATAGGGGGGGTGTTCGGTCACCGTAATGGAATTTTTACTCAAAAACTCACGGACAACAAGAGAGGTGTGGGCAGGGGCATTGTCGTGGTGAAGAATCCAACGCCCCTCTCGCGCCAATTCTGGACGAACTCGTGCCACACGAGCTTTGAGGCGTCTGAGCACGTCGACGTAGAATTTTCCATCAACTGTCTGGCCTGGAGGGACGAATTCTTGATGGACAATCCCCCGAACATCGAAAAAAACAATCAACATTGTCTTGACATTTGAGCGGGGTTTTCTTGATTTTTTTGTTCGTGGTTCCCCGGATGTCTTATCGAATTAGATCGGCAAAAATTTCACGGCCATTCTTGCCGAGTTTCGAGAGAAACTTGATTACGACGCGCTGCTCTTCAACGGAAGCGGGCTCCATGCCGACGGGGTTTCGTTAAGAGGTAACTTCACAGATGGCGTGACAAGCCAGTTCGCACCGCACGGCGATCAGACCAGAACTGAAGCATTGTTAGGGACATAAGGAAGGGGTCCTGCGCTTACCTGGCCTCCCCACTCCTCTTTCTCGCATTCCAGAACACTTTTATACGAACTTTCCGGACAGACCTCGTATATTGTTTCGCCCATGATAATCCCCATGCGTTGCCATTCCTGAGGACTCAGGTGTTATTCCTCTGTACCCAGTAAATTCACGCCATATTCCACCCTTCAAACCGAAACACAGTCATGCAAACACAACTGCTTCACGATTGAAACACGAATGGGGCAGAGGTACCCAAGCAATCGACTTTTGTACAAAGTCTCCCTCTACTAAACAACTCTACATGCATACATACATACTCTATATATTACGCCTCTCCATCAAAAGGTTGTCTGGAAGAGATTGCTTTTATCGATAAGGTCGCCCCTTGTTTTCTCATTGTGATTTCTTGTAATTGTTTACATTTATAATAAGTTTACTATTGTAATCTTTTAGAAGAAACAATAAAGAGTATGTATCTATTTATCTATCTACATACATACAGCACACAAATAACAACAGACCTATTTAGGCTTACACAAAAAAAAAGAGTTAAAAGAATACATATACAAAAAGAAAAAAAAAGAAAAATACATAAAATAAATAATTTTCCTTTCATACCTGTGCCGTAGCTACACAAAACAGTAACGATTCAGTTTATTACTTTGCCCTTAAAAGAGCAAAACACTGATATTCGGTTATGACCAAAAACAGTTGTACAGGGTTGCTTTTACACATTGTATGGAGTAGTATCCATGTTTATTTATTTAAAAATGTGTTCAACTGTTGAAATTAAATCTCTTTCCCTAAAAGTCGTGAGACGAAAGACAATTAAAGATTTAGAATCTTTTACATTAATTAGGTAACTAGATGTGCCATGTCGATGTTAAAAAATTCATGTCATCTCAATAATTTTTAAGGTATTCAAGTATTTTATATACAAACTATATGTAATTTAATAATTTAATTTTAAATAATGAATAAATGCCCATACAGAGTGTGGTCCTTGTGCGTCACTGGTGATGTGCTGCGTATGCTCGGAACCATATTCGGATGGCGAACTCATAATTCAATGCGAGCCTTGCAGCCGTTGGCTTCACGCCTCCTGTGACTCCATACGCAGCGAGAACGACGCCGAGATATGCTGCCGGGCTGGGTAACATATTTTTTTATTTTATTATGATGATAAGCAAATGACTTGCTTGATCTCAGATTGCTACCGTAACCTAAGGTCGCCTGCAACACGCATACGTTGCCAACTCTTAAGAAGTTTCATTACATCCTTTTTGAGAAATTCCATGCTGTAGTCTATAAGGAAAATTTTATACAGAAATTGATTTCTTATTAAATTAATTCATATAATTATAGTATGTAAAGTTACTTAGTCACTTAAGTTAATAATGAAATCTTTGGAACCGTCTACTCAGAGGGCTCGGTGTATCTACATGTTGAGAGAGGGGGAAAGGGATTGTTAGTAATGGAGACTGAGAATCCCATTGTTAGCAATATATCCAACCAGGTCTACCTCCTCGTGGTTCCCCCTGGAAACTATCATAGTTAATTCCTGATGAATTCATCATGGTGGGCTAAGTGGCCTGTTTTCATTTTCATCTATCACCCTTCACTGGTACTTCGCCAGCGTATTCCGTTAGCGCAGGCGGGGTTACCATAACATTTTCACCCATAAAAAAAAACATGTTGAGAGAAATAGGGGAAACTGTTATAAAATTTGAGTGATGTATATTCTGATCTTATGTTAAATAAAAGTCATTTGGTTGGTATTATTATTGGCGTGAATTTACTGGGTACAGAGGAATAACATCTGAGTCCTCAGGAATGGCAACGCATGGGGGGTATCATGGGCGAAACAGTATACTCTGTTATGTCCATGGTACGGCTCATGTCTATAGGCGACGGTTACCACTTTCCATCAGGTGGGCCGTCAGCATGTTTGCCATTCTAAGTCGTATAAAAAAAAAAAAAAAAATTTAGATACAAGTGCATCCTGTGCCGCGGGCGCGAGGTGCCGCCGCCGCACGTAGCGCGCGCGCTGGAGCCGGCGCCGGGTGCGGCGGCGGGCGGCGCGGCCGGCGCGGCGCCGCCGGGGACGGCGCAGGCGGCGGGCGCGGCGCGGGGGGCGCGGCACACGGCGCTGTCGCTGGGGCTGGGCGGCGAGTACTACGTGGACGACGTGTGCCTGTCGCAGCGCGGCGCGCACCACATGAAGCAGCTCGAGGCCGACATGGGCATCACGCACACGCGTCGCAAGAGGCGCTTCAAGAACGACAACCCGGAGAAGGACGCCGGTGTGTACCATCTTGTTACTCTTACTATACACACTTACTATGATGCGAATATAATGAGAATAGGATTAACTAACCATGGCAATCAATCGTTATTACTTGTCAAAGTATGCAGAATGGTTTTTCCTGTACACTAATACAAAAAAATACTTCTAAGATGACAGTTAAGTTGACCAGTCAAGGTCATTGATATTCCTGTTCTCATTTTATTCACATATTATTGATTATATTAGCACTCTTAATTTGTTATAACAAATATACAATAGGTATATTGGTTCCTCCTCTCTTGCTATCTTTACTACATCTCCACTATCCTAAGATCCCTACGAATAAAATCATAGTCAAATAGTGATTTTTTTGAGTTAATTATAATCTGTAATTATTATAATCCGAACTTTAATTATTATTAATATCGATCCGGCTCGTCTTAGCGAGGGTAGATTAAACTTTCGAAAATAATATACTAGTATTTTTATTTACTGATAATGTAGTTTTCCATAGGTGAAAGAATTTTTAAAATCGGTTGAGTATTTAATTTTATCCATTATAAATAATCAAATAGAATTGTTCCTATTTATAACATTAGTATAGATAATATAGTACTAACATTATGTCGCATGCGCATTCTAAGATTTGTCCGTTTACAAATGGTATACACGAATAAAAATTCATTTTACCATTAATGTTACTTTACTATGTGTTGTTAATTAAAGCAAAAAGAAAAATATAGCATCACACACATACACAAATTGTGAGAATATTTAATAGTACATAAATTTTACTTCACACAGTCCTTAAAAAAAAGATACTCTTTTACAAATATTATTAAGTATAATGTAGCTTGATTCTTGAGATCTATAGATCTCATTGTAACAGTCAGGTCACAGCAAAAATTATAGTGCACAAGTATATAAAGCATGCTAACAAAACGTGTGTTACTTGATCATATGTAACTCAAATTGTTAAATGGTACACTCCTAATGCAGAATTGTTGCTTCCAATCTGTTTCATGCTAGAACTATTAGCCCCTGAAATGCATGATCTTGTTTTTGCTGCAAATTTGATCTTGGTCTGGTGTAATATTATTATGTAGAAACACTTTGAGGTTGATTGTGACTGGAATGGAATTGACCTGTAATAGATAATTTGAAAACACATACTTACGTGATAATATTTGAAAGGCAGTATAAGGAACATTATTTCTGAACCACTTTTTTTATGTGGTAACCAGGGAAGTATTTTTTTTTATACAACTTAGAATGACAAACAAGCTGACAGCCCACTTGATGGAAAATGGTAACCGTTGCCTATAGATATGAGCAGTACCATGGATTTTAGAGCCTTTAGAATTCTTAATATTTATTAATGACTTGCCAGAGGTAGTTAGTGTGGTGTACTGTTTATTATTTGTAGATAACTTCATTTTTTTTTTTATAAAACTTAGAATGGCAAACAAGCTGACGGCCTACCTGATGTAAAGTGGTAACCGTCGCCTATAGACATGAGTAGTACCATGGACATAATAGAGTATACTGTTTCGCCCATGATACCCCCTATGCATTGCCATTTCTGAGGACTCAGGTGTTATTCCTCTGTACCCAGTAAATTCACGCCATATCCCACTTTTCAAACCGAAACACAGCCATGCAAACACAACTGCTTCACTGTTGAAACACGAATGGGACAGAGGTACCCAAGCAATCGACTTTTGTACAAAGTCTCCCTCTGGTTAAAGTTAACAAGTTCTCTGACTGTAAGCTCCTACAACGTGATATTAATAGTGTTGTAGGTTGGATTGAAAAGACAGCTTAGTATTCAATGACAACAAATGTTCGCTCTTAACTTTCAGTTAAGGCTTTTAAAGTCATAAATCGTAATTGCAAAATCAATAGGAAAGTTATACCGCGGGTAGCACTAGTGAGAACCAAAGCTTCTCTTGGTCATTCTATTTTGGGCGTATAATGTCCGAAGATCTCAGCTTCAAAATCCATATTACTTTATCCACTTAGGTATTCAGAACTCTTGCATTTTCATGGCATCAATATCCATTCGAGTGCCTAGTTAGTTTGAACATATTGAAGAGTCTTTTTCCATGTTTCATGGAAAAGAATGGAATTAGTAAAAAAGACTTCTCGACTTCACCTCTTTCCTCTTCCACTGCATTGACTGCTTAACAGTGTCATGAATCAGTATTCGAGCTTGGATATAGTGACTTGTAAACTTGTAGAGTTTTGCAGAAAGTAAATAAATTATTTAGAAAATATTTCATTATACAATTTTGTTTTCATTTACATATGTGATTCCTAAGGGAGAAACTGTGAAGTTCCCTTAGTTGATAAATATAATAAATAAATAAATATTTTACCACGCTGAGAAATAACCATCACCGGAATTATAGTATGAATGTAGACTAAACAAAGTGTGCAGAATCTAAACCTAAACAAGCGCATAGAATCTGCTGCGACAGAGATCCTCTATTTATACCATATACTTGTATGGCTCTTTTACAAAAAAATTTCATTCATTCATGTTGGCTGATACATTTATGTCACAATTGACTCCGACATTTTGCAAAATGCTAAGCATTTGTAAAATGACGAAGCCATTTGTAAACGGACAAAATCCACAAAATGTTTGTGACATATTTTGTAACAAAACTCGCATCATTATGAAGTTTTTGTGTCACCAATATCTAATGGAACTTTTTTGTGTTTGCCGCCGTCATATTGGATTAGAAATAATGGCATCTATTGAAACAGTGGTACAGAATGCAGACGTCGAGATGGGGGACGACTCGAAGCCAGACAGCACCGCAGAAGTCAAAGAGGAACCTGGTATGTACTTTATCATCTCATATATACATACATCTTACTAATATATTTAAATTGTAACTAGACTTAGGGAGAAAATTTTGAAAAAGCAGTATGCCAAAACAATAATATTTAGAAATCCTATCTGTATGTATGTATATGGTTTTCCTACTTTAGTGTCTTAAGTAGTGGGAAAAAACTAGTGATTTTATATATTTGACATAAATTGGGGACTATTGTGATCAACATAATTAGAAACAGTATCTCCAGTACTTATTAATTTAAAAAAAAAAAAACCTACATTGTTCATATAGATTTGTTTTTATTGTAATAATAATCGAATATTAAAACATAGAATAAATGTAGAGATGTAGATCATTTAAGATTAGTGTAATTGAGAGATATGTTAGTCGCGACAAGTCATTTAGATGATAAATAGCCTATGAAGGTAGGAGCTTTTATACCACAGTTTTAAATAATGAAATAATTTCGTCAGGTGCATCAGCAAACACGAATTTAAAAGAAGGCACCCTATGGAGTGTGGCAAACGACGGTCCGCCCCCCGAAGGGTTCACGGTATATACTACCGAGTCGGGCCTGACAGTGCTTCGGCGCAAGAGGCAACGGAACCTAAACAAGCTCGGCATCGGTGGTTTTGTGGTCCGTCAGAGACAGACCACCGCTAAAGCTCAAATCGACGATGACAAAGAAGGGGATGGACAACCCTCTGGAGGTAGGAATTTATTTTTTCTTTTGCCGTGCAAGGCGGGCTTATGATGAACTGATGCCATTTTTTTTTTATACAACTTAGAATGACAAACAAGCTGACGGCCCACCTGATGAAAAGTGATAACCGTCGTCTATAGACATGACCAGTACCATGGACATAACAGAGTATACTGTTTCGCCCATGATACCACCCATGTGTTGCCATTCCTGAGGACTCAGGTTTTATTTGTACCCTGTAAATTCACGCCATATACCACTCTTCAAACCGAAACAAAGCCATGCAAACACACTGGTTATTTATTATATAAATAACCAGTGTGTTTGCATTGTTGTAATATACTACAAACATTTGTATAATATTAAGTCTATTTGGTTTCTAATTTTATTTATATTTATATTTCACATTTATAATATATCAAATGAATTGTCAATAATTAAAAGCATGAAGATTATAATTATGGTTAAAATTTGTGTTTGTCTAGAATCGCCGAGTAATAAACGCAAGCCGCGTAGAAAGCCTCGCTCCAAGTTGATGGAACAGTTCCCCTCGTACATGCAGGAGGCATTCTTTGGCAAGGAGCTACTAGAGCCCAGCAAACCTGCTGTCAGCTCCACTGGTTAGTGTATATATCCTTATTTGTTGTAAATCATTCAAATAATGTATTGTATACTGCTAATTATGGCCAAACCCCATACATAGACTGTCACTAGGATTGTTTGGTCATGAATTTCCTTACTGTATTCATTGATATTTCACAACAAATTTGAACCTGATTGCAACTTAAGACTTTATTAGTAATTTTTTTAACTTTATTGAAATTTTATAATAACAAAGTTACTTAATATGGCAAGTGTAAAAAAAAAAAATAGATGATAGATAAAAAAAATAGATGACCTTTAAAAACTTTATCCATATATTCTATAGGTAATACATCCGAGAGTCCCGGTGGATCAGTTCGTCCAGCCACCCCTGAAGGTTACCGAGAATTGCGTGACTTCAAACTAGATCCAGATAATTCTGACATCTCCGATGGAGAGGATGTGCTCACTGCGTTGACGACTTACAATGATAATGACCAATCATATTTTATTAAACTAAATATGGTAAGAACTAGGTGTAATGTTTTTTTGTATTATAATGTTTATGATTTTTGTTTCTTTTTTATGATTGGAAATACGGGGGCTGATAGTCCGACATAAACAGCACTGTTATGTAGACCTCATATGATTTGAATACACTGTACACTCAAGGGATCTTTATGTTTTGTCTAAATTTACTTATTATATCTTTGTACGTTATAATTTCACATGCTAGTACAATTGCTTGGCGCTTCATGCAGATTATTTTTGTGTAACAACTATTTGGTTCATATTTAATATGATAGTGCATTTGTGTTCTACATATTATTTTTTTTATGACTTGTTAATGAAAATTATTTATAAAATAGGAAGAAATAGAGTTGCTGAATTCACTAAAGCCCAAGGAAGAGAGAGAGGAGGCAAGTAGCTCGGGCGAGGGTACGGTGAAGGTGAAGACGGAGCTGGAGGAGGGCGGACTCAAGCACACGGAGGACTCCACTGCGCTAAAGAATGCCATCCTCGGACCGCCCGCTGACGCCGATACCGCGCCACCTGCGCCGCCTGCGCCGGTCGCGCCGACTGTGCCGCACCTGCCGCATGCGCCACCCGATGCACTTGGTAGCGGTACGTATTAATATCTTTTCGCATGTCTTTTGCAGGGTCGAATTAAAGTACCAAATTACCGAATATCTTTATTATTGCTTACATGTGCTTCATCCAGTATCATGTTTTATGCACTTACGACGGTTTTGTGCCAATAAACGATTTTTCTTCCTTCTCTTACATCCAATCATTTTTAGTATCAGTTCGATAATAAAAGTATCTAGTAATAAATATTTTATGATTGGTGTGCAGAGACAGGCGGTTCGTCGCAGTCGACGATCTCGCCGAAGGACGACTTGTCGCTGCTGGCGGTGAGCCTGGACGCGATGGTGCGCGACACGCTGCCCGACATGGACTCCAATGACGTCGACGAGATCTTCAAAGGCGTGCTCACCGACGATTCGCAGGTCTATATTACTTTCTGATGCGTAACATTGTTTTTCAGTAATACACAACTCGAACACTAAAATTTACCATAACCAAATTATTGCTAAACCAAATATACAATATTAATATAAAATCTCATACAGTTTATCATAATTTTTATGTCTGTTCTAATGCTTTTGTCGACCTTTTTGATTATATTTTATTGTAATTATCGTATTAATAAAATTTTATCAATTTAATACAGGAATCTCAAGAGTCATCAGTGTCGTATGCGAACTCTATGGCTAGCACGCCGTACTCGCATCAGCGGACACAACTGCAGAGCCCTATGGAATATGCTTCGCCCTATCATACTGAATATGGTAGCAGGTACATATTTATCCTTTTTTTATTCATATTTTGTGTTATAGTACATATTGACATATATACTGCAAACATTCTAGTATTTACTTGATTCATTAGTACAGATTATTCTAATTTTTTTTTATAAAAAGTCTTTAGTTTTGATGTAATTTAGGTTAAACTTGTTCCAAAAGAAAAGCTATTTGTTTCAAAAAAGATTAAAATCCCTTAATTTGTCTGAAAAGTCTATTGCATTTCAAAGTTTTTTTGTGTGGTCGATATTAACATCTCCTATTATATTTATATATAATATTAACATTAAAGTGTAGAACAAGATTTCTATAAATATAGAATGAATTACGATTTGTCTGATAAAACAGGAATAACATAATAAATCGAGAACTTTATAAATTTCGTAATGCAGCAGTAACAGCGCGTTGAGCCCGCTGTTTCCCGAGTGCAGCGGCAGCGCTACCAGCACAGCGGTGAGCGCGGCGGCGAGCGCGGCGACGAGCGGCGCGGCCGCCTGGCCCGAGCAGCCGGCCGCGCCGCCGCCCTCCTACAACCAGCGCAGCGCGGACAAGATGCGCGCTGACGAGAGTTAGTGTACACACAAAAATACTACTCCAATTCATCTATACTTGCTGTCATTTCAAATTGTACTCTTCAATAAAGGCGATTTCAATTGTGACAAATTATATAGAATCAACACGAGATTAAATATTGTTATCAGAGGGAGACTTTGTACAAAACTCGATTGCTTAAATACCTCTGATCCATTCGTGTTTCTACCGTGAAGCAGTTGTGTTTGCATGGCTGTGTTTCAGTTTGAAGGGTGGGATATGACGTGAATTTACAGGGTACAGAGGAATAACATCTGAGTCCTCAGGAATGGCAACGCATGGGGGGTATCATAAGCGTAACAGTATACTCTGTTATGTCCATGGTACTGCTCATGTCTATAGGCGACGGTTACCACTTTCCATCAGGTGGGCCGTCAGCTTGTTTGCCATTCTAAGTTGTATAAAAAAAAATATTATCTTTAAAAAAATCTGATGTCGCACCACAAGGATGGACCAGCAACTACATCCACTTTAACCATACTGTAACATGTGGAATTACCTTTCCCGAAATGAGTTTCTTTCACCCTACAACCTGGGATCTTTTAAACGTATTGTGATAGCACTTGTAAGCTGACATAGTATAGTCAACTGTTGAGACTAAATTTCGGTTGATTGTATCCATTGGATCATATTGTCTATGTGTTCGTTTAAAATGCTATAGTTACATTTTGTGGCTAAAGTAATAAAAAGATTTATCAAAGTCAGTTTATACCAACACCACATTAAGTCTATCTATTGTACATCAATACAATTTCCTATTTTTGGTCACACTACGCGGAACATCGACATAACGACGCAGAACACTCGCGTCCGGCGTCCGTTCGGTAATACGCGCGTCGATCTTCCTTCGAAATGATCTTGTTTTTTATAACAACAAAATAAACAGAAATATATAAAATACGCTTAGTTTTTATGTACATTGAGAATATATATACTAATATATATATACTAGTCCTGTCTAATGGTTTACTTGGCAAATCAGTAAAATACATGTAATGTAACTTATTTATAATATCTTAAAACTAAATTGAAATTCAATTATAATACATAACATATGTTCCTGAAAATAGGTTTAGGTTCGGCGGCGACTATATCAGCTGTGCTATACGCCAATACCAATCACCCAGAGTGGAAGACAGAGTACCCTAACTGGGTGGACCGTTGCAAGCAGATACTTAAGAAGTGGCGTGCCCTGCCTTCTGAACAGAAAACGCCATATTTGCAACGCGCGAGAGACAACAGAAGCGCTATCCGCATGAAGAAAGCACAACAGGTATGTCGCTTTGAGTTTATCAAATGTGGTGTGTGCTAACCCAACTCACTTACCACTGTGTTTATTCTGTGTGTTTTACACTATCTTTCGAGTGCATACCTTATTTTAAAATTTAAAGTAAATGCTTTTTTTTTCTGTTGGGATAAATTAGATCAGTTTTTAATTGATTTTAATGTCGTAATTTAAAACATTAGGTATCCACTCGAGTCTGATATAGTATTAAGCTACAGGATACATGAAATGGCTAAGTGTATCAGTCTAGATATGTAAGCAGCGGACGCTGTACCCAGTTGAGCAGACCCACGCATGAACTAATGCATACCCCGGTGCGAGCTCCGCTTGGCGGCCACGCTTGTACGCGTCACGTGTTGACACGCACGCCTGTCAGTCTTTAGGGGTGTTACCCTATTATATTTGTATATAGGACTAATCTTTGCTTTAGATAAATTATATTAAAGTAACTTTATACACATACATCGCGTTTTATCTGTTCTACAATTACACTTGCAGAGTATTATTATAGAATCGGTGTTGCCAGATAGCTTTCAGAAAAAAAAGAAACAGTGAATAGGGCTGTACATGCTTACATTTCTCTTAAGGAAAAATATATTAAACTTCTATTTTTTTCATATTCAACATATTGATAAATACTGATCAAAGAAATAATTATGTTAGCACTTGTTACTGATTACTTGTTACTTGTTGTTGATTTACTATTCGTATAATGTACAAAAGAGATATTAATCGTACATATGTTCCTATATATATATAAATAACAATGTAACACCCCAATATTGCACCCTCAGACTGGTACAATCAAGCTCGCTGCGAAGCGCTCACTTGGGTACACGGCTTTAGACGCTATAATGGTATACAAGAGGACCTATTTTACTCAATTCGAACTGTAGAAGCTTTTCAAAGTGTGTCTTAGAACTAAGCCAATTTGTATATGAAAACTGTAGATGATATTCTAGTCACATATTATATTATTAGTTTTCAAATGATATTAAATAAAGTTCATGTATTATGTTATATTTATTGGTATGTGAACCATGAGCGAAGAAGTTAACTCCTGTTTAAAGTTATATTTATGACTTTGTAGTATTACTTTGAAATATTATAATTATGCTTTTATCATAGTTCCTTTTGATATCGCAATTTATATATGTTGATGTGTATATAATAATAACGTCAATTTATAAATAAAAGCTTAAATGGGAAATTATTGGGAAAAGGTAAACAATAAATTAATTTGCCTATTGCCAACATGGCTGCCGAGCAGTATATTTTAGATACTAAATTGCTATAGTTTAAATATTCGTTAGAAGCTCTTGCGTGTTATTTTTAGTGGTCTGTATGAAGTTAAAATTTTATGATCCTTTTTTGTAATTATTATAAAGGTATATAACACTACAGGTTATAAATTGTAGAGAAAAAAAAAATAGTATTTAAAATGAGTTCAAGAAAAAGAGTCTCACTACAATAATTCGAAAACTATAAGTAATTTTTTATCTGTGTAATCCTTGAAATCGCTGAGCAGTGATGTGATGTATGTGTGAAATACTTCAACATACTACGACAAAAATACTCCTCTATATTTTAAAAATAATTATAATTATCCACATAAATTATAATCTCTAATGATATTAGAAGTCAAAATCAAAGACATTCTTATGACAAAATTTTATAAAGTTGTCAATTATTATTCGCCCTTATTGTAACTTAATAATGGAATGAATTAAAATGTATCGTTTTGTATAAACAATCGACTGAGCAAATTAAACTCTAGAATTGAACAATTAAATTATCTCCGTCGCTTTAACTATTCTTATAGTTATGGCTAAGTCTGTTATGTTCTATAAATTTAAAATCAACAATAACTAATTTTCACTTCAAACTTTATTTATTATTTACATTGTTGCTTGCGTTCAGGTACAGATATAATTTTAACTGAACAATTTTTAAGCGTCAACTCGAGTACTACAAAATCATAATATAATTCATAAATAGACTTGAGTTAGTTCTTTCTTCCTCGATAGTCTCAATATTCTGAATGGTTTTCAACCTTATCGTTACCTAATTGATATAAGTTTAAGAATATTGTTATTCAAACATGGTATATAAGTATGGTAAAACGTATTGGAAGACTGCCGTTTGAAATGCCAAGCAAGTGGATTACGGAAGTGTTTTACTCGGGGCGATAGCTGTAAAGTAAGAAAGGCGGTCGAGGTTTGCGCTTCCGCGGGAACCGCGAGATGTGCGGCGCGGTACTAAGCAATGTTGGGGCGCGACAGAGCTCGAGCGGCGCCGCCGGCGAGGACGGCGCGGCCGCCGCGAGCGCAGGGCCCCCGGCGGCCAGCCCGAGCGGCGCGAGCGGCGCCGGGCCGGCGGGCGGCGCGGCGGCGGTGGGCGGCGCGGGCGGCGCGGCGGCGGGCGGCGCGGGCGGCGGGGGCGCGGCGGGCGGCGGGGTGCGCGCGCCCAACGTCACGGTGACGGCGGGCGGGCTCCTGGAGGCGGACGCGCACATCCGCGTGCTCACGCCGTCCGAGATCATGCGCACGCTGCCGCGCCTGGCGCACGACCGACCCACGGTACCGCGACCGCGACCGGACACGCCGCGCCCGCTCGCATACACACGCGCACGCGCACGCACACACACACCCGCACACACACACGCACACGCACACGCATACACACACCATGCGTCGTTACATGCAATTTGCGCCTCTATGGTCCTCAATTATGACAAAGTTATTTATGATTTCATCTATGACATGGTCAAATACCAAATTCTAATCGAATCTGTTCAATCATTCAAAACAATCAATCAGAGCAACAAATATCCAAATATCTATAAAAACTTACATATTTTATAATACAATAGTTATTGATATGCTTTTACGCAGCTTAAAAAGCAGCTTTTTTACATTTCAGTTTTTAATATTTTAAAATATTTTTCTCCCGTTATATTTTAAAGCTTAAAGTCATCTATGCAGTTTCTATATGTATATAATCTTACATTGACTAATTATACATATCTGTTCCTTACCCACATACATACACCACATGACACTACTACATATATGTCAATATACATATAGTGTGTATGCGAGTATATTCGGCAATTGTTGGGTGATCGCGCGACTTGCACATCGCGGTCCAGTGCACCTCCTGTTAATTCCAAATCATTCTAAATTTAGTTATCACCCAACAAGTTTTGGCTGTTAAATGGCATTGTAAGCTGTGTGATTATTTTGTTTAATTTTCTTTTAGCTTTTTATTAATTTGACCGAGGACTCCCATACAAAGTGAAACGCCTCCCGGACTCGTGTCCTCTGTTTCCGTAATGTTACATTTATTATTTCCGCTTTGCCTTGGTAGTGTTGGCTATAACATTGGACGCAATGGTGGCTGGTTGTGGTGCTAACAGTTCTAACATAGATCTACGTTGTCTATTATTCATTTGCGATGTTACGCCCGTGTGTACAAAGCTTTGTCATGTAGTGTTTAAGTTCGTTGGTATGTAAATAAAGTAAGATGTATCATACATACTAATTTATAAGAGAAACTTGTATTAAGAATTGTTTTTCACTATGTCATTTGTAGCTATATACAACTTTACACAAGTGTACAAATACATGTCTGCGTAGTGAGGGGCATTTCTTTTATTTATTGTAATTTTAATATTTATTATTAACAAATAGTGATGTAACTTACATAATATAAATCACTATTCCTTTAAGTTTATTTATTTGTTGGTATATAATATTATTTGGAACAATTTCTGGATATACTGTTAATTTTATGAACTTCAATATAATAGGTACCTATGATTAATATTTTGTGATTTTTTTCTGGATGTAAATAACATAAGCATGAAGTAATAGTTCAAGTTCATAATTTGTTTTTGTAACAGACTTTTTTAAAGACAAGATGTACATAAAATTTTAACAAATTTCTATAATCTACGAAAATGAATCCACACCTTCACTTGTATTTATTTGCTGAATAAAATCATTTTGATGACATCATAAAATATATATTTTGTAGTAATATCATAAAAAAAAACTAATATTCAGTGGAAGTATATATAGTGTATATAATGAGTATAGATTGCCTGCATTGTACAGCATGTTAAATAGTTTGAAGTCACTGAAAATAGAAACATACAAGTAACAAAAATTTTTAGTTATACTGTAGTTTCTTGTTCTTTTGTCGAATTCTCGTTTCGAAAGTATCTATTGGATTGCAATTAAATAAATTACAACGAAACGACGTCAAATAGTATAATGGTAACATTTATTTGATGACTTTTCGATGGGATTCAGATTTAAGCCCAATTCGATTGCATAAAAAGTCAGCCTGTGGAACACATTTAAAATCTTTTTATATGTAATAGTAAACTTTAATGATATTAATTTCATACAAAGCAATAATTACATAACTGCAAAACTTTTATAAGACACAGTAAAAAAAAAATCCAAGTCGGGCAACTAATAGAATGATTGCAGTTAAGACTACTGCCCTAATGTGCGTTTTGTAGCATGTTTTTTTTTCTGTTGACAGTAAATTTTTTTAAACGATTTATTATTTTCTTTTTTTATAACATAGGGCCAAAGAAGCATGCGGTTCACCTCTTGTAAAGTTTTTTTTTTTTATTTTTAAAATATTTAACCATAGCAAGTTACAATATCAGCGAGTAACTTAGAGTATATTTTCGAAAATTGCGGATTGCTAGTTAATAATGTAATAGTCCTTATGCCTAATTCAAACTGATAGATATAAAAATTTGCCCTGACTTGTCTATCAACATCTCCCTACAAACTGCAGTGGCTAGAAACGTTAAATTTACAAACAATGTTTGGAAATTTGTACGGGATCGAGTAATGTGTTACGCGTGCCTGCAAAGCTAAGTAAAAAAGTTACTATTAGGAGTAATGTTGTAATAAAAATTGTGTTGCTTAATTTAAATATATAAATAGTTACGTTATTAAATAAATATTAGACTCATGAAACGAGAGCTCTATAAAAGAAAGTTGACGTCGTGATAATTTTGCTGTGCCAAAATCTCGTCAACATGATTCGTGATGTACCACGTTGTTGGTCATATATAAATACATACATACATTACATAGCGCTAGTTGTCAATGACAGCCTTTCGCGTAGTAAATTTTAGTAGCAAAGTTTGATAGGCGCGAGGAATACAAGAGACGCGGGTTGTGCTACTAATGTCACAAAATAGAAGCATAACCTACTCTATGCCAGTACAGTTATAGCGCGATAAATTGGCGCGGAAAGTGTACATATGGTGCCTTAGATATAGTACATTATTCGTATTGACGCTGGCGGCGAGATATTAGCGCATCAAAATTGTCACCTTAAAAACATGTCGTTAAAATACTGTATCGACAACATACGCAAAATGCTAACATAATGGTGATGGGTGTAGGAACAAGAACGCGCTTGCGGGCAGCAGAGGAGCGCCCGCGAGGCCGAGCAGGAGCGTCAGTGGAAGCACCTGCAACAGCAGCGGCAGCAGCAGACCCAGCAGCAGCAGCAGATCATACACGACCAGAGGATACAAGGTACCTAATAAAACATTGTTTTTATATAGACAATTCTAAATTAAAGACAAACAAATTTCTATATTGAAAAATGTTAGTGGTATACATATTACTTTCATACAATTGCAACACGGTATTGCATCTATACAATTATGAAATTATTTTGTATACAAATTAAAAGGAGTCACTGTAAAGTTTCTTGCAACTTCTCAACAGACAACAAAAAAATTTCAATTTAAAAATGCTTTTAAAGTTGAGTTTATAAAGTCTATTTTAGTAAAGATGATTTACATATCATGCAATATGGCTTTATGTAGCAAAGGGTCATCAATCCCCTTCTAGTATTTTTTTTATTTTCAATGAAACTATATACCTATAGTAAGAAGTTTCTCTTTAAGGATAAAGGTTTTTTTTGTCATCCATTCATAAATCGTGGATGGCCCTAAAAGCACAATACATTTTGTTTACTATCTATATTTTAAATATATCTAATAGTTTTTGGTGGGTGTACGAGCATTTGTGTTTGATCCGAAAGCAGCGATGCAGCGGCTGCGAGCGCCGGACGGCAGTTCGCCGCCGAGCGCAGGCGCGGCGGGAGCAGCAGGGGCGGCGGTAGCTGCTGCAGCCGCTGAAGCGCCTCGCAGCGCTTTCCCTGCCCAACGGTTCCCGATGCATTACGCGAACGCGAACGAGGATATCAATCGTCAGCTGCGTGATTTGCTGCAAAGACATCCGGATAAAATATGGACACCGCGTAAGTACATATTTAATTTCAGAAATACTAAGTTTGTTGTTGAATAATGACTATCGTGAGTCATACAATTAGTATAAATCATTATATGTAATTATTTATATATTGCCTTTACTTTTATTAACTTTGGCGTAGCCCGATAAGTTTCGGCATTGATAAATCAGCCCTTATTCAAGAACTTATTAGGAGATTATAATTAAAAGTTTTTTTTTTGTTTTTTTTTTTTTTTTTATATGTATTGCATAGAACGGAATGCAAAACGTGTTAAAGTTATCAATTATTTAGTTATTATCTCGATTTTTATTCTATTATATTGGTGGCATGGTCACTATAATGTGAGCACATTGCTGAACCTGTTCAATTTATCATATTTGTTCCTATACGTTTTTGTAACAAAACGGGCTTGCAGTCGTGGGACAGCAAACAAGTTAATGTGGACTTCTTATTTGTCACACAGAAACTGCATCCGAGGATAGTGGAGTTCAAAGTGTTGGCTTAGAGGGTCAGCAGTTCCGTCACCCGCTGCCTGTGGGCTTGCGGCCACGGACGCCGCTCCAGCCTGGTCCTAGGCCTGATCATCAATGTGAGTTTTAAACCCGACATTTGTACAGATCAAAACAAAAATGCACTATAGATGTAAGATTTTGTATAGGGTCAGCTCCAAATCAGAAATTTATTATTTGTCAATTAAATGCTAACTATAATATTTAATTTACATTAAATAACTATACATATACAGGGGAAGTTAATTAATTGACAAGTCAATGCAGAACCTGCGTCGCCTGAAACTATTAAATCTCGATAGAAACATGTAATTTTGTACATTAGTTTTTTTTATATATCTCTTAGTGTTTTCGCGTGGAAACTCAAGATATACAACCAAATTAAAATTTATTATCAATTAAAAATAGAGAAATGCACAATAACATATCTTTTGTGTAATATATGTGACATTATTTGTTCACTGTTTTAATTTATTGCAGTGATTATGCAACAACGCCTGATTGCAACTGACAATAGTCAAATACAACAGCAGACTATTGTGCATACGACGCAACAGATCGTAGAGCAAAAAACGAATACTGCGCCACAAGGGAGTGGTGAGAATCAAATTTTTAAATTTTAGTTTAATCCTCTTTTTTAAGTATTTTTTCTCCATCGTCGTTCTTCGAGTTGAATGAAGACATAATCAACTCGTTTTTATGGTGGAGTATAATGACATGGTAACCTTTGTTTATGAGAATTAAATCTAACAAGGTTTCTTGTTTTCTCATATTAATTCTCTAGACTGTTCCTGACATTAAAAGTTTATTTATTTATAGAGTTAATTCTACTTCGATATTATAATTAACTAGTTCATTTATTTGCAGCCCATGGAAATGACAATAAACAGGAATCCAGTCAAGAACATGGAACTGATGAAATGGATATGGGAGATATGGAGAAACTCGAACAGGACACGGGGAATATTGGCGAGGTATACAAAATATTATTATATTGCCTCGAAATCAAAATCTATATTAAGACATTTTGTCAATTAAAAGCAAATGTTAAATAAATCTCTTGTGGTACATAATAGTGCATTGAAAATAATAATAGGTCTAACTTTTCAATTAACTATTTATATTGAAGATTTAATTATTAAAATAAGTATTTCTGAAGATGCTATTAAGACAATTTTGTCATTTTGATAGTAAGGAAAGATAAAGATGTAAATTAAAAATAATTATTAAAATGTTGGCGAAATAATCCAGAGTGCATAACTGTTGTCATTTGACAGATCGCAATCATTGACATTCCTATTCTTATCTTGATTATTTTAGTAGGTATCCATACTCCGAAATTTTACATGGTTTCTTTCCAATAGTTAATTACAATATTATGTAGAATAAATTCAAAGTCCATATTATTCATGAATGCGTGTGGTGCGCAGGTGGACAATATCCTGACGGGCCTGGGTGGCGAGGACGATGAGGAGTTGCTGGAATCGCTGACGGCGGAGATCGGCGAGCAATTCAACATCCTCGAGTACGCCGACCCCGAGCTGGCCGCGCTCAATGACGCCGAGCACCTGCTAGACGGGCTCGAGCTCGCCGAGGACAACATGCCCGAGCGACACGCCAAGCGCGAGCCTGAGTTAGTATCCCTCCATTGTCTATATCTAATGTTACCAATGAGAGACTTTGTCCAGAAGTTGTCTCTTTACCAACTCTTGTTTTTTCTGTCCAGCTGCTGTGATTATGTCTGTATTTCGATCTAAAGGATGGGATATGGCAGTAAGATTACATGATATAAAGTCTTCCACAGTTTTAAATTGATTCACAAAATTATTTTATATCTTTTTTATTTAATTTTATAAAATACCTCACATACTTAAAACATTGATACATAAATAAGTTGAGTATATTTTTTTGTGATACACAATCTTAATTATATCTATAGGCATTGGTTATTTACAGATTAGTCCTATAGAAATTTTATTAAATTCGATTCAGTAGTTCAGTTTTAGATCAGAATGTCTGGTTTTGTCCCAGACAATTTTTTTTTTTGTGATACCCAAATTTTAATTTTGTCTATAGGCATCGGTTACCACATTTCATATGGTTAGCTGTTTGTTTGTATACTTGCGTTGTTACATAAAATAAAAAAATATATAACTATGAGAACAGTGTTGACAAAAATTTTTATTTGCCATAAAAACGGCAGTAATCATTACAAATGTAATATAAGATTAACACGGGAATAAATTTAATCGATTGTAAATGAATAAAATATGGAAATCGGTTCAGAATCGTTGTTAAAACAGCTTAATAGCGATAAAAAGAATAATAGAGAACCTCATTGTCTTAAAAGTCGCTTAAAAATAATAAGAGGTGTCTATATTTTTTCACTATATTTATAGGAACTAATATCATCTAATATTTTAATTTGTACAGAGACGAGGCAGAACACAAACCGGACGTTAAAATTGATACAGATCTACATAAATCAGTGAAGAACATTGAGATAACAAAGACAGAGATGAAAACTGAAATGCAAGAAGTCAAGGCTGAGAATCAAGAACTAAAGTCAGACAGTACACAGATTAGTGCAGTCAGTCAGATGTTTTGCAGAACAGATTCTGATGGAGTGCAGAGGGTCATTGCACAGAACCAGCAGATGACTTTACAGGTAAGTTTCAAAGAAATTACTAATGTAATAGTGAACGTGTTTTAGTTTTGAACTGTGAGGTTTTATTTCTATTTTCAATAATGTGTAAACCACTATAGTATGCTATGCCTATCATGTAACACCCATTTGTATGCCTATTGAAACATTAAGTTCAGAATTCGTTGTTACTATTGTAGATTGTATCTACATCTACTATCAGTCTTAAAGTAAATTAAAAGTATTTTTCCATAAAATTATTCTACCAATGTTTTTTTGTGAAGGACACAATGAGTATTAAAATGTTTGTATCAGTTAGTAGGGGCTTCCTTTACTTTTTATATGGGTCGTAATTATTCTCTGATCTTTTCTTCCATTTCCGTTTTTTAATCAATGTAACTGCAGTGATTGGACGCTTTTATACTTAGTACGGCACGATATTGCACAATTTTAGCATCACGATCTATCTATCCTATTTAAGAGCTGCGCTCGGTGGAGCTCTTGCTCACTACTTTTCAGCGAGTCTCGTTGAAACGACACGATATCGACTTTTTCCTTGATCTGCCTGATTTAACTATGCCTTGGTTTCCCTCTTCACCTTCCTTCTATCTTACCTTCTATTATAATGTTCATAAATTCGTCGTGTCGTATCAAGTGTCTTAACATTTTATCCCTTCTGACCTTAATTGTTCTTATAATTTGTGTCTTTTCTTTAACCCTAAGCAGGACCTCATTACTAATTCGATCTCTTCAGCTAAATAATAATATGTAATAATAATAATAAATGGTTATAATTCATGATATCTTCGGATTTAAAACGTCTTCACATATTGCACATTTGATTTTTCGTGACGATAAAATCGTGCCATGCAATCGTTCTACGGTATAATCCTGTCGTGTTGTGTTGTGTCTATGAGCTGATCACTTGACATCACGCGAGCCGCACACTCGTTTCTTCCCTTTCACACAAAAAAAAAATCAAGATATAAGCGGGCATGACGAGCATGACGAGCAGAGTTTCCCCCGTCAGACGGCGATACAGTCGATAAAGGCGGAGGTGAAGCTGGAGGGCGCGCGGGACGACAAGCCGGAGGCGTGGCGGTCGCCCGTGTTCGCCGCCGGCGCCGCGCCGCGCGCGCCGCTGCCGCTGCAGGTCTGCACCGCACGGACCGCCACTAGCAGCCCTCTCGAAACATCCTGATTACTACTTAGTGAATTAGTCGCGATAAGCCTGACCACCTGATTTCGTTCTCACCTATCACCACTCTATTACGCCCGCCATTAAAACAACTCATGTACTACTGCTGCTTGTCGTGTGAATGTGACGTCTGATATTAAAGAGTTTCTAGAGCGCTTTCTTTATATACATACGACGTTATTTATGGGTCGACAAAATCAAATACTCTCTGAGACATGAGATACACTGACAAACTTATGTATTGGAAATAGGATCACTAAAACTGAAGTAAATTTGATTGGAGTTAAGAAATTGTACTTTTGTGTGTTACGTGTTTGGATTTACATTAAAACAGCAGAATAATTAGTAAGCAAATGCATAATTTAAAGAGTACATAAGCACTTCAGCACTTCACCGATGACAGACTGGAATGAAGCGTATGCCTGTACCCCATTATATTTGAATGCACCATATTATTTATTTATTATATCGATTCATAGGTATTTAGAGTTTTATTAGAATTTGATGCAATAATATTCCCTGCCAATAATTGTGTACTAGTGACTTGCCCCAATTTCGTACGGATGAAAAATATATCTAAATGACAGTGAGACTCGTATCAGAATCTGTTCCGTGATATACAAATAAGCAGAATACAGACAGACCCGGATAGGTAATAGGTATATTTATAGTATTTAAAGAGATCTTTTGTAATATTTCTGAAACATTTTAAACTTATATCTTTAGAGATTTGAGTAAATGGATTATGACGTAGTTAATTTGTGACTAATATTTGGGAATCATAAGTACTCCAAATATTAGAATTAATTAAAATGGCTGCCATTTTTATTTTATTTGTTATTTCGCCGATTACGTTTAAAAACGATATCGGAGGATCCCTGTATACTTCAAATATAGTTCCGGTATCAGAATTCAAAATAATTCATTCATAATAATGTGAATTGTTTAAGTAAACATAAACGATAATGACTAATATATGTTCATCATAACAGCAGAGTTTGGGCCAGCGGCCAGTTCAGTTCAGCCAGGGCGGGCAGCAAGTGATGACCCAACAGGTGGTGCAGCGGCCACAGGTGCAGTTCTCGTCGCAACACATGCACTTTGGACAGGTGTGTATTACAAGCTGAAATTTTTCAGTCTTTATTATTATTCCCAGGTAAAAGACCTAAATTTGAGTAATAAATTAATAATAAAAATAATATTAGGAGAAGCTAAATTTTAATGCATTTTATCAGTTTTATGTATCCACTGAATACCATAAAATATATCATATTAATTCTTATAGTTGTTAAATAAGCACTAGTTAGTATTGCTCCATAATTAAGCTACTTCAATTGTAAACATAACGTTTCGTAAATCTTACATTTGAAAACATATTAATGAAACCTGTCAAAAGCAAAATGAATTATAAAAATGTGTTTAGGGGGTCTACCATGAAATGAAATTCCGAATTTTCGGATTTAAATTCGTGTTTGTGTTTATAGCGAAATCAGCTCAGTAAATGGAGTTTAATATTTCGTTCATCATAAATCCTACTATAAATGTTCAAAAGAAACGATATATTTATATTTTTAATGTCTTTAAATGATATATTATTATGTAATTTTAACACCAAGTTTTTGTTTCGATCGACCCTGAAGTTTCGTAAAAGATTTCATAGTAGGCCCTCAGAATTGGCGACGTAATCGTGTGGCATAGTCGCAATAGTGATCAGAGGCGTTGACACGTGAGCGATGTTGTCAGGGTACGGCTGTGAGCTCGGTGGGCCCGAGCGCGGTGAGCGCGGTGAACACGCAGAGCATCGTGAACGCGATGACGGCGCAGGTGAACGCCGCGCTGGCCGCCGGCCGCGCCATCGCGCCCGGCACGCGGCTCGTCGGCGCCGACGGCGCCGTCGGCGTCGTGCGCCACGACCGCTCCGTCACGCTCGCCTCGCTGCCGCACTCGGGTACGGCTCCCCTTACATCGCCCTCGCCCTCCTTGCTTTACAACACTTCACATATATTTATAATTTCTGTTCTTCGTTTAGATTTAGATTTTTAAGGGAATATTATATTTACTATTTGTGTAAATTCTAGATCACAGCTGATAAAGGAAATTACATATTTATAATTTCATTGTGTAAGTTTTGATGGTCGTACTACAAGTACTTAATCAGTGTTTCGTATTATGTTGGCCAATTTACTATATTGCATTGTGACACTGTATTGTTTCGTAAGTTAGGGCTTTTTAATCGCCCCTGGCGATTAGTAAAAGTAACGTTTGATGTTGCAAGCAGTGGGCGTGGGTGTGGGTGTGTCGCGGGCGCCACCGCCACCGCCGTACCCGGGCACGTTGCGCGGCGCCGCGCCGCACGCCGCGCTGCCGCCGCACGCGCAGCACCCGCAGCATCCGCAGCACGCGCAGCATCCGCAGCACCCTCCCGCGCAGCCGCCGCCGCCCTACCCGCAGGTAAGCGTCGTATTACCTGCGCGCCCTGTATACACGCACACACACACATACATACATGACATACGCATACACCAGCGTGAGGCTCATCAAGGCGAAGTATCGTGTTTGTAGCTGCAAAATATTACATGCAATCAAAGCTTATGTACATTATTCTACATAAATCTTACTCCATACATTACAATATTCAATGACACTTTATTCAGTTTATTTAAATGTATCATTTATTTGACAAACTAAGTAGTCATACCTTTGTGTTTATAACTGTATTTAAACGTTCTTTTTTAGAAACACAATTACTAAATAGTTAAATGTTAGTTGAATATCCATCTTTTCATTTCCATTTATTTTTTGTTTGATAATGATATTTTAATCTAGCTTTGTAAATGTCATCAAAATTGGTTTATTTGGCTAACATAAATCAGATTATCCTCTGTTGGCAATATAAAAAAAAATAACTTATAGGTATTCATAAGAATATATCTTATTCTTTAAATGTTTTATTTTTAATATTAATATAGGAATAAAATTACGAATGAATCATTATTGTTAAAAAAAAAAAAAAAAAACCGTTAGCATCGCCTTGAAGACCGCCGCATACATTCTTAACATCTACGAACGAAACATCCTAATATGTAGTTATTTTACTCATAAATTTTAATAAGACTTACAAATTAATAATATTTACTAATATGTCGAACAAAATTTATTCGCATTATATTACTATAAGTACATCTTGGAGGATTTTTGGATACATTGTCGTGCATGCAGTAATATTTTTTTTAATCTACGTGTTTTTTTTTTGTGTGAACTTGTTTCGAACGTCGCCACATACGCGTCGAAACGAATTCAACAGCTTTAAGTGTATGCCGTAAAAGCTTCGGTTCACAGTTTAGTGTCGCTATTTGTTATTACGTTTGATACCGCTGTATGAATATTGACCCTAAATATGAACTTTTCATAATGATGTTCATAATTCGCTTAGTTTTTGATCGCATCGCAGACAATGTGAAGTTATTTGCGTTATCATATCCAGAGCAATATTAATTTGTCTACGCGTTGGTGGAGGTCCGGTATGGATGTAAATACATATCAGAATTAAACAGAACGCTTGTTTCATCCGTTACAAGCTTAGAAGACTAATATTGCATGGGTATCACTTTCGTCCGCTTAAAATTCACACGAGTCTCTGTTCAAATATCTTATATAAATTGTAGTTAAAATATTGTGTAAAAAATTTTAGAAGCAGTTTAATTGAAATATATAATACAGTGCATTAAATTAATAAATGGTTAGAATAATAGATGTGTAATTGTAAATAATAATAACAAACAAACATTTTTAAATAATTGGTTTCAATAGAAAAAAGTCACGAAAAAAAGTACTTTGTCGATCATACATTTTGTTAAACTGCTAAAAAAGTATTTGAGAGCTCGTGTGTATGGGAGGCGGACGGCGGACGCGTAAGTAGGCTGAATGTGGACGGTGGAGTACAGGCGTGTTGTTTGCATGTCGGTGATTGATGGTTGTTGGCGCGGGCAGGCGTTTGACGCGGCGGACGCGTGGGGCGACTGGCTACACCGCCGCCCGCTGCTGCTGCAGGTCAGACATCGCATCTCCCCTCCACCACCTCTGTAGTACCAACACTACTACCACCGCCACCAACACTACCACCCGCACCTTTGCCGCCACCACCCTAGCTTCCCTTTCGCACTTCAAATTTCAATGAATCCATTGAAGTCTCATCAAGACTATTCTTGTTTTATTTAGATAAACTCTACTTATTAATGAAAAAATGCTCTAATGGGCTTAATGGGAATTGTATAGAAAATGGGTACGGTATTTATTGTAGAGTATTTCCACATGTTAAGACCGAAAAATAAAATATATATACCAAGTAGTTTATTGGCATATAACTTTTTTTTTAATTGTTTACTTATGTCACGACTTTAAATGTATGGATACAAAATATATTAGTATGAATTGGCCACTATTACTAAAGTCTATATAATTCCTGCCAGAAAACAAAGCAAAATGGCATGAAAAGTATTAAAATATTTATTTTGGATTCGCTTTTCATATATATGTAACAGCGTACATTCCAGATAGATAATTATATTACTATTAGCTGGGCGTACAAGTTTATTCTGTCGAAATGAAATGTAATTGTTCTTTATCATGAACTATTAGAAGTATTAATGAAACTAATTAAAAATAAATAAACATTTTATCACATAAAATGTTTAACAAATATTTGTTTAATTTTATTTGTTGTTTCATTTCTTATCGCACATAATGAAGCTTAAAATTATTATTATTAAAGACAAATGATTATGTATCCTCTAATGAAACATGTTTAGAAAAACCGAAAATAACTCTCTTATTGCTCCCTTTCTCCTATCTACCTCTGCAGTCTTTCCTTTCCGCGTCCTTATAGAGAACTATTAGGCTCCTAGAAAGAAGCTCTGTAAAGAAATATAATACGCCTTGTCACCGCTGACCACTTTTGTCTGTTTGTCTTTAACTTTGCTTGTTTGCTCGTCGCACGCATGCCCGATTACTAACCATTGGACCTTTTCAGCATCCTTCCTAATACAACACTAACTCTAGGTGTAGGTTAAGCACTAAACTATAATAAATTAATAAAATATGGACTCCATGCCGTTTAGTTAAAGTTGACATCTCGCCTGTCTCATCTTGACTGTGACGGTGGAGGGGATTCATCTTTCATGGTTATGGATTATTAGGAATAGTTAGGTTGACAATAAAATATTAATATAATACATATATATTTCAATCCTTGATTTGTAGCTATGTTGTTGTATGTATATATTTAAGGAAGAAAACTCAAAGTTGATTAAGTATAGGTTACTTGTCTTTTATGGGGAAAGTAGTGTTAATGATATAATTTTAATAATTACTATCAATTATGTAAGTACTTATTGACACAGATAAAAGCATTTATAATCAAAATATAATGATACATTCATTAAAATTAATAGTTAGTGTGTAAAATATTAAATACACATTAATATTATAAATACAAATTTGAATATATTTTAATATAATATATACGACAACATACACTTGTACTATACTCTTAGCACATTATTGTAGTTATTGTCTATCATATGAAACTTTCAAATAGCATTGCACTTATTTTTTATTTTAATTAATTACTATTTTTAAAGTGTAACGTAGTAAGCAGTCGATAATTTGAGACACAGTACTTCTTGTAATGCACAAACTATCTTCACTTTTAATGGCTGCTAAGGCCGATATATCTATATTTTAGTCGCTTTGTCTACGTTCGACGCAGACGTAGAAAGTAAAATTTCTCCAAGAAAATGTTACATTACCTACTCCATAATTGTTTCGTCAAAGATGAGACGGGGCGAAGGGAACGGGGTCGTAGATTAGCCGCTCGTTATTGTAACTAAAATACTAAAATGCTCAGTGCGCCCTTTTCGACGATCACCATATTCGCAATCGAATATACGAGTCGCCAAAGTCAAGGGTGGCGCGCGACGTCGCTCGAGCGGCGACGTCAAAAGGCTAAATTTAACCATCAGAACGTAAATCAGGAGCAACCGTTGCTTCTGGAGGAGCTTGTGGAGCAAGAGAAGCGCGAACAGGAGCGCGAGGGCGGCGAGTGGGCGGGCGTGGGCGTGGGCATGGGCGCGGGCGCGGGCGTGGCGGCGCTGGCGGCCGCGGGCGGCGCGGCCCCCGGCGCCGCGCCGCTGGCCGCGCCGCCGCCCGCCGCGCCCGCCGTGCCGCTCTACGCCGGCGTGCCGCCGCCGCAGCCGCCCGCGCCACCCGACCGCGCCCTCACCGAGGCAGACCACCACGCGCGCCTCGCCTACGAGCATTGGCTCAAGCAGTTCAACGCGTACGCCGTCGCGCAGCAGTCCTACTACGAGGTCGAAGTGCAGAAACTCCGCAAGATGCGCAAGGTGAGCCGCAGTAGACGCTTTCGTGTTCGTGAGCTTGTAGTGGTAGCGCGGTGCCGTCCTCCCGCCCGCACGGTGTCCTTTCCTCTTGCAGGTGCTGGCGCTACGCGCGGCCTGTTCGAGCCGCGGCCTCTCATCGCGACGCCTCCTCGGAATACGCGATTTCATCTGAGCTCTCGATCTTGCAGTCGCTGAACAGTAAGCAACGGCAGCTGAGAAAATCGGGTAACGAGCTCCTGCCGACCGACGCGGCTGAGCTGCAGCGGGTGTCGACGGAGCAGCAGGCGCTCCAGAAGCACCTGGACGCCGCCCGCAAGCAGGTCCGCCAGCACGGCATGCTTATGCAGGTTCGTCAAACAGAAAGTTATTATTTAATCATAATCTAAAAAGTGTAGGACGACTCGTTAATTTAACGTTCGTTTGCAGGAATATGAGACGAAGCAGCGTCAACAAAATCCTCAACTGGCTCAACAGACAGCTATAAATCAACAGCAACAGATTGGATCGAATCAGACTTTATTCTCGCCTAACCAGACTATCAGTCAGGCGACTCAGATGCAGCAGCAAACTATTAACCGGCCCATGCAACTGGGGCTCCAGAATGCCAGTATTCAGCAACAGCAGACACTGATTCGTACCCAACAGACAGTACTGGGTGCCGACGGTCAACCGATGACTCAGCAGAGGATTGGCCTAGTAACGTCGCCGCTAAACGCCCAAGGGCGAATACTACAAGGAGGTCGTACTCTAGTGATAGAACAGACCGGACCGCCTCAGCAGCAGCTAGTGAGGCAGCTGGCTGGAGTGCAGGAGAGACAGCAGCCCGTGGGCGGGATGGTGCAGTTCGGGCAGCAACAGCTGGGCGGCGCGAGGGCCGGCATGCAGCCCGGCCAGGCCCGGCCGGCCGGCGCCCGGCCCGCCATGTCGCCGCTTCACGTCCAGTCGCCTCACTCTCAATCACCGTTGCATCCACTCGCTCCCCAGTCGCCGCTGCATCACATGACCTCACCGATGCAGTCGCCGTTACATTCCCAGCAGTCTCCGCTCCACCACACATCCCAATCTCCGTTACACTCTTCGACTCAGTCTCCTCTACATACGCAGCAGTCTCCGTTGCACTCGCAACAGTCGCCGATGCACGTGCAGCAGACCACTTTGCCACAGCAATCGCCAATGCATCCGCAACAGTCGCCGATGCACCCACAACAATCACCGATGCATCCGCAGCAGTCACCGTTGCATCCACAGCAGAGTCCGATGCATCAACAGTCGCCTCTCCATCAGCAACAGAGTCAGATCCAGCCGCAACATTCCCCGATGCATCCGCAGCAGAGTCCGATGCATTCGCAGCAGTCGCCGCTGCATTTGCAGCAGTCGCCTATGCACACGCAACAGTCACCAATGCAGACGTCGATGTCGCCGCAACATTTTCTCCAACAATTGCAAGCTCAAAGAACTAGTCCTCAATTACCTACACCTAGTCGTAGCCCTCAGGTTAGTGTCACTAATAGTATTGAATAAATTAATTTATTTGTATTTTTCCGATAATTTTTCTTAATTTTTTAAGATACAGTATAATAACGTGGCCCAAAATGAAACATGTTTCTTTTTAAAGTATATGTTTATTTTAAATAACCTGTAACATTATTTATATTTCAGATTTACCAGCAGTCACAAATCCAAAGCCCTGTCGCGTCGCATTCTCCACAACTACAAAATGTAAATAGTTTTTCAATTAATGTATGAATTAATTTTTTGTGTCCATGATGGATGTAATTTTGACATTTGTCTTATTTTTGTAGGCTGACTATACAACGGGAAGGTTCTCGCGACCCGCGCCGGGTTGTTCACCTTTACCCACTCGATTTGCTAGGCAACAACAACATCACCAACAAGGTAATAAATGTTAACGACGGTAACAATACATTCTATGTTATTATTTTAGCCGTTTACTATCCACTACTGGACATAAGCCTTCCCCATAACTCCCCTAGTTTTCTCAGTAGTTGCCACGCTTGGCAGGCAGGTTGGCAACCGCAGTTAGGCTTTTAGAGATGTTTTAAGAGGGACGCTGCTACTCATCCCTCGTCCTCCTTTAGTCGATTCTTACGACACTCACGGTAAAGGAAGGGGTGGCCCATTCTATGTCGGGGCACACATGGCTTTGTTATTTTTACACAATCTATGTTATTTATTGAATTGAAATGTATTATATGTGATAACATGTAATTTTTGCCTTGATAGGTATGCGAGTGGGCGTACCGTTCGGTAGCCGTCAACAAACATCACCTCTAGGCAGCCCGCAACCGTTGCCGTCGCCCGGAAACCCAGCGAACGAGATGGCTGTAAGTGTCATAGTGAGAATGTGTTGTCCTTCTCGAAAGTACATCAATACTCATAGTATTATTAGTATTATACGTGTATTAAACACTTGGAGTGTTGTGCTTATTTGATACATATCTATAACGACCGATAATAATTACGCTTCTAAAAGTCTACCATGAAATATTTTCCGAAATTTCGGGGTTCAACAAAACACAAATTTGATATTAAATTTGTATAGTACGTACTGTTTAAAAATAATAAAAATATCGTTCTTTTGGACTCTTATAGTAGGTAGGATTTATAACGGACGAAATGTAAGGCATGGAGCCTTACGGTGCCGATTTAGGTTACGCAAACACGAAATTGAGTCCAGAAATGCGGAATTTTATTTCATGGTAGACCCTTTGGTTACGAGAGATATGATTACCACGCTGACATATAGGCTTGGTATGGAGCTTTAATTTCGAAATTTTCTTCTTTGGCATATTATCGTTTGTCCTTGTAGTTATTTCTTACGTTTATCTTAAGATAAAGAGTGGTGACACATTGTATTTCAACACCATCATCATAAGGTGATTGGATATAAATAGGTTTTACTTCTTTCAACAGACTTTATAATCGAAAGATTTAAATGGTACACAGATTACACGTTTTTTTATATTGGGTAGACGTTAAATGTTAATAATAGTATAATAACCCATTCGTATGTGTCGGATTGTCGGGCTTCAATGAAATGATTTTGGGAAATTAAAAACGGGTAATCGGTAACACACATTTGGATTCGGCAGAGGCAGCAGATGCTGCAGCGGCAGCAGTACAGCCCGATGGGCGGCGCGCCCGCGTCGCCGTCGCTGAGTCGCTCGCCGCACGTGGCTCGCACGCCCACGCCCTCCGCCTCGCCCGCCGCCTCACCCGCGCCCGCGCACGACGGCGGCGGCGGCGGCGGCGGCGGCGGCGGCGGCGGCGGCCACCTCGCGCACCACGCCGCGCCCATCCCACCCGGCTACCGCTACTACAAGCCCGGCCTGCGCGGCGGCGCGCCCTGTGTGGCCGCCGCGCGACGACGACCGCCGCCGCCCGCCGCACATCAACAAGGTGGGCTCACTATTGTAACTTTTTAAATTCAATTATTAACGACTAACTGGCTAGATGAACCTCGTCCTAAATTCATATATTTTCACAAATCTGGCCAGCTGGCAAAGTACCAGTCGAAATAGCATTATATTTATATAGGTTAACTAGAAATATTTATTTATTAATTATATTTTTTCTTTCTGATTTTAAAAAAGGTGTCGATATTGAAACGACGCACTCCGCCCCGACCGCGCTTTGCGGGCAAGACGCCAGCTCCCACCGAAGATCGTTCGGAGGAAATTACCGAAACTGATCGTCGCAAGTATGTCCTGTACGCGTCCGACACCGTCGAGTATAGTGGAGCAGCCGACTCCGCTCACGGCTCCGACCACGACGATGACGACGACGACGACGTCGAGGAGCTGGTCGAGCACCTGGACGACGACGACATTGTTCTCGTGGAGCCCGGCACGATCTCGCCCGAGGAGCGAATCGCGACCGAGGAAGACTTTGAGGAACTCATTGACAGTGGTAAACCAGAGGATGAAGCCGAAGAGGAAGGGCAGCCGCCTACTTCGACACGAACGGAGACCGCTACCAAGACTGTGGCCGTAATCAGTTTATCTACTGGCAAGCAACAGTACAAGATAGTGAACCCGTCTTCTAGCTCGACGCTGCCGCGACTGCCGGTCCTCAGTGCGACGGTGTTGTCCCCACATTCCAATGCCAAGATACTGAACGAAGTCTCTCAGGCAACCGTCGCTTCTGTATCTATAGCGAATCAGACCATATCGGTGCCGGTCTTGAAAAATCTCACCGTTCCGATAGCAAGTGTAAATACGAGCGGCGTCACCAAGACTCAAATAAAAAAGGTTCCCCTCAATATAAGCAATCCTCCTCTAGCTATAAATTTGTCTTCGACTCCATCGCTTTCGAAGTCGACCAGCTCGGTTATAAGTGTGATATCATCTAATGTACCCAAAGTGGCAAATATTAATCCAGTAATTACTTTAGCTACATCAAATACAGTAGCAGGCACATCTCGAGTACCAGTTTCTATTTTGACACAACATCAAGTTAAACAGAAAATTGTTAAGACTATTGAGAAACCGATGGGTTTGTCATCTCTTTCTAATACGAAGCTTTCTAGTCTATCTGTCACGCACGATGCCACACTTCCCGCGAAGATATTCCAAGACGAAGCCGCTTCACCTGATAGTACAGTCACATCTGAAAATAATTCAGAGAAAGACTTGCCAAGTTCAATAAGTCTGACTACACAGCATTTTACATCTATCACACCTCAGAGCTCGTCTCATGATCAGAGGCCCTCACCTATAATTAAGGAATCAAATAAGGACAACATTGATATTGAAACTGAGATCAGTCAGCAGACCGAGTTACCACATACTTTATGTATCACTGATCGCACACCATTATTATTAGGAAAGGCAGATATTAAAAGTCCAGATCCAGTACCTGAAAAGATTCCAGATAATATAATGGAGGGAGACGATGAAGATAAACCAGAGGATAATATTCCAAGTAATTTGTTACTATCTTATAATAAGTCTATTTCAGAATCCACAAGTCAGCAGAGTACACAATCGATAGAAAATAAATCAGAAGAAGGGGTGGTAAAAACTATTAAGGCAATTGCTAACCAAACTAAAGAAATGGTGATAGACTCAAATATGCAAATCACATCGGATATGGCTCAAGAGTCTGTACAAATTTCTATACCATCACCTACACCATCACAGGAAAGGTATTTAAATGATATTACAATGCAAGAGCATTCTGAAGCTGTGGAGGGTAATTCTAAGAATGTGGAAACATTTGAAGATATGCTTTGCATGCTGGAAAATATAACTGATGAGCCTAAAACATATGGTATTAAGCAACCAAATCCAAAAAGTGCAAATGCAAATGTTCAAAATCTTAACACAAATACACCAACAAAAGTTGATACGAAAGATAGTCAAGAGCAGATAACTTTCCCTAAAAGAGAACCTGACAGACTAAATTTGCAGTCAGCAACTGTGCCCCAGCTGTCTCCATTATCACAACCATCTGAGTTAACGTCTAATATGGCGAATGTATCACAACAGTTGCGAACTATCATGTCTTCTATAAACACTAACGCCTCAAAGGTAGAAAATCAAGCTGGCCCTCCAGTAATAAGAAAGAATGATGCTACTACACCAACTCAAGTTAATTTTGAGAATCTGTTACCGTCATCAAAAGTAGAAGTGGCAGCATCGAGACCGTCGCCAGTGCAAAGAATTGAGAAACCTGCCACATCTCTGACGAGTTCAGATAACAATATTCCATTGAGTGTCGCCCAAATGATCGGGTCTCGTATTAATACATTGTCAAACTTAGGTCAAATGAGGAAATCACCGACAGTGTCTCCTATTAACTCGCCAGTTAGCATGCAAAACCCTCTAATGAAATCGCCTGCTCAGTCGCCTTTAATAACAAACCAAACTTTTGTCTCTACTGAAGACTCCAATCCAACTTCTGTTGCTTCACAGATAATACAAATGCCAGCTTTATCGAAAATTCATAGCAGTACTCCCGCGTCTATAATACATCAGAATATTACAAGTATTACGACAAGTGTCAATACTTTTCCTAAAAACCAATCTTTGCCTACTAGTATATTGGGCCACACGTTATTACAACCGACGAGACAGATTAATACGAGTAATATATCATTTAATCAACAAAGTATCAGCTCAAGCCAGCCGCCGGCTCTAGTAATGACATCTCGACCCTTAATAGGTAACAAAGAACCTGCACCTAATGTCACAGTTAGAACTCATAGTATTGTCAGTACTGGAATGAGTCCTATGCAAACAAAGCCACCTGCTACTATTAATTTTATGCCAACATCTAAATTACATACTCAATTGACATCGCCATTGAAAAGATCGAAGTCGACAGATGAACCAAAGACTGATCTCATTGTAGGTCATATACAGCCCACAAAGAGACATAGCGTAGAATCTGTGGTAGTTAAATCAGAACCAATGGAGACAGATGAACCAAATACTTCTACTGCATCTACAGATGTTACAGGAAATAAAGTTGTTGCACAGAGTACTGCAATCCAAAGAAATGAAGAATCACAAAATGTTTTATTGAAGCAACTGTTACAGACCACGACAACAGCAGCAAATGTGGTACCGCAACGTACAATGACAATTCATCGCACGGCTCCAGCATTGGGCACGATACCATCATTAGAAGCACAGTTGGCCAGGCCTTCTATCCCTCCTCCTACATTAGCTCTTTCACAAGAAGTCGAATTACCTAAGAACTCTCCTCGTCATATAACAACAGCCAATTCGCCGTTTACTCCTCGATCAATACAAACGTCCGTACCTACTTCCTCTATATCGCCTTTGATACAAACGTCTACGCAGTCATTGATGGATATCCGTAAACCTCCTATGAAAATAATGACTAAAGAAGAAACTACGCCGTTACCAGAAAGTTCGCCAACTATGAAATCGATGCCAATGTATCCAATGAGCATAGAAAATCAACAGCTTCAACAGGCAATTAAAAAAGAAATTGCTCCACCACTACAGAGTCCTGTACATAGGCCTTTTACACCGATGGATGTTAAAAAAGAACTAATCGACGAAAGTTCTCAACAATCGGCTACATCAGGTGTTTCTACAGCTTCAGATCAAGGGAAAATGGATCAACCAATGAAAGAAGAATTCCCAGAGAGTGTTACTATGGATCCTGCTTTGGAGACTAATGCTCCTGAAACGCCATCTGAAGCTAAAAAACGGAAAAGACGAGAATATCAACAAAAGAAAAGGAAACAAATGCAAATGAATATGAAAGCTGCAGCAGAAAACAATTTAAATGCAGCTAATGCAAAAAAGAAACCACGTAAGGGTTCTCGATATGAGGAAGATTATGATACCTTTATTGATAGTTTAATGACTCAACTACGTCTGTTGCCACCAATGCAAATTCAAGAACCCTCATTAACAACTAATTTCTCAGTGTGCCCTTTATTTGGTTCTGGTGACTTGACGAAACTGAAGAATAAAGATTACGATATTTTAAAAGGAGATTTGACTGGAGAATTTGGTAATGCGAAGATACCAAATGTAGCAGATTACTACAATACAAAACCATTTGGCGATGAAGAACCACTACCAGAGAAACCAGCGACATCTACTCAGAGAGGCTTTTATGATCAAGAGTTCCAGCCTATTATGTTTGATGATGATCCAGAAGATAAAAAGTTGGACTTTATCTGCAAAGAGCGTGATACTGATACACCAGACACCATCGTCAGTTGCTCTAGTCCCGAATGTATGGATATCGAACCAGCAAACAGGTTCCCTGGTCTCAAACTCATTGACGATGACGAGGAAGATGAAGACAGCGATTCTGCGTCAGGTCGAATATCACCAATTATTCCTATCATTGCACCTGTGCCGATCAGGATAAAACCAGTATCACTGTATCACTTAAAAGACGAGGATGAAGTGCAAAAGCCTCTTAAGGGTCTTGATAGCGATTCTTTAGTTAAAACAAAAATGGTCGACTCTCCTGGCAGTACAGAAAGTAATGAAAATGTTACTGTTACATTAACGTTAACTTCCGGTGCTGCCGAAGATATTCTGGGCGTACTGAAAGAACTTGCTGGTATATTGCATATACCACCACCTACGTCATATCAAATTATCGAAAGAACTGCAACACCACCTTCACATAAACTAGGACTTTACAGATCAAAAGGTAAAGATGGTAAAGAAGGTACACCAATTGATATCCAGAGTATACTTAATGGGGCAGCTAAATTTTGTAGACATTGTGATGTAGTTATATTAGACTCGGTGGTAAGAGCTAAGGCTTCAGAATTTCCTCTACTTTCTGCCAATAAAGGTAACGCGGGAGAAATTCTGTGTGACAGTGATTCAGAACTATTCTTTTGTAGCACTCAGTGTTATGAGAGGTTTGCTTGGAGACCGACTAATATCATTCTTGACGGAAAGTCGAAGGCCACTATTAAAGAAGATAATAAATCTGACATCGAAACTAATTTATCGAAAGATCGTGATGACTTCGATACTGCTTCTACTGAGAGCATGGAGACGGATGATCTTGATATCAAACCAGATATAAAGGATGAGAAAATGGACTTGTCATTTATTGATTCATTGGACAACGATGAATTAATGAAAGAAGTTGGTGATGACGTATCCGCTCTAGATGAAGATTTGAAAAGTGTAGAACCGGACGAGAAAAGTAACCAAGGCATCGAAAGAGAAAAGTACAGAGGAGTGAGATACAAGGCGTGGTCACCAGGTTGTATCGGTCCACCGGCAAAGTACAAACGGCCCACAGACAGAGAGCTGACCGAATTAGTATTCCGAACTGGAGTAGCTATAATGCCTGTAACAAATGAGGACACGCGACGGTGTGAATTATGTGGCATTCAAGGAGACGGTGTCGCTGATGGAGTCTCGAGACTGTTGAATTGTGATGTGGACAGATGGGTTCATCTTAATTGCGCACTTTGGTCTAATGACGTTTACGAAACAGTAAGCGGTGCGTTGATGAACGTTGAGACCGCTCTCGCCAACGGGTCAAGCGCGACGTGCGTCGTTTGCAAGAGGCTAGGGGCTACCGTCCGGTGCTTCAAGGTGCGATGCAGCAGTATTTACCATCTCGGATGCGCGGTGAAGGATAACTGCGTTTTTTACAAGAACAAAACTTCTTTCTGTGCATCGCATGCTCCTAAGGTGAGTTGAATTATATTTATTATTATATTAATTACACTTCGCTACAATTGACGTACAATTAGGCTAAAGTAATACGCATATTAATCAATGGTTCATCCGTGTTCCAACTTTCGCTACAATATCTGAATGTATTTATTTAAAATGTATGTTTATCGAAAAAGTTCCACACTAATACAACCCTTCTAAAAAAATATCTAAATGTTATGTTTACTCTGGTATTGATCTCATTTTAATTTTGTGGCAAAGCTGACGTTTTTCTTGGCAGATAAAAAAATAGTTTGTTGCGAAGCAAAATAAATATTTAAACATGCCATACATATAATATGAATATTTATAAAACTCCACGCTTTTGCAAAGCAATATATATATTTCTATTTATTGTAGAACGAGAAAGATAACGAGCTGACGACGCTGAGCGTGCAACGTCGCGTGTACGTGTCGCGCGACGAGCAGCGGCAGGTGGCGTCCGTGATGCTGCACTCTGACACCAACCACCTGATCCGCGTGGGAGGGCTCATCTTCCTCAGCCCAGGACACCTGTTGCCGCACCAGTTAGCTGCATTCCACACGCCTAATTATATATACCCTATTGGGTATAAAATTGTGAGTATATATGCTGTATACGTTTTTTTTTATTGTTTACGATTTTAAACGTTTTTTCGCAATATTAAAAATGAATTGAAAGTGTTTATAGTTAGTATGGTTGATTTTGAGGTTTTTTCACCAGTTTTCTCAACCTCTCCCTTAACCTAATATTAAAATTTAAAAGTTTTGTGAAATTACCGTTTTATGGACCATCTTAAACTAATCCTCTTATTAAAAACAATTAAAACGTCCTATAAATCTATTTTAACTATTACAGTGTTTTAACAAAACTGTCTTTCAAATTGAGAAATTAGTGTATAAGAAAAGAACAAAACACTTAAATTGCTAGCTAGCTTTATTTCAGTATGTTTATGAGAAGTTTGAACGTTATATATAAATAATAATATAAATATAAAAAGGGGGTTAATTTATAATTTTAATAATATTAATAATTTTGAATTAAATCTACTAGAAATTTAATTTATATGTCAGCATTGACATTTTCCTATATGACATTTTAATATGACATTTATCTATCAAATTCAAATGTAATTTTTCTATTAACAGTGTCTAGTCTGAATTCATTATTTTGTCAGAAACAAAATATCAATATCTATGTCTATATTGGTTTTTTCAACTCGCACATTCTATGTGGAAACTACTGTGTCCATACCTGCCGAATTTAGAGATTTCTCGCGCTGAGGGAGTAATATTAACGGACTAGTACAATTTATATTGGCTAGTTATTCAAAGTAAATGATATTATGATTCGAGTATAGCGGGGTATTTTATTCCCCTGGACATAGTAATCTCCACATAGCACGTGCATGTGCGTGTGATAGCGTGCGCGTACGCATGCTGTGTCGTGAAAGGAGAGTCATTGTGTGGTGCGCAGGTGTGATTTTTTAATGGGTGAAAATCAAATGATAACCCCACCCTGCCTGCGCTATCGGTATACGCTGGCAGGGCACCAGTGAGGGATGATAGGTGACGATGAAAGCAAGTCAGTTAGCCCATCGTGACGAAATTCACTAGAATTAACCACAACGGTTTCCAGGAAAACCACGTGGAGATCGAGGATATATTGTTGGAATTGGGTGAGTTAGAGAGAGCCCATCACTAACAATCCGTACCCCCGCGCAGGTGCGGTTCTACTGGTCGAGCTCGCGCGCCAACAGCCGCTGCCGGTACGTGTGCTGGATCTCGGAGGAGGCGGGGCGGCCGCGCTTCCACGTGCGCGCGCAGGACGAGCCGCGCGCCGACGCCGCCGCCGCCACGCCGCGCGCCGCCTGGGCGCAGGTATATCAATCACTATGACTCTTTACACCAACATTATGCAAAACCAGAACGCGCCGACGGATTGTCCACACAGTGGCCTAGTGCCACGTTGTGGACGATCCGTGACGTGATCACCCAAACTAACACACGCATCAGCATGTGTTTGTTTTAAATGATGATTTTTAGTGAAACTAGTGTCATGCAATATATTTCATTGTATAAACAATTTCAATTACTAGCCTACTTACGTTGTGAACCCCGTCAGCAAATGTATCATTTCAAGACACAAATTTCACAGGTTCCTGTCTATTATTGTCTTTAGTGAAATTTATTTCTTCATACATGAATCATGTCATGATTGTCGTAGACCTGCCAAAAGAAACTTAAGAATTTTACGAATAAATTCTTTTAATAATAAAACTATTATAATACATTTTTATTAAGACTTTCCTGTCAGAAAATTGAACTATAATGAAATTGACCGCGTTTAGTGTTCAATAGACTTAGGCAATGACGTAACTCTTTCAGATTTTAGACGCGGTCGCAGCACTTCGAGAGGGACGTGGAGAGGACGGTGTTCTCAAGTTATGGCCAAATTACGTAACTGGGGAAGATCTTTTTGGTCTCACGGAACCTGCTGTTGTGAGAGTACTGGAGAGTTTGCCTGGTAAGAAGGTTAAATAGAATTAGTGTAGTAATTGGGAAAGTAATTTAATAAATAAAAACAAATTTTTTTTTGAAAGATAAAGTATATACAGTTTAGTTCTGTGTAAATGATGACGTAAGAAACCAAGAGTGTCTGGGAGATGATTTCCTGTCCTTATATTGTAATATAACAACATAAAATACCTCGTAAGTTATGCCATAAAATATGGTAGCTGGTGCGAAGTGAGTCATTTCTCGCGATTGAATTCGTAGCACATCACTAAGTTCGTTGGTTAGTATTATTTTTATTTACAAAGTTGTTATTATTTGGATTCATTCTCAAGAAGAGTTGACGTTAAACAGGTGTCCGGTTGTATGACTATAAGCTAAAACTTTGGTTAATATGGATAAAATATATGACGGCGATTTAAAAATTTATATAATTGGGATATGGATAGGCAAACGATGATTATGTTATTTCGATCATTTATGTAATTCTCGAAATATAATTTAGAAATCGATTCGGTACTACTCAGTAGTACACAGCACGAGACACTGAGAGGCCGAGGCTGACTGGTGGTGGCACGTTGCAGGCATCGAGACGCTGACAGACTACCGGTTCAAGTTCGGGCGGTCGGCGTTGCTCGAGGGCGGGCTCGCAGTGAACCCGTCGGGCTGCGCGCGCTGCGAGGCGCGGCCCGTCAGCGCCTGGCGGCGGCGGCCCGCGCGCTCGCTGCTGCCGTCCACGCCCGCCGCCGCCCACGCCGCCCACGCCGCCCACGCCACCCACGCCACCCACGCCGCCCACGCCGCGCACGCCGGCCACGTGCCCGCGCTGCCCTCGCCCGGGCCCGACCACGCGCCCTCCGGCTCCACCAGCGCCTGCCCCTACACCAAGCAGTTCGTGCACACCAAGAGCAGCCAGTACAAGAAGATGAAGTCCGAGTGGCGCAATAATGTCTACCTCGCCAGGTACCCTCTCTGCCTCCTTTATACCTCTCTGCCGATTATCCGGTCGGTAACGTTTGTTATTGTTTGGAATATGTGACCAAATTGTTTATAATTACTCCTTCCATCCAAAGGTTTCCTGGAAGAGATCGCGTTTCGCGATAAGGTCGTCCATTGTTTTCTCGTTGTGATTATTTTTCGTAATTAATTGTATCTTTAATAAGTTTATTATTATAATATTTTGGAGGAAACAATAAAGAATTCTATATTTGTGTGACAATTTAAAATCGATCAAAACTTCATCATGACCTGTATAGTATTGATTTTACGTACATAATATCTATTACGCAACCTTTATTTTATTGTCTGTAATTGAAACTATTTGCACGATCTGTATTGACATAGGGACATAGAATATTGAATTTTATAATAAGAAATAAATATTTTTCCTTACAAGCGCAAGATTATATTAATAGTTAACAAATGGCCATGTGGTCCTGACATAGTAGCCTGTTCTTTTTTGTGTGTTCTTCCTTCTTTTCTGTGGGTGTCGTAAGAAGCGATTAAAGGAACTTAATTGTAGAGGGATGGGGCAGCAGCACTCCTCTTAAAACATTTCTTAAAGCTTAGGCTTGTAGAGATGTTTTAAGGCTTGCTAAGTGTGACAATTACTGGCAAAACCTCTCTTATGGAGAAGACTTATGTTCAGCAGTGGATAGTTAACGACTAAAGTCTGAAGAAATAAATTAACAAATATGTATACTATATGATTGCAGGTCCAAAATACAAGGTTTAGGGTTATACGCGGCACGTGACATTGAAAAACATACCATGGTTATCGAGTACATCGGGGAGATTATACGCTCCGAGTTGTCAGAGATACGTGAAAAGAAATATGAAGCTAAGGTGAGCTTTTGTATACGTATATATGTTAGTCGTAAATATGACGTTACGTCACCACTATCCTGTAGTAGAGTCATCATGTGAATCTTCAGTTTGCTTTTCCATATTTATTTATAGGTACATCGACAGTATTACATATAATTTGTTTGAATACAGCATTTAATACAAACATGGTAGCATATGTATATGAGTTAAAGGTGTACACAGTATTGGTTATATAGCAATCATAATATGTGGAAATATCAAATTGAATTATTTCTACTTAATACAAAAATATTACATAGAAGAGAAAAAAGATATTTATATTGTGTCTTGGTTTTTAATGTGATTTAATAGTTTATTTGTACAGAAATAAAAATAGATACTGGTTTTTTGTACAGTCTTGTTCGTTATATTTTTAAATATTATTTTATAATACTTAGAATACATGTAATAAACCGAAGTGAGAGTGTGTGTTTGTGTGTGTGCGTGTGACAGAACCGCGGCATCTACATGTTCCGGCTGGACGAGCGGCGCGTGGTGGACGCGACGCTGAGCGGCGGGCTGGCGCGCTACATCAACCACTCGTGCCAGCCCAACTGCCAGGCCGAGACCGTCGAGGTCGACCGCAACCTGCGCATCATCATCTTCGCCAAGCGCCGTATCGCGCGCGGCGAGGAGGTGCGCACTGCCTTCACTGCTCACTTACATATTTCATTAGATAATATTAGAAAAATTCCCATCAATATTATTAGTCCCCCCAACTCTCTCAATTATTGAGAGCTTAATCCCCCCAGGAAATTGAGTATCGGTACCCAAGTAGGTAATTTATGTTCTAAGAAAAATATGCGCCCATCCGAATAGATATTCTATATTAAGTATATTATATTATACCTGTGTTAAGTACCGCGGATTACACAGCCGTCTAAACCTAGCAAAAATATTAATAGAAGTTTGTTTTTTACAAAATTGTTTGAATTATGAACAGATTTGAATAAAATTTGGTATATAGGTGAACCATGTCCCCTAAACATAGGGTACTTTTTTACCCTAATGTATGTGGACGTAGTAATGGAATTATAATAAATAATCATGAACATACCCATATGTACTCGCAAATTAATAAAACTATGAGTATTTGGCGACTAAATATTTGTATTGTACGGATATCGAATTGGTGACCCAGTACGATGAAGCAATATAAACCGCTGCATCGCCAGAGGTGTAAATTATACTGTCTTAGTGATGACGTTAAAATCACAAATATTAATGTTGATTTTTTAACAAAAAAAAATATCCCTTTAGAATTACATTTATAATATTAATATTTTAACATATCACTATTATAATTCCAGTTGGCTTATGACTATAAATTCGACATAGAAGACGACGCACACAAGATAATGTGTATGTGTGGCGCACCCAACTGCCGCAAATGGATGAACTAATCCGGCGAACAGGACACGAACCAGTTTTATGATTCTACCCAGCCGAGGACTATCTCTCGTGAACAAAATACGATTGTTGCCTGGTCGAATATAGTGGAGGAAAGGCTATGATACCTAGTTTTATGTACCAAAGTGATCTTCAGTAACATAAGCAAATTAATATTTTAGATGAACGTAACATATTACCACTTCCTTAAGCGACGCGTGATTTATCTATCAATAAGACAATATCAAAGTTTTACTGACGATTCCCATAAACTATTTCTATTTAGTAAGCGTAATTTAATATAATAGATGAAACATTTTGTAAATAATATTGAATTATATAAATCATTGTTGTTATTCGATTTTAATGTTTTAGATGTGAATGTTTCTGAAACAACTATTTAGGTATTAGTTTATTTTTTTTATGTATTAACGATGTTCTGGACTATTTTGTTTACTGTTCAATGTTTCTGATTTTGTGTAAATTATAATAATTGACTATTCTAAATTATTGTTATCCGAATTCGTATTCGATCGATATTAGTGTGACTATAACAATCAAAAATCTCAACACTGATGAAATATTAGGTTAAGTTACCAAATAGATGAGTTTGCATTTAGTAAGCGTAGCACTAGAGATGTAAACAGTACATGATGCCACGTTGTGCCTGATCCGTTTTGTATGTGTGTATTACAAATAGCGTAGGTTAGATCTACGGAACACCACAGCGCGCCTTCGGTCGACGAACGTGAATGTATGATAGTGTATAGGTAGTTATGACGTACGATTCCATACTGGCCACTAATATACTGTTCCCTAGCAGAAAGTTTAAATATATATATAATAAAGTTTAGTTCAATAATTAGGCTATATATATTAAACTTGACTGTTTTTATGTATCTGATGTCATTTTAACAAATGGAAAATATTTGATAATAATATGATATAAATTTCTTTAATTTATCAATTTACGTTTATAATTACTCCTCTCCAAAGGTTGCCTGGAAGAAATCGCTTTTAGCGATAAGGTTGCCCATTGTTTTCTCATTGTGAGCATTTCTTGTAATTGTTTATATCTATAATAAGTTTACTGTTGTAATCTTTTGGAGGAAACAATAAAGAGTATCTATCTATCTGTCAATCTATCTGCGTTAAGGAAACTAAGTATAGTCTAGGAACTCTCCTCTTCCAAATATTCTGTCGCTTTCCAATAGGAACCTACTACACAATTATAATGTACGTTACGGCTCACAAATTTAAATTATTATTGCAACCTAATATACATATTTCAATGATAACATATATTTTGGGTTTATATATATATATTAGGATACAAAGTATGGAATCGTAAGCGAATTGTAGGTAGTGTAATTTATTAAATAAAACTAACAAATAGTCCCAAATGTGATATTACCTCACATAAAGTCGCGTGAACTTACATTATGTAGTGGCCATTGTAGACCTACGATTAGTAAGACTTATTTATATGGAAAATGTAATGTACCTAAATGGTTTGGTGCACGCATATCGGTATTGGTGCACGCAGCGGCCGTATTAGAAGAATTTACAAAAAAAAAAACTAAGCGTGACATGTGAATGTAGGAAAATTGTAAGCACGGTACACACGGCAGCGACTTGTATAAAGGGCGGCGACGTCAAAGTTGGTTTATCAATTTGCATCATTATTTGTAGCTTTCCATTTATCCCTATTTTATTAAAAGTTGTGTTTAGAGTATGCCTGTAATTTCGTAAAACCGGTATAATTACTAGACATATAAATTAGGGTTTAGCTCGACAATGAATAAAGCGCTACGCTAATTAAAAACAAAAATGCGCGTGCGCTCATTATGGTGCTGGATGACGTGTCTGCCACCGGCGGGCTGCCGCATTCGCCGCCCCGCGACCTCCTCCGCAAACAGATGGCGCGTCGATCGATTGTGGCTTGACCAGTTAACACTGTATTTTTGCTTTTCTATTGATCTCCCTTTACTGTTGGCTCTAATGCGTTATTGTCGTTTTGGACATGAATATTAGCAGTAATTAAATCATTGGCATTTATGATAATACAAACAAAATGAATGAGTCCCGCGGCCATAGTCGATGCCGTGTGTACCGTGCGTAGTATTGAAGAGTTGTGTAATATTGATAGCACAAGGATTTTTTTTTTATATTAACGCAGGTTGCCATCTACCAATGTTATGAATTCATGCAATTTATTTTTAAGTGTTAATGTGCAATATCATATTTTGCTGAGTAAAATGTAAATAAACCACATGCAGAGTTATTAGGAATCGTGATCGAGCGGTGTACGTATGTTTTAATGTATTGTTTATAACTGAAGTATATCATTGTCTTCAATCAATTTATTTATTAAAGCATTCCCATTGCACTAATGTTGACTCAATTATTTTCACAAAAGAGAATTTTGAAATGGTGTTATTTGTAAAATTATTACTTTAGAGATATTCTATACATTAGTATTTTTATTGCATTATTTTCCTATCATTAAAATTTTAATTAGTATGCATTGTTTCATTTTATACCTTTTTATATAAGAGTATCAACCAACTGTGAAGCGAATATATTAAAACAAACTATTTTTTATGCGTTATTATTTGAATTTGAATAAACAATGTTTATTAGTTTGGTATCCCTAGGCCCTATACGAACACAAGCAAGCGCAGTGGGTCAAATAGTTTCCCATAAATTTACAAATTAACAATTCAATGATATCCAAGAGTGATTTTGCAATTTAATGGTTACAAGGTTAATGTGACCTTTTATTGAGTTAGTACATCTCTTTCAGAAGATCATGCTCCTCCAAAGAATACAAATTACAGTAGGTACAATGAAAATGAAAAAATAATAAAGCACAGAAATTACACGTGTGTGTTTGAGAATTTTCAACCTGAGTATCAATTGCCATGGCCAATATGAAAATCATTTGATAGGCTTCGGATCGAAGTCGGCCACAGCAAGCATGATATGTACAGATGGGGATTTTCCTTAAGACCGTCCTTGAGCTCCATCTGTGGTGAAACAAACCATGGCCCACTTACTATTTTCATATGTTCACTCTACTACTTGTTCATTGCAGTACTTAATGGACGCCACAGAAAATGCAACCAGATAGCAATGTTTTGGGCTGCAAACATCTAGTTCATTGTTTTGCCCATTGATTCGCTTAGAAGAATATGTAGTGTATGGTATATGTGATAGATATTTATAAATAAAACAATGATATTTATTTCATATAAATTTTATTACAAATCTTGTTTTCTGGACTTAAACTGCAAATAATATACCCAAAAACATTGTCTAAGAAGTGCTGGTGAGCCAGCACACGTTGATCGCGACTTATTACTGGAAACGGCTCGCCTTCACAAACCGGCTTATTGTTTTATAACTATTCGTCGTACAAAAAGCGTACGGCATTATAACTATAGTAACTATAACGAATTAAGTTTCACCAGAACTTTACAATCGTCATACATGCAAATATCAGCCTGTAATGTGTGAGCGTGAATGACGATTATTATCATAACAATATTTCATACGATGTGTCCAAGTGTTCAAGTATTTTCTAGTCGGATGTAATGTCGATATTGTGATGTTTATATTTCCATTGACGAGTTTCCAACTGTGTAATATTGTTTGTGCTTAGAAATGCAGCTCTTATTCCAATTAAATTTCAAATCCCTGCATTTTTATTACACATAATTGGAAGAACCTCAATTTTATTAAGCAATCGATATTACAATGTAAATTTAAAATCATTATTGATCTACCCTAACATAGACTAGCCGTTCCGAACCCCACACACTAATTAAAACAATCCGCAAAACATAATCGAATGATTGAAATAATTTACAAAAATATAACTCATTTTTAATTAAATATACATACAACGTAGTGAGCAGTAATTGATAAATAAGTCGGGTCAATATTATCACTCAATAAAGTTGGAATGAGAATAACAATATAATAATATTTAAAATTTGAATTCAATTGTATCTTATCATAAAACTCTGACTCTGTAGCGAGACCGAGGCGATTAGGAGAAATATTGACTATTACAAATCGCAACAAGTCGACATGTTACTTGCACAAAAATACAACTGTCGAATAATACTTGTTGACTATGGAAACTATAATATAATGCTTTGCACCATTAGCTTATTTATATAGACACAAATTTATATTGTTTCATAAACATAAAGAACCTATAGGAGGAGAAGCGTTCAGTTCTTTATACACTACATTAATTGAAATGTTATCTTTTTAACAGCCAAACAAATAATCACTGAACTACTAAGAACTATTTGTTATTATAGCTGAGATATATTTAAAACCGCAAAAGTATCTCGCTTACTAGTAATGCTTGGCGTGTCCCATTACATACTTGAATGTTTCCGTTGTACTTTATACAATGTAAATACTATATGTTCTTAAATAGCTATTCATAGCTATTTATAGGGAAACATACCTCCACTCTATACCCGCAACATAAATGTGAGAAAGAATATAGTATAAAATAGAAATAATGTAATCAAAATATAGTACACCAATCTATTTATTTATCTTATTATATGGTGTGCAGGTAATTAATAGGCGAGATTCCCCTCTTAGAGACGTATAATAGACGATACAGCTGCAAAATTTAGAAGTACGTGTAATTAATAATACCCAAACAGTTGCCACATTACTAGTGAGCGAGCAAGGCTGCTTACAGATTGATGCTTACAGGGCGCATTTCGAACTTGACACAATTGCATAAACGTAGCCACTTGGATATCACAATCATTTAAAGATACCAATAAAAACACAAAAAAGGACACATCCTTATGTTTCAAATTATATGTATCGTTACCTTCACCAAAATTAGTTGTAGAATGTGAAATCTCTATAATGTAGCGTTAATTAATTTACTAATTAACTAATATGGTTACATCGATTCAGCACACCATCACTATACAGTACTTAAAATGTTGAGTATTGATACAGTACTCAATTAGGTAAAAAAAAATCAAATTCTGGTACCAGTACAGGCAGCTACGTTTGGACATTATATGAAAAGCATACGAGTATAAGCTAGCCCGGGCGCGGTGCGGTGGCGCGGAATTCAGTCGATGTACTGGGCAAGCCAGCGGAAGCCTTCGCCGTAGCCCTGTCGCTTCAGCACTGAGCACATGAAGAGTTCCAACGGCCGTCCGGGCAGCTCCGATCGGGACACCTTACCCTGAAACAATTATATTTTTACGTCATAATGCAAATATCACTAATATTATAATTATGTAAGTTTATGAAGACTAACTACTGCATTAAATAAACAGTAAAACTGACTTTGATAAAATTAAACATATACAGATTTACACATAACAATAACTAACATATTTTAACTTATGAAATTATCATTTATCTCTATATTTTTTTATACTACTATAATTTTTATTTTATAATATTATATCCCACAAATGCACAGACACATTTATGACACCTCTATTATTTCACAACTTAATATTATTTTTCAATACCTACATTTAATATTAAGAATCCATTTTGAGTATTTAATGATCATATCAAACAATATTTACCTTTATATTAATTCTCACTAATCCATAACTTAGATGATTGAAAAAAATATAAACTTAATTATTGTATGTACAATCAAACCTAAAGTGTTTAATTAAACATGGATTCTAAAGATAGTTAACATTACAAACCTTTCCAGTAGTTTGTTGATAAAGATTGAAAAATTGACGCAGCTCGTCCTCGCTGGCGGCGCCGGGCTTGTCGATCTTGTTGCCGAGTATGAGTACAGGGCAGTTGCTGAGCGTCTCGTCAGTGAGCAGCGAGTCCAGCTCCGCCTTGGACTCGTGCAAGCGCGCGCGGTCGCACGCGTCCACCAGGAACACGATCGCGTCCACCGCGGGGAAGTAGTCGCGCCACACGCGCCGCGCCTGCTGATGCCCGCCCAGGTCGAACGTCGTGAACCGCATACTGCCTATCGACAGTTCCTCGGAAGCTGAAAAAATTATTTAAGTATGTCATTAATAAATATTAAGAAATAACAATAATAACTTTATTTAAACAAAAATGCGAGTATACAATTTGCTTATCAGTAATTACTAAACAAAGCTCGCAGACCTGTTTCGTAGCAATCGGTGAGTGGCTAATTAAATTAGTACACATTTATTGCCATTTACGGTCTGGTTCTTGTACAATTTTATCATTTAAGTACTTAAAACGTAAAATACATTTGAAAGGAACTAAACAAAAAAAATAATAAAAAATATATAAATAAAGGAACAAAAGGAAACATAATGTAAAATAGTTTTATAGTATTTATTATTAAACATTGAATTTCTCATCATCGTTTTAACCGTTAACTGTCCACTGCTGAACATAGACTTCCTCATAGACAGCCATAAGAAGCGCTACCTGTATGCAAATATATTTATACAAAAATGTATTTTATGTAACATACAGATATTTCATAAAATATATATAAATAGCAATGAAATCTGTATCAAAATCAGTTACATGGTTTAGAAGTGGAAAGATATCTTCGTTTTATACTATTATATTGCGACGGTCAGATAGCAACCATCAATCAATCAATCAAACATCTATTTATTTATATTAAAATATTTATGTTTTAATATAAACAAATAGATGTTTACATTACAAAATAAATAATATCACAATTTATGCAAAACAACAGTTATCGACAGTAATGCCCTTTATAGTAATGAGATATACATTTATTTTTAATCATTATGACATTCAGTCATCTTCCAGTTATCATTTCTCAACTGATTACATCTTTGATTATATTTATTTTTCTTGTTACTTTATATGTCGTTTTATATATAGGCATTTGTAATGGCTTGTGAACATCTATTTAATAAAGGGCAAAATGGACAGTATTTTTTAAATACTGGAAGTATAATCAGTAAATACTAATAAACGTGATAAATTTTTAGCTGACTGACAGACAGTTAAGAATTTTAGTAATCTATGAATGAGTAATGATAAATATATCCGGATAAAGGGATGACTTTCTTTGTTTTCATTTAGTATATTGAATTTGGCAAATGAAAGATAACATATTGCTTTGGTGCAAATATTAGTACTTTGTTAATTTGTGCATGCTGTTGCAATAATATAGTGTACTTCTTCTGTTCTGTGGAAAAAAGAAATGGTAAACTCACTAGGATGCAATGTGGGCACATGTTGTGCGAGTCTGTCATCCTTCAGCATGTGCAGCAGTGTGGTCTTGCCAGCATTGTCCAGACCCAAGAACAATAGTTTACCAGATTTCTTCCATAGACCTGGGGATAATAGATATTAATGACTATTAATAGAAGATCCTAATAACCTGAAAACAAATAATAGACAATTACACATTGTTTATTATTATACATTAAAAATAATTATACTCTGACTAAATTAATTTATGTTAAGCCTACAGCTAATTAATTTTTACATGATTAATTATACAGAATATATAAGATAATAACAATGTACCTTTATTTTAGTATAATTGAGCAAATGAAATGCAATAATAAAGAATATATAATATATAAGAGTATCATTAAAATGGAATCATTCCAGTGGTACTCTCCAACTATCTATTTTCTCTCACCGTACTGGTTTTGTATAAAATTCTTTTCTCCTACATTCTTCATGGCTCTGGAACACACTTCTTGATGCTATTAAGAGACTACAGAATAAATCATCTTTCTTAAAAAACATTCATGCTCACTTTTTACTTTATCCGAGCAGTAAGTACAGTATATTATTCTTATTTTCATGTATAATATAGTATATTATATATATGTAAGTATATTTGTTATAGGATTGGTAAAGAATGCTTTTATCATTAGTTCAACCATATATACATATATGTACTTATGAATAAATAAATAAATAAGTATAATTAGACTAATATAAGTTAAATATAACACATAATAAGTTAAATATATACAACACAAAATAAATACAATTTGGTTGTTACGATTTCCTATTACTTGACATAAAATTAATTTAAATCATATTGTTATCAATTTTAATGTATTTTTTGTTGAATTTTATCATCACTTTTCATGACTGTGAAATTAATTGTTGTAATGCCCAATTTTAATAATACACAATAATTAGATTTATGTTTCTTGATAATTAATATTGTTTTTAATGGTTTTGGTGAAGGGTTTTGTAATATTTGTATGCCCAATAACAGCGGAACATAGCGATCTTATTTTCATATATAATATAAATTGTATATAATTCTCTTTGTGTTAAAGACTTTAAAATAGAAAGAAAATGACAAGCCATATCTTTATTTGTATTATACAATGTAGGGAATAAAATAATTTATTCATATCATTTTGGGTCACTTATGCACATCAAATACTTTTAATTCTACTACTCAGTTCAATAAGCAGGTTCAGCCAAGAAGAAATGACAAGACACTCGACTGTACATCCTCGTTTGTATGAGTAACATGATAATTATTGGTAGTAAACGGTAGGTTCAAGGCTCATTAATATTTTTAATCTTTGAATTTGTAAAAATAAATCAGTAGTCATAACTCACCAAGGAATCCAAGGACACCAGTAAACCAGTCCAAAATAAACATGTTGAATCTGGAACGTATAAAATGATGTTACTTAAAAGCATTTCACATTATCTGCATCTTTAACGATTATTCTGAGTAATGACTTGCTTAATTCTTTGTCATCTACAGCGCATATCAGAGGATAAATACACAGGTTCAATTTTAATGGATAGAGCATAAATTATAAAGGATTTGTTAAAGACGACTAAAACGTAGTAAAAAACTCTAGTGAATTGAGTAATATGAATGACAGAACGTAATTTTCGTCCTAGAATATTCAAGGATGAATAATATAATATTACAAATGTAATACTCACTTATTAAAATTGAACTAGATTAACTAATGCTAAAGGAAGTATATCACAATATTTCGCACTTATTTGCAATATGTTACGTCGTTAAAATCGACACTAATCTTGGCTTTTTACATGAATTCAATGCAATGCGAATATGAATCTGTTGGCAATGAATGACGTACGCGACTTCCGGAAGTTGTCACGCACACACTGACATAGGCTACGTTCGTAAATAGAAATGTTAGTAATTTATGGAGTTTTACTCTTGGTTTGAAAGCAGAGTAAAACTCCATAAATGGTCTATGTTAAAACTGATTGAGCACGATTCTTGTTATTTAAAACGATGATAATATATATTAATTTTACGGTTAATGACACTGTTTGTTAGATATTTATAGGACTACTACTACTATTGTTCATGTAAAAGTTGATAGAAACAAAGTCAAATCGACGCGATCGCTGGATTGTCTAGTTTTTGTAATGGTCAAGAGTGTTGTCAATGTAGTATATTTAATAAAAATTTGCAACATTTCATATTATATTTCAAAAGTATATTAAGCAGTGAAGCAAATTTTTAGTAATTATTTATTATGTACGAGGTCTGTCCGGAAAGTTCGTATAAAAGTGTTCTGGAATGCGAGAAAGAGGAGTGGGGAGGCCAGGTAAGCGCAGGACCCCTTCCTTATGTCCCTAACAATGCTTCAGTTCTGGTCTGACCGCCGTGCGGTGCGAACTGGCTTGTCACGCCATCTGTGAAGTTACCTCTAACGAAACCCCGTCGGCATGGAGCCCGCTTCCGTTGAAGAGCAGCGCGTCGTAATCAAGTTTCTCTCGAAACTCGGCAAGAATGGCCGTGAAATTTTTGCCGATCTCAGAACAGTTTATGGGGATGATGCTGTGAAGGAACCAACCGTCCACAAGTGGCTAAAAAGATTCAGAGAGGGCCGAGAAAGCGTTCAAGATGACCCACGTTCAGGACGTCCTTCCACTTCACATTCCGACGAAAACGTGGAAAGAATTCGAACTTGTGTTAATGGGGACCGTCGTTTAACGGTCAGACAGGTGGCTGAAGAGCTTAATTTGGGCAAAACCGTGGTCCACGAAATTCTAAGAAACGAACTTCAAATGAAAAAAATTTGCGCCAAGATCGTTCCGTGAGTTTTTGAGTAAAAATTCCATTACGGTGACCGAACACCCCCCCTATTCGCCGGATTTGGCCCCGTGTGACTTCTTCTTGTTCCCAAAAACCAAATTGGTACTTCGGGGGCGGCATTTGGGGGACATAAATGAGATAAAAAAAGCTACGACGGGGCAGCTGAGAAACCTACAACCAGAGGACTTTCAAGGAGCCTTCTCACAGTGGAAACGGCGTTGGCACAAGTGCATTATGTCACAGGGGGAGTACTTTGAAGGGGATAAAATTGATTTACCTGAATAATTGTAAAATAAAATTTTTAAAAAAACTTTTATACGTACTTTCCGGACAAACCTCGTATATTGCAAATACCGTGTGAAAGACTGCGAGGGTTTTTTGGTCGTTATCACCTATTATTACGGATTTTGTATTCTGATTCATGCACCGCTAGTAATATCTAAAGCGCTAGATAAATAAATAGAAAGCGCAACTCTGTTCATTCGGAAATTAAATGTATGTTAAATGCATCTTCGATGTATCCCTAACTATAGCCGTAAATACATAATTTTATGATGCCACTGTGTTCATCATCGTCATCGTTGACCGATCGACCCAACTCTCAATTCCTGGGAGCAGTGGTCCAGCATAACAATACTGCTTCTACTATTCGCGAAATTCATTCATTACTGTGTTATTTGGTTAGCCACTTTGAGCCTGCAAGTGTTCAAATCTTGCAATCTGGTTACGTTTAAGGCACAGCTTGGTTATAAATTTCATAATAATAGTGGTAACAGCGACCACAGCCATTTCCTGTTCACTGGTGTGTGTGCAAAAAGAAATAATGTACATGAATTTTTCAATTTAATTACTTGAATTAAATTAATAATAATTTGAATTAAGTTTATGTTCTGGACTGGGGTCATCACTCTATCTATTATAGCTGAAGTTTTTCTATACTGTGTTTGTCTATGTGATCGCTACTCAAGAACTTTTTTTCCCCATCAATTGTCGGTTTATATTATTATTCATTAAATCGGATTACTAATATGCAAAATTATCGAATACGATATTTATTCGATTCTAGTATCGTTACTAAAACCATATAGTCTATGTGGAATTTTTCGGGAACATTTATGTTTTATTTTTCTTAGTTTATACAACTGATCAAACATATTCTGTTACTATTTTAAGTATGTTTAATATAATAATAAATTTTTAAACAAATTATTTTCGCATTTTAACAAATTTTTGAAATTTCATATCTTAGTGTTTCCATTAAAAAACAAAAGTATACTTTTGTTTATGTTGTGGAAACACCATCGTTAGCTACCTAATCTTTTCCTTCTGGCTTTTGACAGCTTTCAAAACATAGGTATTTTCTACATTTAATAAAAAAAACTATCTAAATTATATGTTATTATCAGAAATATTGCTTTTAATTAGTAAAGTGTAATACAGTCAATATAGCGACCTTAAGTCAAGATCGTAATTGCATTGATTGCGCTGATTTTTTAAAGTTATAAAAAGTGCTACAAAGTGTTGTGGTTTTCAGGTTAAACCATGGCTCCTAGGAAAAATAAAGTTGCGAAAGAGGAGGTCCAGGTGACCCTTGGTCCTCAGCACTTGGCAGGCGAAACTGTATTCGGAGTCGCTCACATTTTTGCTTCATTCAATGACACATTTGTACACGTTACTGACTTATCCGGTCGGGAAACCATCGCTCGTGTTACTGGTGGCATGAAGGTAAAGGCTGATCGTGATGAAGCCTCACCCTATGCTGCTATGTTGGCTGCACAGGTTAGTTACTGTTCTAGGACAAAACTATAAGATTGACTTTCGTATATTGGGGGTTACGTTTGTGTTTTTTGAACTATATAAAAAACCAAATCCTCGCTGTTCTATAAAACACCTACTGAATCAAATTCTACATTATACTGTTATTATACAGTTAACTTGTCTTTTACTTGGGAAGTAAACAATGCCTTTGAAAAATGAACCTAACTGGTTATTTATTACAAACTGCTACAGTTTTATCTATATCAATATTAGTCTTAAGTACCAAAATATTGGATGCATATGCAGTAATTTTTTTGTGAAATTTGTATTTTTATTGTGAAATTCATTAAATTACAGTTACCTAGGTTTTATCAAAAACTTTAATGTTTATGGTATAAAAGTAGCCTTCTTCCATCTCAAATACAAATACTAAATTTCGTGATAACTGGTTGAGTGTTTAGTATTTTATATTTCTCATAGTTTTTATTTATTTGTTTGTGGTAAAAAATACAAAAATTGTGGTATTTATTATTGATTCTATTTTATTCATGATAAAATGAATTAATTGCTACATTTAGTCTAACTCATATTTTAAAAAATCTATGAGATGTCTTAATGAGAGCAATAAAAGACAACAATTTTTGGAAATTTTGTCTTTATTAAGGGTGGTAGTGAAATGATAATCTAACCTGCATTATCTGTATACATTGGTGGGGCACCAATGAGCGATGATAGATGAGGATGAAATAGGATAAGATAGGATAATGAAGATCAAAAACAAATAATTAACCAAGGTGGTTTCCAGGGGAAATGATATGGAGGCTGATCTGGTAGGGTATATTGCTAACAATGGGGCTATTAGATCATCATTACCAGCAATCCCTTTTCCCCAGGAAATTTGGTCTGTCTGTGTGTATGTTTATTTTAATGTGATACTGAAAAAAACTACCAAATTGTATATAGTTTTCACCATTATTTTCAAAGGTTTAACTTAAAGTCTGGTATATTTTCGCTTGATAAGCCATCTAGAAGTGGTCTGTTTAATTGATTTTCCTACTTCTGATATAGAATGTTTATTTAATTTAATTTTTAGGATGTTGCAGAGAAATGCAAAACTCTTGGAATAACTGCTTTACACATCAAACTCCGTGCTACTGGTGGTAACAAGACAAAGACACCAGGGCCTGGCGCCCAGTCTGCTCTTCGTGCCCTTGCTCGTTCCAGTATGAAGATTGGCCGCATTGAGGATGTGACACCGGTCCCATCAGACTCCACTCGCAGGAAGGGTGGTAGACGTGGTCGCAGGTTGTAATCTGGTAGTGTAAGTTCACTGTGCACTTTTAATAAAAAGTTAACAGTACTCGAATGGTTTTATTTCTTACCACATTATTTATTCCTTTTTTATTTGTATGTATATTTTAAGTACTGTTTATATATATTTTGGTTAATTATATGTATATCTATATCTAAATTGTAAACATCAAAATATGTACGGAGGTTGTTATCTGAAATGCTTTCTCCATATTGAATACACTAGACATAGTAATACAAAACCCTATTATATCATATCTAAAAGAGATTCTTTTCTAACCCAACCCAATGCAGTTAGAGAGAAAATAAGTATTAAGTGTTCCGTATTATTAGTTAAAAGGTGAGATTTCAACCTTTTCTTGAAGGAAGTAATGGAACGACTATCCTGTATATTAGAAGGTAGTCGGTTCCACAGTTGCGCAGTTTTTGTGTTAGTAAAGTCTTATAGAATTATCTATGTATATGGTCAAATTAATTAGGTCATATTCATATACGAAAAACTATTGGATTAATTTTAATTAAATTTTAAGTGATAACTAGGTTTTTACTCTGGGGATAATTCTGAGCCGTCTGTTTATTTCACTTTATTTAATTCTTGTTTCTACTGCAAAATATATGAAGAATATACAGTAGCGGATTTGCCTTAAGGCCCAGGAGGCCCAGACCTAGGGCGGCCAATCGTGACAAAAAATTCACTGATGGTAACAAGAAATAACTACAGATGGGCAAAGCACCGGGTTTAAACCCGGTGCTTTGGTAAAAACCCAATAAACACCCATAAACTCCCATAATCACCCAAAAAAATAGGTTTTTACGTATTTTTTTGAAAATATGTAAGTAATACCAATAAATTATTTTTATAAATTGTATTGATCAATTCTACAATATTAAATAAAACGTTAACTAATAATATTTCAGGAAATTTTAAAAATCTATATATAATAAAATGAAAGTAATTAATTTTCAGTGTTTTCATGTTGCAGTTGATCAACATGTTGGCCTTTTGCTTCCCGTAGATACTTTAAAATTTCTTCATAACACCTCGTTCGCACACATGGCCGTATATATTTAAATTCTTGAGCCACTAACAGTCCGAAATACTCATTTCTTTTATCCTCTTCTCCATAAATTAAGCATTTAGAACAGTTTGTTTCTTCTTTCAGTAAATTTTCTTTTACTTTATCCTCGTTTTTTTCTTTGTTGCGACGACGCTGGGTAAATCATCTGGACACTGGGTCTCACTATCGCCAAATATATTTGGAGATCGGCTTCGGCTACGGCTTGGCAGACATTTTTTTCTTTCTACAATTTTAAATTAAATTTATTAGAATAAATGCTTCGAACACACGCGATCTAAGTACCTTTTGTGTTTATTATACCTTACCTACCTAGGTATAAAAAGAGTACTTACGTAGATTTTCTTTTATTAACTGTTTTATACGAAGATCTTGATCTCTCAAATTAGCATCCATTTTACTTCCAGTGATTATCAACTAAATTAATAATCCACAAAGTATTAAATAACGTTTTTATGAAATATTTAGCACAAAAACAATACCCTTTAAATATCGATCGTCAGTAACTGTGGCTGACTTACCTATATTCTAGCAAGCAGGACTGCCAGATGTGAAGGGGAAATCCCCAATAAATTGTTGCATGTGACTGATGATGTGAGCATGTTCGTTTCATAATAAAAATGTTGCCAGGTAACCAAAAAGTCGTATGTTTTTGTGCGAATTACGATCATAATCTTTACGATCGTACATTAAAAAATAGACAAATAATAGTATGAGTACGATTTAAATCGTATATCTGTCAACCCTGCTAGCAAGACAGCGACAAAATCACGTTGCATAACAATGTAGCCCAAGCTTATATCTTATGAAATATACGGAAGAGATACGGACTTAGAAAAAACAGAAATGTTGTTCTTTGTGGAAGTCATTGATGAAATTCTATGTATTTTAGCCCGCAAACTTTCTTCAAACAAAAACAGCGCCATCTAGTATCGAGTTCTGTAATTATCTCTTTGTTTATGGATTTGAAGTAAGACCGCCACGCATGCAATACATTATGACTGGGGATTCCCCTATTCGTCGACGCTGAATATGAGGCGACGACAATCACTGTCAAACGTGTTCACTATTACTCTGACTCTGGTAACGTGACTTCCTGGTAACGTGTTAGGTAGGAAAAGCAGTAAAAAAGTGCATATTAAGGGAGCAGATTTGAAATAATATTTATACTTAACAAGAAATAATTAAAGGTAAGTGGATTTTTGAATGATACAATTATATCATGATCACTTAACAATTTTAACTTAAAATTAGATGTATTATTACAAGCTTTTATTTAGCTTGCGTTATGTAAATAAAAGTATGTAGGTATGTTCGTATGTTGATGCAATTATCCTCAATCCTCAACCGACTGGGATAAAATTTTCCATACACGTTTATTTTGGATGATAGTGCATAGTTAGCTGAGAGTCGTCATTGGATAATAATGGTGGATAGCCTAAGATGTGTACTAGATATTTATTTTTAACATAATATGCGTAAGTACCTAATCGAATTAAAGAAGTTGCTGAGAAAAATACAGAACAATACGATAATAAACTAGCGTCTGCGTTTAATCCTCCGAGGAGATGTAATTTTACAAAGGTTTTTTGTATTTATTTTATTATTTTTTTAATAAATTTATTGTAAATAACAAGAAATAATCATTGTAAAAAAATAGGCACTCTATTGTTGAATTTTCGTCAGACCAACTAATCATCGTTCATTTTTTTAGGTTCAATGGGGAGACCTAAAGATTTACGCATATGGGAGCACTACCGTACTTTACCAAACAAGTCTGTTTCTTGCAAGCTTTGTAATAAGGTCTACAAATTCAGTAATGCTGCCAAAATGCTTCAACATCTTATCACTTGTCCAAAATCTCCAGAAACATTAAAAGACTCTATGAAACTTATAAAAGATAGCTCGTCCAAAACCAAAATGTCTGGACTGTCAGAGATAGAGACAAATGATTCTTTTATAAGCCCCTCGTCGTCTGCTAACACTACAATAAATGCTGAGTTTCAAGACACCGATGATCATATAAAAACAGAATTAGCGAGAGCTATATTTGTAACAGGGACGCCATTATCGATGGTGCAACATCCTTTATGGATACAATTTTTCGAAAAATTGCAACCAAAATTTAAAATACCTTCACGTAAAGCTTTAGCGACAAAATACTTAGATAAAATATATAGAGAAATGCGTTTTGAGTTAAATGAGGAACTAAATGCTTGTAGTTACTTACACCTTCAGTGCGATGGCTGGTCTAATTTAAGAAATGAAGGAATAATAAACTTTCTTATATCAAAACCTCAACCTGCATACGTTAAAAGTTTGAATACAGAAAGTAATCCTCACACTAGTGAATACCTTAGCCAAGAAGTTGAAAAAGTAATGAAAGTGTATGGAGCAAATAAGTTTCTTGTACTTATTGGCGATAACGCTAGAAATATACAAAAGGCATTCGAATTAACAAAACTCAAATATCCACATGTTGTTCCTCTCGGTTGCTGTGCACATATCCTTAACTTGTTGTGCCAAGATATTGTAAAGATACAAGAAGTAACTGTGTTTATTATGCAAGCCATAAATATAATAAAAACTGTTAAAAGGAGTCAACGATTAAGTTCCTTGTTGATAAAATCAAGGCAGGGTGAAGATTCTACACAAACACTAAAATTGCCTTGTGCTACAAGATGGGGAAGTCATGTTACTTCGTTAAAAAGTTTGAAAGCAAATAAGATAGCTTTGCAAATATTAACAGTTAGAGAAGATGTGGTAATTTCAAGAGATATTAAAGATTTAATTCTAAGTGATGATTTCTGGACGAAGACAGGGGAATGTATAAGTATTTTGGAACCAGTCACTGAAAGCATATTTTACTTAGAGAGCGACCAGAATCGTTTGCATCGCACATACATTACATTTAGAGATGTACAAGCTAAGATACGTTTTGCATTAAATGAGATTTCGACATTGAGCGAAGAAAGCAAACAGCAGATTCTAACATCAGTATCTTCAAGATGCAATATGGCAATGAGGCCAATACATTTTGCAGCATATATTCTAGACCCCAGGACTCTAGGAGTCGAACTTACTCAAGAGGAAGAACTTAAGGGTATGGAGTTTATCTACAATTTAAGCCAACACTTAAGTTTGTCAAATGTAATGGCAGATTTGGCGTGTTATAAAGCTAAAGAAAACTTTTGGGCCAGAGGATTTGTATGGAGCTCATTAGATAGCATTGAGCCCCTAATATGGTGGAAAGGTATTTGTGGTTCCACTGAGTTAAGCAAAGTAGCGATTCGTATTCTATCAGCTCCCTGTACTTCGGCAGCCACTGAGCGTTCCTTTAGTATCCAAGGCTACATACATAATAACAAAAGAAATCGACTTACAACTGAAAGAACTGAAAAAATTTCATTCATTTGTTATAACTGGAATCTTAAACATAAAGCTGAATGCGAGGACATTCAGTTTAATGAAGAAAATACCTTAGAAGCTTTCATTGAGCAAGTAAATGAACATAACAGTTTAGACGAAATAGAGCCTATCGAACCTATACAATTCATCGCTTGTAATAACTCTGAATCTGACAGTGATTGACTGTAGTTTTACATTTTACTTTCATCTCTTTCTTAATAAACTCAAAATCAAATTAAAAGTTTTTTATTCTGTAGGCTGCATAATAATATTGTCTATGTCCAGTATAGTGGACGTCTTGCGGCTGAGATGACGATGATGAAGTACAAAATCATAAACACCCAAAAATTTGGGTGTTTATGGGGTTTAAACCCAATAAACCCAAAACACCCGGTTTTTACCCACCAGACTTTAAACCCACCCAGGTGGATTGCCCATCTCTAGAAATAACTCAAAGTAGGTAAATATTCTAAAGGCTCGCGCACATTATGTTAGGCCGGACTGCACCGCATCATAACAATAATCTTCCTAAATCACTTTTGTACTTTTTATGAATAAAATATAGATAATGTAATGTGAAGCAATTATTTCGTTCATATAAAATGTATGTATAAGTTATTTCGTACATATAAATGATTTAGGAAGAATATTGTTATACGCGCGTTCGTTAAAAACACTCGTTCGTGGGTTCGTAGGTTCAACAAACTTACTGTTACACAATATTAGGTGTTGACATTTAAAACTGCAGTAATTATACTTAAAGTGTATAAATTACTGCTCTTGTTCATAGTGCTGATAACCTATGTCCACTAACACTTATACACTTTCAATAAAAGATGTTGAAATATTAAAACTCAATTATACTTAAAGCGCTTACTTATTAAATCTTATCTTGTATGAGAATAAACCTGTAATAAAATAAATAAAACCATTTTAATTGTGCAATTATCCCTGAAACCTCGGAAAATATTACAAACTAGCAGATATTATAGTTAAGTAAATTTCTGAATCGATTTCGATAAAAGTTGTCAAAAAAGTAAATTCATTATGTACTCAATATGATAGGTGCTGAGAAAGGGGTGGCTGGTACTTACTACATGGCCTGGGGTCTAAGACGGCCATGACTGCAAATCTGCCACTGAGAATATATAACAATGAAATAAATATAGAAATAATAGAGGCATAACATCTTAGTTCTTAGAATAGCAATGAATAAGAGTTATTATTGGCAGTACCAGTCTCATTGAGGTGCGTGAGCACCACCAAGGCCTAAGGAGGCGCTATAGAAGCCACACATTACTGATCCGTGGCCTAATTTAATAGTCTTTTTTTTATAGGTGATAATGAAATAATAACCCCACCTGCGCTATCGGTATATGCTGATAGGGCACCAGTGAAGGATGATAGATGAGGATGAAACAGGTCAGTTAGCCCATCTTGACGAATTCAACGAGAATTGTTCACGATGGTTTCCAGGGGGAACCACGCGGAGGTTGACCTGATAAAGGCTGTCAAACTCCATTGCTAACAATCCCTTCCCCCCTTATTTAATAGTCGTCACTATTGAATTCCCTTGCTTCATTCTAGATATGGGTAAATCGAAGGATTTTTCTTGCTTCTCAGGCGCATCGCAATTGCGGCTTGGCGCAAAGTATGAGTTATATCGCTATACTCTATATTTCGCTCTCTACAAAATGGATAACAAAAAAACATTTTCTCACTATGAATTTTACTGGATTTACATACCGTCTACTCAGTTTACAAACATTACCCACATTTCTCCAACTCCAAAGCCAATTTCACTTTTTTGTAATATTTTTTTGGTATTGCGTTGTGAGCCAACTCATTTATTTTTTATTTTGAAGAAGTGAGTCGACATAACTAGTGCAATTGCGCGGTGTAGCGCAGTTAACTTGACTTCATTCTCATCTATCATGCTCACTTGTACCCCGTTAGGATATACCGATAGCGTAGGTGGGCTTAATCCCATAAAAAGACCAAAGTATCCCCTCTAAACAATTACTGCAAGCAGGTGCTATTCACACGGCGGCTCGCTTCTAATCTTAATATAGTCAAGAAGAAAGTTGAAATACCCGTAAGAGTATTGCTGTTCTGAGATGGTAAATGTTTACTTTTAGACATCTTTTTTGTCATAAAAAAAAATAAAACTAAATTAAATTATAATATAATTGCTATGGTATAAGTATTTATTAATAAGGTTGATATTTAGGAATAAAAATAAAATTTCACATTCTTGTGAGAACATTGTATGTTTTTATTTTTATCATATATTAATATTTGAGATAAATAAATAATTACTATTTTAGAAATAACGTACTATGTTTTTCTACAAAAACAATTCTTATGGTACATATAATTTTCAGAATTTCGAAATATGCAAATATCTAAACAAGTGTTACTTTTATATCAATTACAAACACGTTACAACTATAAAAAATTATTGCACTATTGTGTTTCATGTTTGACCATCTATGTACTTGGATACATAGACAGGTCTATTAGATCTATTTTGTGAATACAATTGTTTACGCGCACCTGTGTCTCTGGCTAGTGCTAACTATTCCATTTCTAAAAACAATTACCTTATTTCTAAAAACGTCTTTCGTCTTAAATATATTAAGCTTTTTTTTTTTTTAATACGCAAAAGTCCTAATTTGAAGATAAGTAATGACACAATAGGTGTGTAGGATGTTTCAGTTTTTAAGATACTTCTTCGCCGCCCTCAACGTGACAATTTATAATGAATAAAATACTGCCGTAGTGCGTGTGGTATTTTATTTTTTATTATTGTTGAGTCAATGGGAGACTGATTCTACGAATAACATTTTACTGTGAGCTAAACCATTGAAGTATTATTTAATTTAAAGTTTTGGAGAAGAGGCCCATATGTATCATTGTCTTAGTTATTGATTAGCCTTCCATTACAGAATTATAGCAGTTTCTTTTTAGACTCTTCTAACAGGTAAACGTTACTGGTTAGGTTTTGGAAAAAATTGCACTTGGTGCCTTCAAATCTGACGCAGGTGTGCGTGGACAATCGGTCACAAGTATAAAAACTATGTTGATATCACACGAAAGCCCAGTTGGCGTAACGGTATGTGGGTTGGACTGAAAGAGATCACTCCATATAAGTCCATTGTAACTAATTTACTTCCTTTAAAATGCACATTTTACCTACTATCAAAGTACTCGTGGTCGTAATATTGTTGAGTTAATACGTGTATATATTTTTATTGATCGATCAAATATTTCATTATTTCAAAAACTTGAATATTCTACTATTAAATACAGATTTAAGTAAAATTAAGTAAAATATAGGGCCGATTCTGTGGCGCTATTTCTCTAAACCTATCTTAAGAGATAAGTTTAGAGGAAGCACGTCACAGAATCGAGCCTAGTGTTCCTGTATGTGTAGTTACATGAAAGGTTAAAAAATGTTATCATCTTTCTACGTAAACTGGAAAAGTAGTTCTGTTTTATATATTATCTATCACTGGTTTTCGTGTTGGTACCCTTTTCCTCTAACCCATTATAAATCTAAAGTTTTACAGAAATTACAATGAACACAAAAATATATGCAATCATAATATGTGACACATTATTTATCGCGCTTTGCTAATTTTCACAAATGAGATCATACATTATAGAAAAAGTTGCTCCTGGAGCTCACTATTTTATATATACTTACTATTTGATTACACTTTACAATTTACCACAAATTTTATATTTTCTATGTTTATGTCTTTTCAACACATTATTTTATATAATTATATATTTTTATATGAAAATTGTTATTCAAATTACAAAAGTAAAATATAAAAAAAGGTTTTCTACAATTTTCATAAAAATTATGCTAAAAGAGAACACAATAATTTTTACATATATTTCAGTCAAGTAATAACATGAATCGGGTCTAACAATATATGCCTATACCGTTTATATTTCACAATGAATATTTACAAATAATTTTCAAGACAAATAGTTCTGTTTAATATATTTTGTCGTCGCAACGACAAGCATAACATATTGTACTGATATAAACATAAGACCCGATACATCGAAACTAAAATATAATTCACATAAAAAATTTACTTAATAATGGCAAATATTTTGGTGATTGTAAGGAAACAATTATCAAATTTTTATACTAATTTGTGAATGCATATGGCAAGGCAATAAATTCCCGATTGGTTTTTGAGAAAATAAAAAAGGACTCGCTTAAGTCTGGTGGAAACAAAATCTCTAAGTCAGACTATTCGATAGAAATAAATTCGAACTCTCTTTGAATACTAAAAATGTTTAGGACTGGGATCTATATTTGTACGATGGCTTTCCTTCTAATGTGAAGTTCAGTTTTATGCTTGAGTTACATTTGTGTCTAACGTCACGACGGTTTGCGTAACTATAATACTGTGTGACCAATCAGTATCAACTACTGTCGTCAAAGCTTGACACGCGTGTTAGTCATAGGCGTATTGGGCCAGGCTTGTCCGCAAAATGAAGGTCTAAAAAAAGGAGCGGAAGTTTCAACTTCAGGCAAAGATAGGAGAGTACATATGCGTTATTTTTAAAGGCTCAAGCCACCCTGGATAAATATGTACGTCAATAATCGTGTCAATTACGTACGTTGTGTTACAGGCCATGTCAGAATGTGAAATAAGGGGCCCTATAAATGGTTAAAATCATATTTGAGCCAAAAGAAGCTAAAAACTAGAACTGGGATATAAGTTCATAATTATTTATAAAGCTACGCGGCACTGAGAATATGTATTGTCTATGTAACTGTTTACTTGAAATAAATAAATAAAATAATAAATAAGATTGTTAAACATACTGGACAGTTGGATTAGCATCAATTATTGTTTCATTTAGCGTAGCATGTAGGAGTAAGAATCCCGTCACCACGGTTGCGCTCATTGTTAATTTTTGGATGACAATTCGTATTAAACACTGAAGAGGTCAACGCGCTGATACCTGAATTTTTAAAGAGCACACGGTACCGTCATGATTCTGTTGTATCAGGTAAGACTCCAGCATTACAACGTCGTATAAGTGTAAACACTAAAGTAAGCCATACTGTGAATTGTACGAACGATAGCAAGCACGAAATCCTCGTTTTTATCATTAATGTTTACAAATAAATGAAAATATTCAGATCACACCCGGCATCGGAAAGGCACCACAAAAAGTAAACTGGAATCAAATTTAATACGACCATCCGGCGACAAGGTCCCGCTGAGCCCCGGGCGCTAGCGGCGCGGCTCGGGGGCGGGCCTGGCGCGCGGCGGCCGCTACAAGCCCGTCTTTAACCGGATCTTCTTGAGGTGCGACGGCGAGGGGTTTGGGAAGGGCCTCCGCTTGCCGGCCAGCGGCTCCGGGTGCAGCGGCGCGCCGCCCGGCGCTTCCCACGCGGTTGTCAGCTCCTCCGACGAGGACGACGCGCCTCCCCGCCCCCGTGCCGACCTCCCCGCGCGGCCCCGCGCCCCCCGAGAGAAGCTGCGCTTGCTCAGCTTCGCGGAAACTAGCGACGTTCGCGGGCTCTCCGAGTCGTCCGCGGACCGTCTACTCAGCTTCGCCTTCACCACTCCCCCGACCGGGGCTTTGCTCGTGTTCGGTTTGCGAATCGCCAGTACGCTCCTGCGCTTCGTCGACATGGTCTTCGGTTTGGGCTCGTTCTCCGCGAGGTAGCGGGTGCGCGAGGGCGTCTTGATCGGCTCGTTTTTCTTTACGTACTTCATGTTCATGTTGATTATGTCGTGGCCCGAGCGTTGTGCGAGTATCGGCGGGCTGCGCTTGCGCTCCGCGTCGGTCTTGGCGCCTGCGTACGCGTTTTCTTTCCGCTCGTCTGTCACTTTGCCTTTGGAACGCGCGAAGAGAGGCACCCGAGTAGGGGACGACGTCTTCGGTCGTAGCCGCGACATCGTGAGCTGAAATCACAATTACAAATTTAAATCATAGCGATACGAGTCCAACGCGGAGATGGTAACTTCTTATATGATTTTCTAGTGCAATTTGACACCCTCACTTCCATTAGTAAAGTAACAGTATGGCGTTATGTTAATCGAATTCGGACAACACGACTCACTGTGACAGCTTCCTTACCCCGAATACTACGCACTTATAGGGCTGGTGTTTTATTTAGTAGTTTAACACTGAAAATTAAAGAGGAGCGGTTACGTTACGACACATAAAGCAAAAAGTCAACTGAAGTTTTTGTAAAGAAAATATATACAACAGCCAGATGCATGCAGTTTTTTTAATCGAGTATTATATATATAGACATAAAAAGGCATCAGGAACATGGTACCATTAATTTGTATTGTTTACATCCATCATCATATCAGCCTTTAACTGTCCACTGCTGAACATAAGCCTCCTCTTAGGGGGTTTGCCAGTAATTGTCACGTTTGGCACGCAGGTTGGCAACGGCAGTCAAGTTTTTAGAGATGTTTTAAGAGGGACGCTGCTGCCCATTCCTCATCTTCTCTTAGTCGGCTCTTACGATACCCACGGGATAGGTGTGACCTATTCTATGCCGGGATCACACGGCCATTATTATTTACATTGATTATATTTAATTGACACTTTTTGTTAAATTAAAATCTAATTATCAGCGTAATGCCGCATAAAAAATATGTTCTAAAAACACGAGCGATTTAATGTTTAGCTGTCATTGAACTGTAAGCAATAACACGGGTTTAGAAGCGAGTTACTGTATAGATATTAGTGGCGTGGCCGCGGGTGGTTGCTGGAGGCAGACGTACCTGCGGGCGCATGGTGCGCGTGTGGGCACGCAGCCAGTCGCGCAGCGCGGCCAGCGAGCGGTGCTCGGACGCGGGCACGCGCGAGTTGGGGTGCTGCCCCGTCAGGTCCAGGATCGACGCGCCCAGCGACCGCCCCACCTGCGCAACGCACCATATACCACCGGGGGAAGTGCCCTCTTTTGGACACCAATGGGGATTATTTAAAACACGACATTAGTTGCTCGCTGTGTTCGATGAAAGTGGACCGAGCGTCGATTCGAGTAAACGTCGGTTATAATTGAAAGATTTTCGACCTTCAAAATCCTTTCTCGATACGGGGATATTATCCATCCATGTCGGTAAATATACATATTAAGGTGCAGAGATATTGTTAAAATACGAAAATCACTACTAGCCTAGAAGGTACGGATTTAAATCTCGCCCGCTTCTTAGGTCCTAGCATGGCCTAGAAGTTTTAGGCCATGCTAGGACTAGTTACCTTACCACATGTGTTCTGAGAATTATATCTGAACTAATATAAAGAAAAATTTATTTTTTGTATATTGTTTCTAATGGATAAACTTTCCAAACTACTTAACCGATTTTAAAAATGTTTTCTATAATAACTATATAATCTGTAAGTGATATTGGCGATATTTTATTTACAATAGAGTCACTAGTATTTGATATTTGATGTTATGCATCCATTTTCATGTTTGTGTCAATTCTTAACAAAAACAAACTCAGAAAAAAAACGCAGTGAATTGTGTTCAGAAAATTTGACAATTATCCTTAACACGATAATAAGTTCTCATGCGAAAATATTCAAAAACGTTTGCCGGCATGGATGGATGTAATCACCCGTGAAAGAAAATCTTTGTATGCAAGTAACTAGCGCGGAGGCAAGAGGAGTTCACTGCAACTATCCGCAATATAAACATGTTTTAATTATATATTTTAACTTACTCTAGCTACGTTAAAATTCATGATGATGCCTGACTCGAAACATACTCTACTACGCCTAGAGGATTCGCTACGAACCACTACAACAAATCGAATATCATTCTTTACGTAAGTGTTGATATTATACATCTATCGATACAGAAAGAACGTACTACTCTATACAATTACATCTATCTATAATTTATTCACTTGAGGTGAAAAAATATTTCTGTTTAAAAATAATTTCAAGTATCGTATTAAAACCATATTTTGTATCACACGACCCTTACTTTTCATTTGATGTTTGTTTACTTTTCTGTTTATATTATTTTCGAAAAATAAATATATTTTTCTAAATGTCTTTTCTAAATTAAAGTTGTATTGTATTGTAAAATCTTTACAGTATATAATTCATACTGAATACATTAAATGATTTAATATACAATGGCGGACTTATCCCATAAAGGGATCTCTTACAGTCAACCTTTGAGAAGCTGAAAGAAAACTGTAGAATGTATAAGGGTAATAACCGTACAGCTATACTAATATCCAGTAAAAAGTTTAATATATAATACAATAAAACCTATATATGTAAATAATAAAGTTATTGTATGATCCACATTTTGATGACTGCTTGTAACATGGGCATCTGTTTAATGATGGATATTGCGTGCACTGTGCATTTAAATGTGTGTGCGTGTTCATTTTTTGTGTTATATGTAATGGTCTTCTATAAGCGATAATTAGGTATGGGAATCGTTATATGAGAAATTTCTGGGACTCAGAATTTATAGCGCTTCATTTCATTAGTATATTTTTGTCGTCCCTAAGGATTATAAAATTGATTAAGAACTAATAATACTGTTATAGAATTGACAACGTAAATTACTCAAACAAATTCGCCAATAGAGGAATTTATTTACGCATTTTTTGCATGTGCTTTAAATATACATATATTTACATCACAGAACTGCATTACAGTTTGCTTTTTATTATTATTTTTATTGCTTTTTTTTTATTAATTATTGTAATTTTTTTGGCTTCTCTATATTATTTTTGGACTAACACAGCACGTTTTTTAATTATAATACCATAAATATTCGCATGCAGATTATTTATAAAATTTTTTGGTCTTCTTCTGTTCGCTCTGATGTTTCTAATTTTGTTCTTAAAAAATAATGAGCTAATGCTCATTGTTCTTTAGTAAAAATATTCTCATCCCTTTCCATAATATTCATATTCATTCACTAATTAATAAAGAAAAAAATAAATAAAATAAGGCTAAACGACTATGGTGTCTTTTTTGGTGTCCTCAAAAAGTCGTCAAGGGATAACCTGTTCTGGAGATTTTAGAAGTTTTGTAGTTAAGCGTGAAAAGATATTATATACAAGTAAGCTTACAAGCAAATTAACTAAATTAAATGTGAACAAGGTCCCAGACAAACCTTCATAGGGTCTATATCTTCGAAAACCTCCAGATTCTTTGCGCGATTGATTCTTACCTGAAACGTTGATCACTCCCATGTAAACATTTTCACTATTAAAATATAATGTAAAAATGGCAACGTATGTGGGGTATCGTGGGCGAAACAGTATACTCTGTTATGTCCATGGTGCTGCTCATGTCTATGGGCGACGGTTACCACTTTCTATCAGGTGGGCCGTCAGCTTGTTTACCATTCTAAGTTGTATATAAAAAAAATCTGTGTTCAAATATGTCACTTCTGTAACATTAAAACTTAATGTTACGAAATCGATAAACAACCAAATCGATTCAACTCAGTCTATATCTACATAGTAAAATTGATACATGGGACAAATTAATGTACTACATATATAAAAACTGAAATCATAATTTATGAAGTCTTGACGATTCGTCCTATAATCTAAACTTCGTCTCAAAATGATTTCGAATTAGTTAACTAGATTCGGTTGCTTGCGAGTATATTTAGCTGTTACACTAACTTTATAAGCTTTGTACGTACATTAATATAATATATATGTATTATTAAAACAATGTTATTCAAATGATCCATCGTAATAATATTATAGACACACGAACTCTATTCGAACACAATCTGAATACTAAAAATTTAAATAAAATGGTAATGATTTTCAGATGTATTTATTTAGAACAATATTTTCATTTCACAGGCGCGTTACAGTAATTCGTATAAATGAGAATGCAGAATGTGATGGCGCAGGAGGGTGAGGCTCGATATAATGCATCGCGTCCGATGTCACACGCTTGCCACCTCACTTGTATAATTTGCCTGTGGTGTAACTGTTACTTATTAGAAGGCAAAATTGATTCATCGAATAATAATGTACCTCTTAGATAATATATTTTGACAACAGATGTATTGTTTTTAGGTGGCTAAATTTTATGCCTTTTAACATTGAGTTCATAGATTGTACCTATTTGCAACCAATAGTAACCTTGAAGTTAATTTACCCATGCGTAAATCGGTCTTGAGGGTAATAGGTAGGTAATCAAGTATATAAATTCGTACTATGTATATATTACATTCATAAGAACAGAGCGGCGATAATAACTGATCTCCCTCTTTTATCCCTAAATTAAACAAGTAAAATTGTTTCTGAAATGGAGTGTGTCATTGCTTTAAGAAATTGGTATATTTTTATTAAATAAGTTCCTAGAATGAATTTAAAGACAAGTTTAAAGTTCAATTCAAAGTGTGGAAACTATGATATGTAAAAGGTACGGCTAGTAGGTGTTTGCTACGGCAGGTATGCAATGTGCACGTATGCACCAGAAACGGGTTTACCTCTTCGAATATGTGAGGCGTGTACTTGGGCGGTAAGGCAGTGGCGGCAGCGGAGGCGGACGCGGTCGCGGAGGCGGGCGCGGGCATATCGCGGACGGCGGGCGGCAGCACGTTGACGAGGCGGCCTGTGTTGTAGTTGCACTCGAGCGTGTAGGAGCGGACCAGGCCGGTCGCTTTCAGCACGGCCACGCGGCCCGAGCCCTCGCGGGACATGCCGTCGCGCCGGTCCCTGGTGCCAAGTGACAACAACAAGTTACAGTGTTGTTATGCTTAGAGGTAAAAGGTGACCTAGCTTTTTTTTTTTTCAGGGTCGCGCTGACACTTGTCTGAGAAGCACTAGGTATGCTAAGGTTGGCTCTAATGTGGGATCAAGGATGGCATAATGTAACATAGGGCAAGATGTTTCAACTATTGAAATTTACATACATTCACAGCTGCAATGCCCGCTCATTATCAGGCAGCCCACATGCTTAATTGTTCCGTTCGTTTTATAAAAAAACTATATCTTCGAACTACTCAGAGCATAGAAGTGTGTATACTCACTTGAGGTACATATTCCGCTCGGTGAAGTTGCACGAGGAGAAGTGAAAGTGTAGGTTGTTGAGCGACATGATGCGCGGCAGAAGCATGCACTCCACAGAGCTCTCCAGGTCCTCGAAGTGGTTGCCATACATGAATATACCTGTATGTAAACATACTCATTAATATACTTATTTTTAATACATTTAAACAATTTTTTAAGATTTTCAACTAGTAAACAATCCAATGGAGATCATCTGATTAAGAAAAGTAACTAGAACTTGAAAAGTAAGACCTGAATATCACTAAGGACATCACAGAATGCTCTGTAATACTTCTCCCGTGTTACCATTCTCGAGGGTTAAGGCCTTATCGCTCCATGCTCTGTATTTTCACTGTCATGATCAAGTCATGTCCATTCTTCAAACCAACCATGCTAGTACTTTATGGCAGAAAGAAGAGTCATAAGATACTCAAGTAGAGGACTTTTATACATTCTACCTTTGGTTAATTACACAATACCTTTCTTAGAAGCGTGCCCGTGGAGATCAATGTATAGAAACAGGCCGGACTCCGGCTCCTTAGGAGTGGGTCGCGATGCGGGTGGTACCGGCGGCTTTTTCTTCACTTGTTTGGTGATAGGAGATTTTGGTTTTTCCTCTTTCGGTAATATTTGCTGTAACAGAAATATCGAGTTCTTTTTTTAATTTAAAGACTGTTTTTAGTTATCAAGCTACATCTTGTTACACTTAAGTCAAAGAGAAAAACCATGATTTTTATATATGTGTCATTCGAATAAAGAACATTCTTCCAATATCGAAATTTGAAATATTCAATATTTATGTTACTTTAAATTTGTTTAAATATGAACTTAACAATAAGAACAAGATGGTTGGTCCTCACCGTGCTCGCAGGCGAGGCAGGCCTTGCGTCGCCGCTGTCGTCCGCGGACACCGCCACGTTCGCCGTCGATACTGCTGAGCTCACTTTCTGTACACACACAATATATGAACGGATGTTTATAACATTATTATCATATTATAAGGGGAATTATTAATAGGCAATAATTATACAAAGATTTGCCACTTCCCACCTCCCGCTTCACCTTTAATGACATGTAAGGCGAGAGAATGAGAGAGAGAGAGAGAGAGAGAGAGAGAGAGAGAGAGAGAGAGAGAGAGAGAGAGAGAGAGAGAGATAAGAGAGAGATATTTCTTAGAGAGAGACTTTTTTATATATTTAGAGAGAGAGATATAAGTTAAGAGAGATGAATTCATTTTCAGAGAGAGATAGACGAAAGCTGAGAGAGAGAGAGAGAGAGAGAGATAAGAAAGTCTATACAATTAAATTACAAGTAAATTTTTCATTACAATCTACCATAATTAAATTGACATGAAGAAAAATAAAGCCACCTCTTGTTTGTTGGAAAATATTGTTTATAATTTTCTCTTAAAATTATCATATCAAATTCGACAATATAGATATAAAACGAGTTGTTTACAAATATCATAAAAAAGGTATAATATAAAGGTATATCTTACAATTTCTTCGTTATGTTCCGTTATGACGTATTTCTTGAAGCAATTAGTGCAGAAATACATAGCGTCTTTTTCTGGTGTCTCAGAATCTTGAAGCTGAAAAAAAAATAAAAAATCGTGTCCAATAATAAAATACTCTATCAGAGTGAGACTTTGTGCAAAAGCAGTGGTTTCTGCATGAGTATCTCTGTTCCCTATTATATATATCTGTTGTTATGCAGATGCGCTTGTATGGCCTTGTTTCTTTTTTAAGTTAGATTTAGGGCAGTGAAATTATTACGTAAGGAGACATATGTAAGGGTCGAACTCTAAACATTAATATACAATATATATTTATACATATATATGTTGTTTATATTATTCGAATATAATTATGATATATTTAATTATTTTTTATCTATTTAAACATTAATGCATAGTAAAATTCTATGTACATTTGGCGGACTTAACAACGGACGGTGTTCTCCACCAGTCAACTATTGGGCAAACCGACAAATAAATAGGCGGTGCATTATTGAATAGATGAAGACAGAGTGATATATATTTATATATTATTTTTTTGTCTGTTTGTACTAGTAACAATGAAAGTGCACTAAATACATATGGTTGGACATATCATCCAATTTAACTATATTCCAAAAATATTGGCACTAAAGTCTACAAGTACATACTTCTTTCTCATCTAGCTGTTGTCTCTGGTGCTCTCTATATTCTTCTATGGAGTGGTGGGTAGGGTTCTCGGAGCGTATCTGAGTAGGATATACAATGTTGTAGAGTGAAGGAAATAGGAAAAAAGGAGTTGTTTAAATCAAGGCTATTGATTGTTTGATTATATATGGCTCACGATTATTATTACTGATTGACTGACACATGAAACTGGCAATGGTTATGAATGTTTATTTTATTTTATTTTATCTTTATTTGGTCTTCTAGCAATTGTTACACTGATAAGATTTAATATTAAAATTACTGTCTATTTATACTTAGTGTACAATCATTTTAAAGGAAACACAGCATGCTAATTAACAAAAACAATAATATGGTATAACAATCTCTTGAAGTATTTGACATTGGTATAGTTTTTTAGATTCAATAGATGATTGCAATGTTCAAAGAGTTCATAAAGCTTACCGAAGTATTGTATTGTATTATAAAATCTTTATTGAACATAATTTATATCGGATACATTAAAAGATTTAATACACAATGTACGAAGTATGGTACTGTCGGTAATATTTGTTAATTGATTACTTAAAAAGTGTTATGTAAGCAAAACTAAAAGATGTTCACGCAACAATATTTTTATAAAGCTTTTAAAAAATTGACTATTGACAATAAAAAAGTATTGTGAAAGAAATATTGAAAACTAATCAACTGTTATTGACAATTGTCTGATAAATGTGATGCGCGACGTTTGCTATATTTCGGTAAGTTTCGTTATGTGAGCGACGACCTTCAATATGTCGCAGGGAGTAGGTTAGTGGATGCAGGTGGTTTAGGAGCGTTCATCATGGAAGGTTCTGAGGAAGGCCTATGTTCAGCAACAGATAATGGATGATTTTTTTTTTATACAACTTTGAATGGCAAACAATCTGACGGCCCACCTGATGGAAAGTGGTAACTGTCGCCTATAGACATGAGGAGTACCATGGACATAACAGAGTATACTGTTTCGCCCATGATACCCCCCATGCGTTGCCATTCCTGAGGACTAGATACTGACCATAGCAGCACTGTATCCTGGCACCATCTTGGTGATGCCTGGTGTAGTATCCTCGAGCTTGGAGACCGCCTGCCTGCACTCCTTACACCAGCCGATTCGCAAGTTGGTTAGCCGGGAATCTTTACCGCCTATTGCACTGTCGCTGTATATTAAAAATGAATCAGTGTGCGTCCAACTTTATTTAGGTGGAATAGCGAATAAGCTGATGGCTAGCAATTCCTTTGAAACAATAATAAGTCCCATAGAGTTTTAAATAGTAGCAGAGAACAGTAATAATAATTATCAAGAATAATATTACATCATTTTGAGCATAGCTCAGTTATGAAATGTTAAAGTTTAACAAATGTCAATTTATCATTTTATGCCAGAAAATGAAAAAAAAATTAAGAAAAGAAATGTTATATTCGTAATTTGTGTTAGTTTTTCTCATGGCCGTAGCTGGGGGAGGGAGGCATTGAGGGCAATATCCTACCTTAAAATGCCCAATGCCCTACCTTAAAATGCCCAATGCTCTACCTTAAAATGAAAGGCCTCAAGAAAACGAGACAGATTCGCATCTTGGAAGTCACCTAATTATAGCTTCTGCCCTACAAAAAACTTTTTTGCCCTACCTTAAACTTGGGTCTAGCTACAGCCCTGGCTTTTCTATATGTAGTGTACATTTCTTAGACTCATACGTACATAATCCCGAAAAATGTCCTTAACATGGGGAGTTAAGTATCAGCCGTCATACCTACGCTTATTATATTGGTTTTATCATTCTTCATACATCTAAAAAAAAAAAATAATTGAAAGCATTTGAAAATCCGTACCGATAACATAAATACAAAATGAGTTTGTTATCTCTTTGCGCCTTGATTGGGCCGTTAATCAACTGATTGTAATGAAGTTTGGTATATACGTAGTATTTGGGATGGAGAAGGACACAGGTAACTATTTATCACAGTGAATAAACATATCCTGGTAAAAGCTAGTAATCTATGACTCATTTACATAACATACCCTGCCACAGACGAGCTAGATTCCATCAGTAAACTGATGCTGTTCTTGAGCGTGTCACGCAGTGGCCTGAGTGGGTTGGTGCCGTGCAGGTTGAGCTCGTCGCTGGTGCTCAGGTGCACGTTGGAGCCGAGGCATGAGCGCAGCACCGAGTCGTTGAGCAGCGAGCTCGTCTCCGCCACGTTCGTGTTCGACGGCTTCGACGATGCGTCGCTAGTTTGCGACGGCATCTCTTGCAATTTCATGTCGTATACCTATTTAGTTATATATAGTTTTAATTTTTTTTTATTCTACATTCTAATCTTACTTTATAGTAAATGTGAAAGTTTTATAGAAGTATATTTATTATTAAATTACTCTCAAATTATTGAAAGGATTACAATAAAATTTTATACATGGGTAGGTTGTATTATGTATGTACACATAGACTATTTTATATATTAGTGCACGCGAGCAAAGCAGCGGAAAATATAAAGTATATATCGTATAATATAAAGTCTTTATTGAACATATTGTGAACACATCATCCACTCGTTAGTCTTTTTTATACTCACATATTTGGTAAACAATGATTATACTATTATAATAAAACTGGTGGTCTACCATGAAATGAAATTCCGAATTTTCGGGCTCAATTTCGTGTTTTTGTTTGAACCTAAATCAAGCCAGTAAATGGAGCTTAACATTTCATTCATCATAAATCCTATCCTAATAGTCCAGAGGAACGATATTTTAACATTTTTAATAATTTTAAACGGCATGTATTATGTAATTTTAACATCAAATTTCTGTTTCGTTCGTCCCCGAAATTTCGGAAATCACTTCATGGTAGGACTACAGGTATCATGGGCGTAACAGTATACTCTGTTATGTCCATGGTACTGCTCATGTCTATAGGCGACGGTTACTACTTTTCATCAGGTGGGCCGTTAACAGTTTATAAGAATGACTCTATGTTGGTAACATAAAAGTTTTATTATGAGTGAAGCAGTTTTTTTTTTTTATTATTTAATCTTAAATTGTATAGAAAATATTGGAACAGTATACTGCTGTATTTTTAATTAATTTCCTGTGATTAGGTCTGATGTAGCGCTACTAATTTAGCATTTAGTTATCGCGGCGGCTGTTTCCACTCGTAACGGTGTTAGTAATTCAAGTATTTCGTTATCTAAAGCTTACATGAGCTTATATGCACTACAATATTATACCTACATACACCCATATTTCAGTATCCTTACTGATATCAAAAATGTGAAAAAAAAGTTTGTTTCTGTTATACTTTAACTTATAATAGTCGATTAAATGCATTTTGTTTTTGCAGTCGCTAATAGCTTTACTTAGGAGCCTTAATTTCATTTCTATAGATTTATGTTTCGAATGATCCACACTATTTGTTTGGAACATGCTGTATTTAAGTGTATGAAAGTAGTAGTAAATATTATTTTATAAATCTTTTTTTTATACAACTTAGAATGGCAAACAAGCTGACGGCCCACCTAATGGAAAGTGGTAACCGTCGCCTATAGACATGAGCAGTACCATGGACATAACAGAATAAACTGTTTCGCCCATGATACCCCCCATGCGTTGCCATTCCTGAGGACTCAGGTGTTATTCCTCTGTACCCTGTAAATTCACGCCATATCCCACCTTTCAAACCGAAACACAGCCATGCAAACACAACTGCTTCACTATGAAAGTATGTAGATTTCTAAGTACCATATTCTTGAAGTAAATTGTCAGTATTAACACCTCGACAAAATGCTAACTAAAAAGTTTTTTAGAATATGTTAATACTGTAATTATAAATTTACAAAATTTAAAAAAGAAAAATTATTTATCCTCCTATATTAATACCGGAAAGCTGGCGCTCTGCGCTTTTTTGGTGTTATTCATATAACATGAATAGGTATCATGTTTCTTTAGGCGAGTGGGTTTTGCCTACCTTAGAATTGTCTAGTAGCCACATCAGAATATGAGCGAAGCTATCGAACTACGCGGAATAACATATCTGAATTGACCTTAAATACGCCAGTGGTTGTAAATCCATTTAAAACTGACTTGTTCGGCGAGGTGTGTCGTTTCTCCGCTCAAAGCGTTGGCATCCTTCCTCGAGCTATCTACAGAGGGCTGCTTGATAGTGGTGGTGGATTTGTTCCCACTGACTGATTTCCCAGTCTTCTCGCGCTTGTACTCGCTCGCTTTGAACGACGACGTTATAGGACTCTTCTTTTTCTTAGAATCCAGTAACTGTTAGAAATTTTATAGAATATTTTTCAATTTTTTGGTACATTATATAAAACAAAGAAAATAATAATAATAATAAAGAGAAATCAATATACTATAAATGATATAACTTTCTTTTGAGATATTTAAACTAAATGCGACAAAGACAGTGCCATTTTAAGTAAAATAATATTATATTTATTTATCTTGTGTTCGTAAGTTTGTGTTTTTGTCAAATAATAAAATTTCTATTTCTATTATATTTCTACCATAACTTTATCTTTAATTTGTTATAGATTCAGATATTGTAAATGCTCTCAACAACATATCACCTTGCTATACTTTCAAATGTTATTGATTTGCATAATTTTAATATTTAACAATGTAAAATATATAATTATATAGATATATAACTGTAAAATTTTCAATAACAAAAATATCTCTATACTTCATTAATATTTTTATTAGTGTAGTTTTTCTACAAATATTAAATTAAAAGTATGGATTATTTTGTTTCAATTTAAAGGTGGCGCTTGAAAAAACGAGATAACATGTTTCATAATTTCATTAAAGTGCAATTGTCTTCATTAGTGACAGTTTTGTTAGTGACTAGATACTAATCAGCAAGAGTGTTAATACCATTGTTCCTTGATGTTTATTAATTACTTAATTAAGTTTACTACTATATTGATGTCGAAATATAGATGTTCATTTGTCTGTCGGCTTGTGTATTTACCTCTGTACTCTCGCTAATGTTCTGGATGCTGCGTGATGTAAAACTTTTACTATCTTCACAGATGTCCTCTTTTTCACAGCCAAAGTGGTAGTATCTGTAATGAGAATTCATTACTTATGCATTTGGATGGATTCTTATAAGAAAATTACTGTTAATTGTTGGTTATCAAAAGAAGCAGTATATTGATTTAGTAGTATTCTAATAATTATAGAAGTAGGAAATAATATATTCTTATTAAATTAATAATCATTACAATTAACTAAAAAATAAAGTAAAAAGGTATCTCAAAATTGAAATGTATGAAAATACTTAAAAATAACCAGTGTAAATTTCCACTAAAGAAGTAATTTTCACTATGATTAAATGCGAATGTTTATGATATATAAATACTGAAATGATCTATTAGTAAATGAGTGTTATCCGTGTGGTCCCGGCATAGAATAAGTCACTCCTTCCTTTCCTGTGGGTGACGTAAGAGGCAACAAAGGGACGGCGAGGGTGGGTAGAAGCGTCCCTTTTAAACATCTCTAAAGCTTATATTAAGATATAAAGATCGCCAATTTGCCAATAATGATTAAATGGCTGTTAAACTTTAAAGTTTATAATGTTAGTGAGATACTAACCTAATTAGAGCTCTTGATGCGTAAACTGAGGGATGATAGGTAAGTGAGGGGTTCAGGTAAACCCGGTTCAAATTGACTCCTCTAGTATCAGTCCTGTAGTGCCCTCTGGCGACTCCATCAGGGTTTAAGAACGGGATCATCTTAAACACGTAGTTTTTCCGTAACTGTATAGCGATAGGGTCATGCCGTGTTAGTAGCAGGTTGAGGAAACCATTGAATACAAAGCTGGATGGTGTTTCTCCAGGGTGTACCCGGGCTGACATGAAGATAACCTGTAAACAAGAAGTTTAGCTGGAATTATAACATGAACCCAGAAGTTTTACTAATGTGGTAAAAGAATTAAATAAAAAAGAGATAATGTCTGGCGACTAATTTATTTTTAAACAAACGCATTACACTGCTGTATTGGTGTAAAATTAAATTATTACGTGTGTATTATTTTATGATGGCATAATTATATTTACATAATTTATAGGTTGCAAAAGTATAGAATAACAGAGATAATAAGGTCATTATTAAGCTACGTTAATCGTGAAAATACTAATAAAACCATGGTTTTCATTTTTGAACCCAGAACTAGACTTGTTTCAATATAAAGAATTTAAATAATCAATAAGAAAGTATAGCAAACCTTTTTGTTTAAAAATTTAAATGGCCTCTCCTGATTGTCGGGAAATAAATTCTTAAGTCTCTCTTCTCTATCCGTTGTAATTCCATGATGTGACGTTATTGTTAATAAATCCACGCGGCGTCCTGTGAATTACAAAATACAAATAAAAAAAAAAAGTTATAGGTGGCTAAATATTTATGAGTAGTATCCTATAAATCTGCCTCAATGTTACCTTCGAGGGAATATATAAGACATTCTCTGCAATAGTATATCTCGTCAGGCGACTGCGGCGGAGGCAACGGCAACATCTTCATGTCGATGGAATTGAGAGCTATCTGCAGTTCCGCAAACGAGAATGGGTATGTGAAGGCAAAGAATGTTGTCGCTTTCAAATTGTCTGACGTTCGGTACTTGAAGCTCAGTGTGAAGGTGTTGTCATCTGTCTGTACCATAAAATTTATTATATTTGAACTGTTTAACTCTTATGAACATGAACAATAACATTTCATACAGCGATAGGTGACCTAAATTGATTTAGTTGAGAACTTTCAGATAAAATATTGAGATTATATTTTTAAATACAAATTTAAATTTCATTTCATTGATTTAAAGTACTTCTTTACTACTATTTACTACTCTTTATTTATTTATTTTATCAACTGAGTGAGCTTTACAGTCTCCCAATACACTCACCCAGGAAAACATCAGTGCTGGTAACACATATGTATAATTAAATGGAATTATATTAATTAGATTTAAATCACAACAAAATAATAACAGAAATAACATGTATATCTCTGAACACAACCACTTTACCAGAGGGAGGTTTTGTACAAAAGTCGTTTGTTTGGGTACTTCTGTCCCATCCATGTTTCAATTGTGAAGCAGTTGTGTTTGTATAGCCGTATTTAGGTTTAAAGGGTGGGATATGGCATGTGAATTTACAGGGTATAGAGGAATAACACGTGAGTCCTCAGGAATGGCAACACATGGTGGGTATCATGGGCAAAACAGTATACTCTGTTATGTTCATGGTACTGCTCATGTCTATAGACAATGGTTACCATTTCCATCAGGTGCCCACCTGCTAGTTTACCATTCTAAGTTGTATAAAATAAACTCTGTGGTCACATAATCATTTATATGTAGTGACATATGAAAAAAATTCTAAAAGTGATATTGATAGCGTGTATGTAATTTCGTAATATAACTTTTGATTTACTCACTGAATGTACGGGACGATCTCTGATTCTCTCCCACTGAGGCCTCCCTGGAAGTGTCCGTGTTACTGGCGCCATACCTTGGTTATACATTTTCCCTTGTTTGTTCAGATTTATTAAGTTAAGCCGTACCTAAAATATGTTTATCTATTAGTACAATCATAATTATTATAGTTGATAGAATTTTTTTTATTAACTTGCTAACCATTTACTTGTTGGAAAGTGGTTGAAACTGTTACCACTTTTCAGCTTATATATATTCTTTATTGCATTTGTAAATTATTTTTATTTTACACTGATAAGATAGCAATTGTTACACTGATAAGATTTAATATTAAAATTACTGTCTATTTATACTTAGTGTACAATCATTTTAAAGGAAACACAGCATGCTAATTAACAAAAACAATAATATGGTATAACAATCTCTTGAAGTATTTGACATTGGTATAGTTTTTTAGATTCAATAGATGATTGCTTCACATAAGTTTTAGCTATTTAAATATATATATTATTATAATTATATATATAAGACAGTTATATATATTCTATGCAAGAGTGGACTTATCTCTGGAAGAGATTTCTTCCAGCTAATCCAATATAGTGACAAAACATGTAGTAAATATAAATGTGAAAGTTTAAAATATTTGGAGAGTAGATATTCTGATTTTGCTGAATAAATTTGAATAAAATTAGGTACATATATCAGCCATATCTTATATATTAAAACATACTTTATTTTAAATCATATAGGCAAAATTGTAGGTGCTGGGAATACTTCCCATAGTTAATTTTGCTTTCTTCTCTACCTGTTAAATAATTGAATGAAAGCAGTCTATGCTTACCAATACTGCAGGCTCACTGGCTTGTATTCCAAAGTAGAACCAAGTTCGATTGCCATTCTCAAACTCTGTGCCAGCACAGTCTGGTCGAGTCCACAAATTAAATTCATAGTCTGGGGTTTCATTTGCGTTTGTCTTGGGGTTAACACTGGGAGCTGCAATTATTTTTAGATTAGTCACAAAAACAGTTGGGAAGCAGATGTTTTGAAGATTAAATTAATAATGCAAATTTCTCAATGAAAATTATGTTTGTGTTATTGTTTATCTCCATGAACATCCTTTTTCTTGTCAAGCAGTATATATTAATTTTCATAATAATTAGCTAGTAAAAAAACCAGTCAAAAGGCAGCAGCAGTGTGATAGTTTTATATTGATATGACTGACCGCTTAAAAAGGCACATTACTTAATATTTGTGCAGAGTTAAAAGATCCACTCATATTTATTTACTCACAATAATTAAACAATAATCGACAAGTTTTTATACACAAGTTTTAATTAATTAACAATAATTAAGTAAAGAATGAAGCCCTAAAAATTTTTTTTAAAGTCTAAAGTAGTAGAGTAAAAAAAAAAAAGAAAATTGTGAAAGTATACAATTTTATTTTACATAGTTTTGTTTTCAGAGTGGTTAACAAATATTCAGAATTTAAAATGTCTATGTACATGTTTCAAAAATATTTATACCAATAATGTTTTGTTTCTTGTTATTTTTGTAAATTATAGTTTTCTGTTATATAGAATGATAGTCCATTTTGAAATCAATCTATGTTTACACTACATACTATATGGGGTAAAAAGAGTAAATTGAGTGCTAAATCTTAGATATCTCTTACTTCATTATTTTTATAAGTTGTTAAACAATTTATAACAAAATATTTAAATACAATCGTTTTAGAATCTTGGACAAATAATGAAAAGAAAATTAATAAAATACTTAAAACTGAGGTTAAATAGATAAAAAAATATAATACAATAAGCTTACTAAATAAAATTATATATGTACAAGTTCTTTTAAAAAGTTTTAATTTAGTAACATAAAATAATTGTTGTTTATATGATTTGGCATCTAAAATGGCATTGGACTTTGTAATAATTGAATAAATCCTAGCAAGTCAACTTACCTATAAGTTCCGTAGGCACTCTTTCTACATGCCCAAGGTTTCCTGAGTCAAAATTATGAATGAAATAAAATCCACCGCACTCTATTATATTATTCTGATCCATAACTAATAATGATTTGTTGGACTACATCATATAAAAAATTATAAAGTCACAAATGTTTGCAAGGCGTAGGGCACACATTTACTTTAGCAATTTATCTAAAAAATCATCCAATTGAAACTGCATATTGTCAATTTCAAAATGACACTAAAAAAAAGGAAACTACACTGTTTTTCTAAACAAAATTATGTAATTTTGTTGACATCGATTGACGGATAACAGCTGATTTGTTTTATTGCTGATCTTTTTTATTACGAAGGAGCACCAAAACAGAAACAGAGAAAAATATTATGTTGAAAAATATGTCTTTTTTTTATAATTAATTTTAAATTATAAGTCATTAATTATAATCAGTATTCACTATTTATTTAGAAATTAGAAAGACTTCATGGCATTATGAAATTTTATTCAAAATGGCTGCAGCTCAATCGGTAGCTTATTTGTCGCTTCAGCATATCTAAAAGTATAGCTCCTACCTCGATGACAGTTCTTAGTGACAGGTAAAGTTGTCTATGCTTATTATACCTGCCAGTGTCAAAAATAAAATAATGTAATTGGTAAATAACATTTCAACTTCAATCAAGACTGTTGGGTACAGCAAGTAGAGGAGGACAACACTTTTTTTCACTTATGAAATAGTCTTAAGAATAGTATCACGACGGGAAAATAAAACATATAATACAATAAAATAAAACATATAAACAATATAATAAAACAAAAAATATAATCTAATATCTGTATTTATCTCTAACTTACTATTATATCATTTAATAAAGTGAGTCTGCAGTGTCATAATTTATTTTCTCAATTTCCGTCCTTGAAAGGTCGTGAGTTCAAATTTAGGCGATGCTAAAAACTGTAACTATTTTATACTAATTCTTTGATGACAGTAAACGCCGTAAGCAAACCAAATGATTTTGATAAACCGTAGTAGCTTTGCTTCCTACAAAGGATTAGTAATTTGAAATATGCCAAGTACATGTAAGGAATTTGAATTTATTTCAGCTTCAGTTCTATAGGTACCCAATGCAATAGAAGGGGAGGAAAGGGATTGTTAGTAATGGAGACTGAGAATCCTATTGCTACCAATATACCCAACCATGTCGACCTCCTCGCGGTTCTCCCTGGAAATTATCATGGTTAATTCCTGATGAATTCATCATGATGGGCTAACTGGCCTGTTTTCATTCTCATCTATCACCCTTCACTGGTGCCTCGCCAGCGTATCCCGTTAGCGCAGGCGGGGTTACCATACCATTTTCACCCAGCAAAAAAAAAGCAATAGAAGGAGAAAGGGATTGTCAGTAATGCGGACTAGCAATATACTCAATGAGGTCGATCTCAAGATGGCCCCCCATGATATTTTGGTTTATTCATCACAATGAGGCTAACTGACCTGCTCGGGGGTAAAGAGATTGTTAGTAATGGGGTCTAACTGACCCATTGCGGGGGGAAAGGGATTGTTAGTAATAAGGTCTAATAGCACCATTGCTAGCAATATACCCTCTCAGATCGACCTCCACGCGGTTCCCCCTGGAAACCATCATGGTTAATTGTTGTCGAATTCATCATAGTGGGTAATTGACCTGCTTTTATCGTCATCTATCATCTCACTGGTGCCTCGCCAGCGTATACCGATAGAGTAGGCGAAGTTATTATTCCATTATCATCCATAAAAAAAAAAAAACTGACCTATTGCCAGCAACACACCCTATAAAGTCGACCTCCACGCGGTTCTCCCTGGAAACCATCGTTGTTAATTCTAGTGGAATTCGTCACAATGGGCTAACTAATCTGCTTTCATCGTAACCTATCATCCCTCACTGGTGCCCCGCCAGTGTATATCGATAGCGTAGGCTAGGTTACCATTCCACTATCACCCTTTAAAAAAAATAAAACTGACCTGTCTTTTCATTAACATCTCTCATTGGTGCCCCGCCAGTGTATACTGTAAGCGTAGGGCAGGGTTACTATTCTATTATCATCCATTAATAATGCAAGAATAGGTACTTATCTGTAACAATATTAATATATATCTGAATTGTATGACCCTATATGTAACTGCGGTAGCCGCTTCTAATTTATTTATTTATTTATTCTTTATTGAGCACATTACAAAAAATGTCTGGTACAAAAGGCGGAATTAATACTATCAGACACACAGAGTGGACTTAGTTATCACCATGTTAATTCTATAAAAAATCCCTTCTCACAATGTCCATTCACAACAATTTTCGAAATCTCTGAATCTATTCTAATGGAATTTAGTAAATGACTTTTCTTTGTTTTAACCTGAGAGATAGTGTTAGTTTTATTTCGATAATAAAAATAGACTCGGTAGGGGGCGATATATAGTTTGCCGGGTCAGTTAGTCCTATTCCATCCTACTACTATTATAAATGCAAAACTTTGTGAGGATGTGTTATGTATGTGTTAAAACTCCATCTATTTTTGGAATAACCCAATATGCTTACAACTGTCGTTGACTTCACTCGTTCTCGTATATTTAAAAGTGGCGACGAGGATGGGATCATTACTGCGTATAACGTCTAACGAGCTTCCTGTCGATAGAGTTGTGTTCGAGCTGCATGTCGCAGGAGATTGTAGATATGTATGAATGGAGATTTGTTAAACTTTTACGAAAAAACTACTACTTACTTAAAGGGATTTAAGTAAAATGTGTTACACGATGAATGAAATGAATGTTATATCCCATTTTATAATATAGGATACACTATATAATGACTCACGCGGGCGAAGTCACGTTATATAGTTGGTTTAATGTAATAAGTGTGTGTCGCCGTGTAGTCCCGGTATATAACAGGCTACCCCTTCTTGACGTGTCTTTATTAAAATTGCAGTGCATAAAATACAAATAGGTCAAATTGGTCACTTGTGTTTTATGATCAGTATGTCAAAAAGGGCCAGTTACGAGCGGGTATTGACTCACCCTCTTGATAAGTTGACATAGCTGTTTACTAAGGGCAAGGCGAATGCGTGTTTGCAACTCTTGTGGTAGGTATAAATAACATAGGAAAGAACCAAAGTCCTTCAAATCCAGTGAGAACCTAAGCAATCAAAAAGATTTATTGGCATCCTCTGTTATGTTTGAATATGCATTAATTTGGGAAATAGGATTTGTGAAAGAAAATAACGAAATATTAACTCAAATCTGTGTTTTCATTTCATCCTTATAATTATAACAATATTAAATAAGCTTAATTTAGGTATACAATAGATTATTTAGGCGTGGCACTTAACTATTGATTATAAAAAATTACGTTCCTTATGTTTTAAATTATCTTGGCCAATAAATGCCTTCATCACATAACTTATAAATTGATAAAGACTTATTTAGTACCAATCTATATCTACGTGGACTATATAAGTTTATCTACATCTTGCTTTCTTACTAATTGTCTTTTCTGAGCACGAAATTAATATATATGTGAGTATATACAAATAGGTAAGCATATTACACACAATTATTCATGGACGTGAACGCATTCTATTTTGGCATCTTCTTTTGGCTCATTCACCAAACAATATTGAAACTGAATGTTTAAATTTATTAAATTATTTGAAATAAAAATTATTCTGTTAATTATGATTGCTTGTACAAGGAAAATAGGACATCGCTAAATAAACAAAATATCACATTTGGGACCTATACCTAGGGTATGTTTTGTATGCATTCTTATTATTATTATTACTTATTCTACAAGTAAAATTACAATTATAAATGAATGTAATGGACAATTTTCTACAACAATATTTAAATTTAAGGAACGTTTTCCTACTGAGCCAAATTATTACATCGTTTTCTCTACCACATTATATTTGTATATGAGTTCCAATAACATTAAAGATTAACGTATTGCATAATGTATTAATGATAACGTGAAAGTAATATGATGCAGACCAACACGACTAGATTGCCTGTGTGAGCATTACAACAACGTGACAAGCTAGAATTAAAACCTGAATGCTGTTCTATGCTCTAATTTATTACCGAAAAAATTTGAGAATAAATAGTTTACATATACCGCATACACACGTTCTATATCTATTACTTATCATGAACTAACACACCATCGTCCACTTGGTATTTCCAATTCCTAAGAAATATTAGGACGATTTCAAATAATCTCTCAATGTAGAAATAAAAAATAACAATATGTTACATATTTATACATCTACAATCAATACACATTACAATCTCAGTTACCCGAATACGACATTTGGCGCAATGTATTGCTTCGAACAAATGAAAAATATGGTTTTTAAATTGAGAAAAATATTCGCACAATGTTGATATTAAGCGATAACCAACTACCATAGACAAACTGCAATGAAATGCAGAATGGTTTTAGGTAGTATTTAATTAAATTATATCAGTTCTGTCAAACAATGATCTCCGATAATTCGGACTCATTCGTGTTCAAAAAAGGTGAGCGGTAGCGGAAGACGAATGTGATCGTTTGAGCAGATATCAAAATTTAACAAGCATATAATGTGAATCCAATTTAATGTATGTACAGGACATAATTAAGGTTTGTACACACAGTGAGTTTTTGTATCTGTGGTCATCACATTCTCACGCCACATAATAATAGCTCACTTTGAACATTTATGTCACTAATTGTCTAAGGTATATATATCACTTTGAAAGTGTTAATGTTAACCCTTCCCCTCATTGGGTATGGTTATAGAGACCGTGCTAGGTCTGACCGGTCTGTCTGAGACTAGACTATGCACACTAGGATTGATAGGGGCACTTCTCGATATTTCATCGGCGGTGGTCAGTTTACATTCGACGACGCGATAGTTGCACGTGGGTGAACCACAGTCGAAGTCGGGACGCGTCACCGAGTTCGGGATGTTGTTGTCGTAACTTTTCGACTCTTCTTTGAATGGAGGACAGCTGAAAAAAAAGTTTATTGATCATTTGTTTGGATATTTTTTATATACTATACTCGTACTTGTTATTGTTATGATAGAATTGGCGCTATCGACATAGATTTAAATTGTCATTTTTACAAGTGCTTACTTAGGTAGGTATAAGGCAGATAATTATCATGGAAAAATTTTTATGAGACCAATCTGTAAGTATATTCTTTCAGATAAAAAATTAAAAATAATTTTCCAATTATATTTAAAAGTGACCGACTTACGAGGTAACAAACATAAAAAAAAAGAATTGAGAACCTCCTTTCTGCGTTGGTTGATAAAAACTTTCGTGAGTGTATTTGTTCATAGCCTTAAACCATGTTCATCTCATGAATAAAGCCTCCAAATTTCTAAAGTCCGAAACTAATCGGTCAAACTCAAAGTTAATATGTGAGTAAAGTCAATATAAATAATTATAAATTACTTTAGTTACCTTAGAGGTGGCGGTGTTGGAGACCGGGACAACGGAAAGCTGGCTACCTCTCTGGATATTGCCAAGGATTTAATAGATCCGAATGTTTGTTCAGGACTAAGGGGCGCTCCCAACACGGACGCCATGCCTCTGTAATAAAGAATCGGTAAACAATTACATTAAAGGTGCAATTTTTATTATACTGGGTAAAATCGATTGTCCTGACCGACTATAAACGTATAGCCAAAACAACTAACTATAGAAAGCTACATTTTGAAACATAGGTAGGTATATTTTAAAACGTATCTTTTTTGAATGTGTGTCAAAGAATTTTTGAAAATTTCAACTTCAAGGCGATGGTATGGGGGCGGAATTTTGTATGTAAGGTATTTGTTCTTTGAAGTTAGATACTTTAAAATTTGAATTATCAAGTTCTCAAATTTCTAATTTTAAAGGACTCGGTAGCTGTGATCAGTTACAGTGTATAAATTGGTAATGATGCGTTTCAAGTTACTCAGTTTATATTCACATTTTATGGGGAGAAACGGGTTGTGAAATTTTGTATATGAGCCGATACTCTCAAACAGTAGATGTTTTTTAAAGGTAGAAACTTTAATATTAGAAATGTATCTACTTATAGTAAAAAAGACGATAACACGCGTGTAATGTCGCGGGGTACAGCTAGTATTATATACGTTACATTTAATACTATAATATTATCTCTTTCATATTGAATATATCATAACTGCTCGATATGAAAGAGTCCAGAAAATAAAGTAAGATTGAGGCATAAAAATAAATAGTTATAATAATTAAATTCATAATGGTTCTTTTAGATAGTAAAATTAAAGGCACAATAATTCAAATAATTCTCAAGTTATTGCTGCTTGTACAGTAACCACGATCTATTAAGTATCGACGTAGCAAGACATTTTTTAGAAACCGACCTTCTATAACCATCCACCCTTGCCTATTTTCCCTTCCCCTTCCTTCCGTACACGTGATTACCTAGACAATAAATACGAATTTATTGAGAAACTTACACAACAGAATCCGATGGAACTAAGAAAGGCAAGGGGGGAGGACAGGGCGCGTCAGCTCGTGCCGGCGAGGCGGGCTCAGTAGACCGCGGGCAGCGTGGAGACTCACCCTCTTCTACCATCCCCAGCCAGCTTCGTAACCGACGCCAGAGGCCTAGTGGACTGCCTGGAATGTCAGAAAGGTGTATTGCTTATTATACGTTTATGCCTGTGGTGACGGAAATCAGAATACTCCTATTTATTCCTGGGACGTAAGAGTAGAGGTCAAAGGGTACAAAACACAAATAAATAGATCAGTAATCATCTATAAAAAAGTATATTTTGCGCGCCCTTTGTTCAGCATTGTAAAAGTAAGTTATATCTGATATTCTAGTGGTTCGTTAGGGTAAGTTTAAAAAATAATTGATTTGTATATTTTTTTTTTTATAAAACTCGGCTGGCTAACGATTTACCTGATGAAAAACACTACTATATTTTAATAAAAAGTAATGGCATCAAAATGACATCTTTATATTAATTAGACTTGGGACGATGTTCTTCAAAGTTTAAAAAAATACAATCAAAAAGTTTCGCTTTAAAACTAGTAGAAATTATAAAGTAATTTTAAAAATTGTCTAGTGGTATTATTTTGACTAATAGATCCTAAAGAACGAATTTGGTAGACACCAAAAATCTCCGCGTGTCAAGGTAGGGTTAAATTCTGCCAGATTTGATTCAAATAGTTATGTTTAGAGAAATGTAAGTCGAGTGGTATGTTTATTACAACTGAAATTAATATCTTCGATTTACCAAACATTTGAAATCTGTAATTGCAGTCGAGAACAAATTATTTATTTTACAACTTATTTCCACATGTTACCTTGCACTGGTAGCAACGTTGCGGAAATAGAGTATAATGAGTTTCAATTCAATTGAATCCAATTGAGTACCTATCGAAGGACATATCTTTGAAAGGTCACTGCAAAATATAGCAGCAATCCCAGTATACCTTTCGTTATATGATTAGGCTTTCCTATCATTCTAGATTTATGCACCAATGGCATTTTCTAATAATGTGGTGATTTTATTTAATCATATTTTTCATTATTTTATTGGGATATCCCAAAGACAAGCGGCAATTAGTGCAAAAATTAAGGACGTGAAAATTGTAGAATTTAGAGTGACTGACTGAAAAAGGCTGTAAATGTTTATATTAGTATAATTTTCATCAATACAGGTACGGGATTTGTAAGCAAATATTATATTACCTTGTACTAGAAGTAATATTCCGGAAATAGAGTATTACAATTCAATGAACTCAATTGAGTACCTATTCAAGGACTATTATTGTTGAAGAGTTACAGTGAAATAGAGCAGTGACCTTAATACAACACCTGTCATTACATTTGCCATTTCCTGTTATTTTATATTTATTAATTTTTGTTTATATTACGAGTAAATGAAAATTGAAGGTGGGAGAGATGAGTATTCGTTCCTTAGTTCTAGCTCTATCTTCATAGGAATTAATATATTTTTTTTAGTAATATAAATATGTAAATTGAAAGCAAATTATATTGAAAACAGTATTATGTACTTACGAGAATATTTTCTGCTATTTTGTGGACTAAGTGGGTAGAAGTCTCCATGGATAGGACAATGGAAGGCCAGTCTGCGTTGTCGACGTTGAGCGGCGCGCATCAATATACACAAAACTATACCTGTGATCCATAAAAAAATCAATTAATTGACTACAATTTATATCATAATATTAACTACATAAGAATGTAAATTTATTCGTTTTTATGGTTGTTATAGCAGTATGTATTTTAAAATAATCGCGTTGTTTATTGAAGTAGAGTTAATTGCAGGCATTAGGTAATTAACGCAAACAATTCTATTTGGTACTGAATTTGGAATAAGTGGATTTACTTTTAAATGGATGTTTTACAATGGTTTACTTTGTGTGAATAGTTACAGAAGATTTGCTAAATAGATATGATATATGAGATGTTTTATATAATGGATAAGACAAGTAGTTATTTTAAAAATATAAATATACTTTTAAAATAACTTTAAAGTAAATTTGAAATATTAATATTTTTTTATACTTCAATTATATTTGCATTAAAATACAAATGAATGATAGAAAATTATAAATAGACATGTGTAACCTTTATTTGATTATTCCGTTTTCTGCCTAATGGAAATTCCTGTACCGCCCACAAATTCGAAAATAACTTTCCCCAGTGAACGATGACATAATGGTAATGAATATTTCTGCGTTCAACCTATTTCAAGTACAAATAGAACCTATTTTCTGTGTGTTACCATGTAACTACTCGTAAAGAAAAAAAATCAGTTGAATTAAGAGGACTAAGTTCCCTATTAATTTTGTCAGGATAGATGTTCTAAAGAACTTAACAAATCTTAGTTTTAACCATCAGAATCGTACATCAAAGTATACTCCGAGATCTCTGGGTTTAGCCTGATATGGGACAAGTATTGCTCACGTTTATGAATAAAAATAATCCTTTCTGAAATGTTGATTTCTTGTTATAGGAAATACACTCACCAGCAATCGTCATAAGTGCTCCAGCGACGATGCAAACGGGACCGAGTACCCTGGAGTTGCCGGTGAACGCGATCCTCTCAGCATAATGATGAGGCTCTTCGTTCTCTCCACAACCGCGATATGAAGCAGCTGAAATTAAACACGCATATTGTAACATTGAAGCTAAAGTGTGGGTATTCAAAATTATATCCCTAGATAGTTCTTCAGAACAAAAAGTATCCTAATTTGAGGTTTATGCAGTATTAAATATGAAACAAGATCAACGAACTTGGTGATAATTTCTGATTGTTGCGAGTAAACCTGATTCATAATACAACATAAGAAGTTTGTTCATTTATGGTGGTCTGGGTGTATTCTATATATAGTAATTAATGGATTTAAAAAAGTATTTGAGTATGTTACCTAGTAACTACAGTACAAGCTTGGCTCAGTTTGGGACTAAGACGTTGTAAAATATATATAAAAAAAAATGTTTATTGTTCTTGGGGAATTTAAATATTACAGTTATTATTCGATTACGATGGTATGCTTGCATGTCCGCTGTGTGCAAGAATTTTTATAATTTATATTTTTATTAAAATGTTTGCCTATTTAGTCCACATTCAATTAAACCAATACCAACAACAGTTAATCTAATAGCCCCTTATGTAAACAATTAACTAATAATTGCAGAGTCAAAGCTATCACCGTGACCGAAAACGGTCAAGACTCATCAGCATCACTGTTATCGTTAATAAACCAATGTTTCTAACTCAAATTAGATTTGAATTATATTAAGTATAATTTTCTACATTCGGCCAAAATGATATTCTAAAGAATTTAATACATTTAATATTCCTCTTACCTGTAAGCACACAGCCAACGAGCATAAAGAGGAAGCCGAAAATGGGCAGCACAATTTGACAGTTTGCTGCGACGACCACTCCAGCGACTGCCAGCCCGCCTTCCACCTTCTCCACTCTTAATCTTGATATAGCTGGTGGACACCTAGGCTTGCCCACCGGAGCGCGTACCAAAGGCTCGCCAGGGGGCGACGTGGTCCTATGGACAAGGAAACAAAATAATTTAATAATCATAATAACCTTAAGTGGATGAAGCAACAGATGTATGTAAACGTAGATGGCTTTAATACTCTATTCTCTTTGCCTGTCTTGCATATATATATATATATATATATATATATATATATATATATATATATATATATATATATATATATATATATATATATATATATATGTATATATATATTTATTATTTGAAAAGATAAAAGCATAGAACACGTTCTAGAAGATATATCAATTCTTTCACTTCTTAACTAAAAGCTAACAGATCTAAATAAATAATACTTAAAATTACAGCCAATAATTTTTGTTTTTGTTCAAGAAGCCAAGTCATAAAAAAATTCTATCGTTTTTGACTGACGCATGGGTTGGTTTCATAAATGATATAGTATATAAAATTTTTAATAATATTAGTAATAAATACTTCAAGGTTTAGTTATAAAAAATAAATTTTAATTAACACAAATACAGGACATAACAAAAATACAGTTTAATTGAGAAACTTCTCTATTGAAGTCGGTTAAAAATTAAAATTTAAACTATGTTAATATTTTCCTGACGCTTATGTTTTTTATTAGAAGGTAGTGTCTAAAAAACCGTTGGAATAAATAATAGGTATTGATCGTAAATCCTCAAGCATGTATATAGGATAACTGTAGCTCTGAAAGGTAACAAAAGACATAAAGGGTGGTAAATTTACATATTTGTAATTTAAAATATTTGTAGTAAAAAAGTAAATTTTTAAGATATAATGACTGGCCGGTATTTTTTTGATAATTTAAAATACTAATAATAAATGTAAGTTGAGGTACTTTTTTTCTTATAGATTTTTTTTTTATAAAAGTATTTCCTGGATAGTCTATAATCATCGCAGATTATGGTACTCGTATATGGAATGTTAATATTGTATATATTGTTCGAGCCAGACAACAGGCACTAATCACTATTGTTAGATTCAGACTATTGGCTCATTTAAAAAGTTTAATATTATCTTGGCTCAGTTATGAGAGGAAAAATGCTCAGATTATTCATGATCCGGGTTATTTTAGTATAACGTTGGTTAGCAGAAATATAAATAAAGAAATATCAGTTGTTTTTTTTTGTGTCTTTTGTTTAAAGCTAAATTATATAGAGACAAAATATCATTAACACTAATTACCGCCTCTAGAGTCAAATGATCAGCTCGGTCGAATTATCTTGGGAGTTAAAATGTTGACATTGAACTGGATTATTTCAGTAAAGTCTGGCATGTAGTTCTGGCATAGAATGGGCCTTCCCTTCCTTTCCTGTGGGTGTCATAAGAGGCGACTAATGGATCATAACGGTCGAGAGATGAGTAGGAGCATCCCTCTTAAAACATCACGAAAGCATAATTGTGGTTGTCAACCTGCCTTCCAAGCATGGCAACTACTGGCAAAACGCCTTCTTATGAAAGGCTATGTTCAGCAGTGGACAGTTAATGGCTGATAAAAAGTTTGGCATGAAGATGCAGCAATCGACTAAAGATTCACCTTTGTTATTGCGAGCAACACTGCTAATGTAAATGTTATCAGAAATATAAAAAAAAACAGTTCTTTTGTTGTGTCTTATAGGAGGAGGTATTAGTTGATAATTATAATAAAATAATAAAGTATTCTAAATAAATATAAGTAGGTATAAAACTTGTCAAATAAATTTGGGGATCGACCACAACAAATACAATACAATAGAGATATAATTACCTATGTGAAAAAAGTTACTAAGTTGAAAGTGAATACACTGTACGAGGTTTGTCCGGAAAGTACGTATAAAAGTTTTTTAAAAATTTTATTTTACAATTATTCAGGTAAATCAATTTTATCCCCTTCAAAGTACTCCCCCTGTGACATAATGCACTTGTGCCAACGCCGTTTCCACTGTGAGAAGGCTCCTTGAAAGTCCTCTGGTTGTAGGTTTCTCAGCTGCCCCGTCGTAGCTTTTTTTATCTCATTTATGTCCCCCAAATGCCGCCCCCGAAGTACCAATTTGGTTTTTGGGAACAAGAAGAAGTCACACGGGGCCAAATCCGGCGAATAGGGGGGTGTTCGGTCACCGTAATGGAATTTTTACTCAAAAACTCACGGAACGATCTTGGCGCAAATTTTTTTCATTTGAAGTTCGTTTCTTAGAATTTCGTGGACCACGGTTTTGCCCAAATTAAGCTCTTCAGCCACCTGTCTGACCGTTAAACGACGGTCCCCATTAACACAAGTTCGAATTCTTTCCACGTTTTCGTCGGAATGTGAAGTGGAAGGACGTCCTGAACGTGGGTCATCTTGAACGCTTTCTCGGCCCTCTCTGAATCTTTTTAGCCACTTGTGGACGGTTGGTTCCTTCACAGCATCATCCCCATAAACTGTTCTGAGATCGGCAAAAATTTCACGGCCATTCTTGCCGAGTTTCGAGAGAAACTTGATTACGACGCGCTGCTCTTCAACGGAAGCGGGCTCCATGCCGACGGGGTTTCGTTAAGAGGTAACTTCACAGATGGCGTGACAAGCCAGTTCGCACCGCACGGCGGTCAGACCAGAACTGAAGCATTGTTAGGGACATAAGGAAGGGGTCCTGCGCTTACCTGGCCTCCCCACTCCTCTTTCTCGCATTCCAGAACACTTTTATACGAACTTTCCGGACAGACCTCGTATACTGTCTCATCCGGCTGTAATTCGAAATCTTCCAAACATTTCTAGGCACGTGCCAATGAACGTGCTTTTATCTGGTATAGTGACGTCTTTTTGGCATTACTTGAGGTTAATAAATAAAATTTATAGAACACACTATTTTATTGGCGTTGATTTTATTTAATCAGATATTATTAGTATCTACATTTATTTATTCTGCGTTACATTTTACATTTTTATTTTTCTTAAGAATACATTGTGCTATCACCTTTTTTATACCTATCAGGATATAGATAAAATAAGATAAAAGAAATATGCAGTATAAAAAAGAAAACATACCTAATCACCTAACAATACGGTATAAAAAAAAAGCAGACCTTCTCCTTTTATGGGAAGAGACCCGTTCCCAGTAGTGGGATTAATATGTTGCAGTGTTATTTAAAGACATTTTCTAGAGTGGAGACCGCAAATCGGCAAATGTGCGAGTTACAAAAAATTTATCTGACCACGATGATATGTATAGAGAACTCTTGTAGAGTTAAGCTAGCCTTTGTATATTTACTTTCCACTATCACATTTATTTATGTATTGTTAGTGTGTACAATAAAGTATGAATAATATGTATAAAATTTACAATAAATAGATATAAAGTAATTAAAATGAGAATAATTGGCGTAATACCTAAGTATATTAAAACTTAAGGGCATTATCAGTTAATTAACCTTTAATATGTGGGTAATGTATGAATAATCGCGTTCAATTTTGCCTGCTACTGTAACTTTCAAACGCTTCATAATAGAATAAAAATAATAAATTCACAAATATTTACTAATAACCTTACAAATTAATAATTCATCCTTTTAACACAATGGAAAATCAATATTATCTAATAATATCTACATTCAATTAGCTCTATAGTTCAAATTAATACATGTATTACTTAATTGTAGTTTACTTGTTATTGATTTTTTACTCAAAATAATATCATAAAACTAATATAATATGTACCTATATTCTTTTTCACTGACTTAATCTTTATAAGGCTATTAGTACAATTCATTATAAGAAATAAACGTCATTTTGTCCCTTTTCGTACATAATTGGTACTTTAACAAACCAGTTAATAACAGTATACTTATGGCTGAATATTTAAATAAAAAACTTCGCTTTTTTTAACAGTTGAAATTAAAATTACCTTCATAGTTTATAAATTGTACACATAATTATAAAGGCTCTGTAGGGTCTTGTTTTACAAACTACGTAGTTTTAGGCACACTTTTGACCTTACTAGTTGATAGTTGGAGAAGTGAGTGAGTACTATTCATAGATTTTGTGATGTAAATTTTTCGGATCTAGTATATTATTACACATACTATCTGTATTCCGCGATTTCACCCGCGTGATACAGTATACAAAGTATCTTATGTGTTCAGTCAGGATAGAGCCTACCCGTGTACCAAATTTTATTGAAATCTGTTTAGTAATTTGTGTGTGAAAGAGTATTAAAATACATCTGTCGTTACAAAATTTTGCATTTCTTCTCCAAAGATTTATATACCGTGCTAATATTTTTAGCTGCATATTGTTTTAAGAAAAGCGCATATTCCTTTTCAAAAGGCTGATAGCACACTTGAAATTTCTCGGCTATTCGTGAGCGGTGGTTGTACTTAACATCAGGTGAGCTGCATGCTCGGTTGTCCTTTGTGTAATAAAAAAAGATTCATCCCTAGAGGATATTTCCAGCTAGGCTACTACATAGTGAACCTGGTTTAATTTTTTTTATATGGTCTTGAATTTGTTCTCATGACTAAGACAAAAAAAGTAATTTACGTAAGGTTTCACTCTATCCTATATTACGTATATATGTTAGATTTTATAAACACTAGTTAAGCTGTTAAGTCACTGACAAATAACAATCAAAATCACTATCACAATAATAATGTTAAGAATCGAGGTTTTAACGGGTGTCCTTAATTTTAAGGACATCTCGTACCTTATTACATTTGTATTAAGAATCATTAGTAATCGAGGCTAACTGTACTAGATATGTAGACACGATTGCCCTAATTAAGGCAAACAATGGGCACGTAGGAAGCTTTTGTTATAATGTGTCATATCCTTCCTACGTCAATAGCATAGGAAAGTCTTTGTTCTTAAATGTTAATGAGTTAAAGTTTCTATAGTACTATATTGGATGGGCCCTCAAGAAACTGTATTGTGATGTTGCTGTTTACTTGTCTTTAAGGTTATAAATAGAAAAGGGATATATAGAAGTACCCTATTCGTATGTACTTCTTACATCCCTTGTCTGTTGGAAATTAGGTACATAAATAGATAT